GCTGTTCTGCCTTCATCCTGTGCTGTCAGCTTATCCCTTTGATCACCCAGGCATTCACTAAATATATACATTTATTCTTCTCAAAAGACATGCTCTGTGCAGAGATGTCTGCATTTTGTCAGGTGACTGTAGCAGGGAAGCAGAGTCTGATGCTGTCATGTACTGGAGCTAAACTGAAGATGCCAACTCACTTATCTGCTGCCTGACTTTCCAGCTTTCTGGCAAGGTGAAATGGCCACAGAAGCAGGTGGCTTCTGGACTTGATGAAGGTGTCAGTCGATGGGAGACTATCAGTTCTAACTCGGGACCCCAGGGCACTTGTGGAATGAAAAGTTACGAGATCTCAGCGAGACGTTACAGGATGTGCCTTGGAAACAAAGCAGTTAGGACTGCCCCCCTCCCCAATGTTTGCAGGTGCAAATAGCCTCAAAAGCAGGACTATGTCTGAGCAGCCCAATAGTATCATGAACACAGATCATAATGAATGCACAATAAAATGTCTTCTGCAACAACCCTGAGAGAAAGTGATGTGACTTTTTGAACGCTGAGACAGGTATGTTACCTTGTGGGAACTTTTCCACTTGGAAAGTTCAATTTGAAGGTGCATTTAAAGGTGGTGTGGGAGCTTCCTGATCCCCAAACTCCCTTTCTGATAAGATAAAAAAAATCAGGTTCTCAGGACTAGGGATAGGCAAATCTGTTGATTCCAGGTTCTTTCAGTTTCTCATTTTCCCCATCTTCTGCCCAGTTCTTCACATTTCCACTTCAGCTTTTGTGTGTGTGTGTGTGTTTAAAAATAGTTCTCATTAGCATTTTAGCATGAATTTCTCTTAATATACACATTTTTAATTGCAATTTTGCCTAGCAAACATATTTTTGTCAGCAAATCTCCCTTATGAAATGCATTTTCCATGTATCTTCATAAATACATGTATTTTTATGTACACTTTACCCTACTATATGGAGTTTTGTACACATTTTGAAGGATGGCAATGTTTCAGGCATCATGAGTTAGGTCAGTTGGCCTTTCTCTACAAATCAAACCAAATTTCTCCCTCATTTCCATTTCTATCACATCTTTTCCTCCAAGGAACTCAAGATGGCGTACATGGTTCTCCCCTTCCTCATTTAATCTCCACAGCAATCCTGTGAGGTAGGTTAGGTTGAGGGTGAGTGACTGATCCAACCTCACCCAGTGAGCTTCATGGGCCGGATGGGGAATTGAACCCTGATCTCCCAGGTTTTAGTCGGACACTCTATTTATTTTATTTTTGGAATAATTTTTATTTGATTTTATAAGTATAAAATTATAACAATACAACCATACACATCCATATTTTAAAATTCCTCCAAATCTTTGGACTTCCCACCTTCTCTTCCATGGGTCCTATTGTTAACCTTTTCTACTGCATATTTTTCAATAGTCCATATCTTAAATCACTCCATTGTCTCCATAATATTTGCTACATAACAAATGTTACTGCAGTCCTGCTAATGTTTTCATCTGCTTGCAGTGATCTCCAAGATAAATTATATTTTTTCTCCCATTCTTTGTTAAAGTTTTGGTCTTCTTGGTTCCTGAGCTTTCCGGTCAGTTTTGCCATTTTGGCATAATCCAACAGTTTAATTTCCCATTCTTCTCTGGTAGGGACTTTATCTTCTTTCCATTTCTGGGCTAGTAACATCCATGCTGCTGTTGTCACATACATAAAAAGTCTTTTCTGCTCCCTTGGAATAGCAGCACCTTAGTCTGACCCTCTAACCGCTGTACTGTAGGAGTTATGTGTCCCCGCAATGCTATTCCTTGTCTACTTATTCCCCTTCCTGTTCCCCTTCTTGCAGCAACGGTGGCAAAAGCTAAAAGGAAGGTGTTTCTCTCCCCCCCCTTCTCTCTGCATCTCTCTCTAACTGCATTCAGATGGCACTTCACTCCGTCTTCTCAATGCTTCCTTGCCTGTTAATTTTCATGTTTTACGTGATTTCACATGATGTAAAAGCCACTTCTGGAAATCTAGTGGATGTTTATCACTCATTTCTGTGCTAATTGTTTCCAGAAAGAAATGTTTGCAGCCCCAGTGGGAGTGTGCACAGAATTACCTAAGAGGCTTGTTGAGTTCATGGTAGGGTTTTGCTCCATGTAACACATTGTTTCAGTGCAGCATAATAGGTGTGAAGGGAGAAATGTCTGGTGCATCTTCCTTCCCATCTGATCTGTAATCTTTGCACAAGTTATCAGGATGAATGGCAGATAGCATAATAATAATTATACCCCGCCCATCTGGCTGGGTTTCCCCAGACACTCTGGGTGGCTCCCAACAGAATATTAAAAACACGATAAAACATCAGACATTAAAAACTTCGCTAAACAGTACTGCCTTCAGATGTCTTCTAAAGGTCAAATAGTTGTTTATTTCCCTGACATCTGGTGGGAAGGCGTTCCACAGGGTGGGCGCCACTATGGAGAAGGCCCTCTGCCTGGTTCCCTGTAACCTCACTTCTTGCAGCGAGGGAACCGCCAGAAGGCCCTCAGAGCTGGACCTCAGTGTCCAGGCAGAATGATAGGGGTGGAGATGCTCCTTCAGGCAAAGAGATAGCAAAGAGAAGCAGGACTGTACAAACTCAGCACACATGGTGAGCCATTGCCCTCAGTCATCCCACTCTGTCTATGGCTGCAAAGTAGAGTCAAAGAATCATAGAATTGTAGAGTTTGAAGGGACCCCAAGGGTCATCTAGTCCAACCCCCTGCAACGCAGGAATCTCAGCTAAAGCATCCTTGACAGACAGGATGCTTCTAATATCATGGAATGAACCATTTGTCAGAGAAATGGGAACCTGGGAGAAGAAGAGGCTGGATCTAAGTCAGAACTGTCCACAGGAACAAATGCCCGGTAAAAATTCAGATAATGGGTTTTTTATGTGTGTATGACTCATGCAAATTGTCAGGTCACCATTTGTCAGCGCAGCCCCCTCTCCCAATCAGCGAGAAAAATCACAGCCCCCCCCACTCTGCAATTTTTTCAGCGGACTAGTCAGGTGGTCCATCAGTTTTCAGTTCTAGCTTGTACTTTGAGCTCAGGAGTTTTGGAAGTTCCATCAGGCTTTGCATTTTGGAGCCACACAAGTCATCCATATCCAGATTAAATTTATTTTATTAACTACTGAGGGGTGAGTAACAAGGCGGCCAATTTTTGCTGATGGTACTAAATTGTTCAGGGTTATTAAGAACGAGAAGATTGTGAAGAGCTCCAAAAGGGCTTCTCCAAAAAGGAGTGAATGGCAAATGCAAGTCAATGTAAAGAAGTGTGCAGTAATGGATGTTGGGGCAATAATAATAATCATCATAATTTCAGAAATATATGCTCTGAGCTGGTGGTGACTCACCAAGCACGAGACTTTGGGGTCATAGTAGTTGGTAGCTCAATGAAGGTGTTGACCCTGTGCACTGTTGTGGAAAAAAGCTAATTCCATGCTAGTGGTAATTAGGAAAAGAATTGAAAATAAAACTGCAAACATCATACCATTGCATAAATCTATGCTGCAAACCCATTTGGAATACTGCACGGTTCTGGTCATCTTACCTCAAAAAGGGTATTGAACAAGTTGGAAAAGGTTCAGAAAAGGGATACCAAAAGATCAAGGGCGTGGAGGAGCCACTGCCATATGAGGAAAGGTTGCGGCATTTGGCACTAGAGCTCTCCCCCCCCCCCCGCCGCCATGGCTTCTAGCAACTGGTATTCAGAAGCATTAATGCCTCTGCCCATGGCTAGTAACCATTGATAGCTTTCTCCTCCATGAATTTGCCTAGTGTTCTTTTTAAAGGCATCCGAGCTGGTGGTCATAATCACTCCCTCTTGTGGGAGTGAGTTCCATAGTCTAACTGTGCGCCAGTACTTCCTTGCCTCCCTAACTACTCTAACAATACAGCCTTTGTGGCTTTAACACCAAGCCCGCTTCCCGCCACCCTTTGCTTAATACCCTCCCTGATGAAGAGTTCTGGAGACCTCAAAAGCTTGCTCACTATTTCGTGACGTTTGGGTGGCTTCATGAAAGCATTGCTCTGTGTGGATTTTGTGTGGATGGCTACTTTACCTATGCTGCCGGGGAGTTGGGGCGGGGGGGGGGAGAGAGAGAGAGAGAGAAGTGCCTCTAACGTGCCCTAACTGTATCTCAAACGCAGCATTTTGGTGTGGTCGAGAGTACATCCTTTTTGGCTAAATGGCATCCCCGCGCGCCCTTCTCCGTGGTGAGCCAAAAGTACGGCGCAAGCGATAGGAATGGCATTGCTGAAGATTGCAGCTGCCTGGACTTGGGAGAGGTGACATTTCTGGCTCGCAGCAGGTCTCTCCTTTTTTTGCGCTGGATGGAAGTGTCAGCGTCGAGGGCGTGGCTTGGCGAGGGCGCGCCCCTCTTCCTTGGCTCCTGCTCGGAGAGCCAGCTCCGTTGAGAAAGACACTTTCCTCTCTTCTGCTCCCCGGCTTCTATCTGACTCCTCCCTCCTGCAGCTCTGAATAGTGCAGAGCGAGCCAACGAGCTTCTCCTTTTCTTCCCCCCGCTGCTATAGTTCCTTCTCAGCCGGCAGCGTGAGACCGAGATTCTCCTTTCTTTCCACTACGGCACGTTTTCTGGTACCTGCTGGACGCGTCTGACTTGCAGAGCTAAACTTGATCAAGAGGATCCGGGACCCATTCAAAAACAGAGGAAATCACGTTGCCTTATTTTCTTGCATCTTTTTCTCCCTGGCACTTAATGCTCCTTTTTCAAACCATGTGCTCTTTTTCTCTCTCTCTCTCAAGTGACAGCTTGGCTGGGCTTGCTTGACTGCATCCTAAAGCAGGTCTCCAGGAAAAAGGGTGCTGGACAAGGGATCTATCTATGCAGTCCAACAAACTTGGCGGAGAAGATCAGAAATTCACCGTGAAGCCAACAGTTTTTGTGTCCCCAGATGACAACTCCCAGAATTGGTGGGAAGGCAAAATAACACCCCACCCATCCCAAGAACCATGTCGGTCACTCTGAGCAATGTCTCGTCAAACGGGACGAGCCACCACGGGATTATGGATATACCCAAAGGGCAGAAGCCTTTGAATCTCTTCCTTTTCTGCTTGACTTTTGTCATCACGTTCACCGCCCTCTTGGGCAGCATCTATTCGCTGGTGTCTCTGCTGAGGATGCAGAGCAAAAGTACTGTATCCATGCTGGTGACTTCTTTGGCAGTGGACGATCTGATCAGTGTGGCACCAGCAACCATCTTCATGCTCAAGCATTGGTTGGACGAGATGCTCCCCCAGACCTTGTGCACGGCTTCGGCACTGCTGTACTTATTCCAGGGCTTTTCAAGCAATCTGATGGGGTCTCTCATAGTTTCTTATAACTTCTACAGCCTTAGCAAGATGGGAACCGGCCAAGGGGCCACCAAGAGGCCGGTCAGCATGGTCTGGGCTGTTCTCACTATCTGGATTGTCAGCCTACTGATCTGTATTTTGCCTCTTTGCGGCTGGGGTAGCTATGCCTCCACCCCTTGGGGGTGCCTGACAGACTGCACAAGCTCTTACATTTTATTTCTCTTTATCGTCTACTCCCTGTGCTTCTGCCTCCTCCTCGTGCTCTCCATCCCTTTAATTTATCAGCTGCTGTGTTCAGATGAGCAGCAGCATCTGTACGACGATTATCACCAAATTGCCAGAGGCTATTTCTCCCCTGGGTCACCTCCGACTGGCAGTCGTCACACCCCTTCCCTTTCTCCGGAAGACACTGTGAGCAAAACCTTGAAGCATTTCCAAGGCGCTTGTCCAAATGCTGACCTCAAAGTTAGGCAAAGCCCAGTGGACCATTATGGACTGGATCGCTACGGCATGCAAGAGGGGCCCTACAACAGCCGAACCCTCACTGTGGAATTTGCTCAGAAGCGCTTTTCCCTGATTCTGGCGCTGACCAAAGTCACACTTTGGCTCCCAATGATGGTAAAATCAAACCAAGTTTCTTTCTCTATTTATAATGTTCTGGGGGCTGGGGGGGGGGGAGTTTTGGATGAAATTTAAAACATGCCATTGAACACAGAGCAAATGAGGCAACTTTCCCATGTAACTTGCACTGGACATCTTCAACACCAGATAGTCCAGTTAAAAGTTACTGGCTTGTTTGCTTTTTAATCATTTTATCCTGTAAGACCATCAAATCAGCTACTAAGAGTTAAACGGATTGCCCGCCAGAGATTCATTGCATATAAACATTAGGAAGAACTTCCTGACAGTAAGAGCTGTTCGACAGTGGAATTTGCTGCCAAGGAGTGTGGTGGAGTCTCCTTCTTTGGAGGTCTTTAAGCAGAGGCTTGACAACCATATGTCAGGAGTGCTCTGATGGTGTTTCCTGCTTGGCAGGGGGTTGGACTCGATGGCCCTTGTGATCTCTTCCAACTCTATGATTCTATTCTATATTATTGTCATTTCAATCAAACCCTGTGCTGTTAGTACACTGGCAAATCGTGTATCAGCAACTCTTAATTATTTGAGTTCGCTGAGTGTGCAAAAGCCCCCTCCATGTGTATCAGTGTCTTCTTATGGAAAGGGCTGGGCTTTTAATTGCACGCTCTGATTATCCAGATTTGGGTGAACAGATTTGTATTGAACATATGTTTTCATGGGCATCGACTAAGGATCATGCCAAACCAAGGCTCCAGCTAATTACTTAATTGACTCTGGTTTTATGCTAGGGTAAGCATTCTACGAATAAGCATTGCAGAGTGAGTCAAACAAGAAAACTACTTGGAAGGGCAGGCCAAGGGCTACTTTTTCAAGCAACTGGACAGGCTGTGGGTTGACTGCATGAAATTAATCGGAGCATCTGCAGAATCCTCCTTTCCTGGCTCCGAGGCACACCCTTTGGCAGTGGGTTGCCAGAGGCTGTAAAATGGAAATGTGTCTCAGAAGCAAAGGTTTGTGTGTTTGCTTGTGGTTTTGTAAATAGTGAGAGCTGCTGAAAACTGCTTTGCTTCAGGGTGCGGATAAGTGCTGTGTGACACCTGTGAAACTCACTCAGGGCCACACATAGCACTTGTGAATGCCTTGGACTAAGAATCCTCTGCTTTAAGTTTTCTCTTCCAGTTCCTTTCCCCAAATTCACCTTGACCCTGAAGCCTTTGAGCTGACCTTCAAATCATCCCCCTAACTGTGATTATGGTTGAATTTCTAAGCATACTTTCCTGGGAGTCAGCACCATTGAACGTGGTTCCCCCCTCCCTCTGTGGCCTCCTCACCAGTGAGATTTAGACTGTAAGGTTTGTGGCAGTAGGTACCTTCTCTTTTCCTTGTGAAACGACACTCATTGATGGTACTATATAAGTCATCTATCATCATTATCAGTGCCATCATCTGAGAGGTGTGTTTCTGTCTCCCAGCATTACCTCAAGTGGACTTTTATTAATAGCCTCAGGGTCAAAGCTACTTCTCTGCCAGAGCAAAGGCATCAATATTTATTGTTTCACTTGAAGCAACTGACACAGATGGGAGTTGCACTGGAACATTTGCTTCTCAGCATCTGTCAGGATTCAAAGTCACAGAGCTCGCCTTCGACAGATTCCAGAGGAACAGGAATGCTGGTTTCAAGCTGCACCAACACTTTAGAGACCAGCAGTGCAAGAGACCAGAAGCAAGCCCTGATGGGTTCCATGGGGCATACGCCCAGGTAAGCCTAACTGGCTTACAACCATGTATCTTTTTGGAGATGGCAACCTCATTGTGTATCTGTGCTTCAGAGCCAATGCCTATTGAAACCTGCATTCTTTTAAAATAGGGTTAACCACACTGTGGTGCCCTATAGATGTAGGTGGGCTACTGGCAATGTTGGCCTGGGCTGATGGGAGTTGGGAATCCAAATTATCTGGAGGGCACTGTGGTGTCCATCCCTGTTTTAAAATGCCACAAATATTACACTGTTACATATTTAGAGTGTACCGGGAGTTATTGAAAATAAAGGCTAAGGTCATGCATAGGCTTTCAAGAAACAGTGAGCTATCAAAAACTGTACTGCAGCAGGTGCATTCCTAAGAACCAAGGTTTTAACAACAACAACAAAAGATAATGAGCATACAGAAGTCATGGGATTCTAGAGCATGAATAAAATGCAGTGAGAAATTGGAGATTGTAAATATACATAATGGAACAGCCCACATAATCCTCAATTCAAACCCCAAAAGACACAAGCAAATGTGTGGATAAATTCTGTTCTGAATTCAATTATTCCTCGTGGATTCTTTAAAAGAAAGAAATAAAATAAAAGGCCACTTCACACATTACCTTCAGTGTACACATGTATGATTCAAGGTGGTTTAAGTGTGCCTATGACAAATGGGTGTGTACCAGGAGCAGGGGAGAGATGAGAGGAAATAATACGCATGACACAGAACCATGGCAGAAGATCAGCCACACACTGTATCAAGTACAGCTTGACTGAGGAAAGGCATGGGATTCTGGTGATCTTGTTGCAGATGCAAAATGCTGCCCAAAAGCCTTGACCACACCAAACTACTACATCATGATGGGAGATGGGCAGGAAGCCAACTCTGCCAACCACCAATGCTATTCCTGTGACTGTAGCTCTTCCCAACGGGTGCAGTAATGGTAATATTCAGAAACAAAGATGGGCTGCTCTATGCCCCATAGCACCTTAAGATGTGGGTTTCCCAGTGTGAGAGATCATGGAGCCCTCCTCAAGTTCCTCTGGACCCAAGTTCCTGCTTAGCGCCTTTGCATCTGTAAGGTAAAATCACAGCTGTGACAAATAGTGCCACAGGGAAGGTAGAGTTAAATGTAGGTTCATCAAACAAACTAGCTGCCAAGACAAGCCAGTTATGAACAGGAGAACATAAGAAGAGCCTGCTGGAACAGGCCAGTGACCCATCTAGTCCAGCATCCTAGTCCAACTGGATGCCTGTAGGAAATCCAGAAACAGAGCCCAAGCACAAGAACACTATCCCCTCCTGTGGTTTCCAGAAACTGGTATGGATAAGCATTGCTACTTCCAACTAGGGAGGCAGGGGATAGCCATCATGGCTTGTAGCCATCAATAGCCCTCTCCTTCATGAATGCATCTAATCTTCTTTCAAAGCTATCTAGGTTGGTGGTCATCATTGCCTACCAAGGGAGCGAGTTCTATATTTTAACTATGCACTGCTGCTGCATAATGGAGTACTTTTTTTAACCTGTCCTGAGTCTTCAGGGACATGAACCCTGAAGAATCATGGTTCTCTATACACATACGGTATATCCACACACACATGCATAGACCCATTTACAAACTGATGTTGATTGCATGTTGGCTGGGGAACGTGTCCAACGGGCTTGTCATTCACGATAGCCTCTCCATTTTAAACACTTCTTGTTCTTGTGGAGAAGTTGGTAAAATGTAGGCTGGATGTGGTTACTGTTAAGTAGATTTGTAGCTGGTGGAGTAACCGAAACCAAAGTGTGTTCATCAATGGTTCCTTGTCATCCAGGTAAAAAGTGGGGTGCCCCACGGCCACAGGATTCTGTCCGTGTCCCATTGTTGTTCAACATCTTTATAAATGATATGGATGAAGAAATTGAGGTGGATGCTCATCAAATATGTAGCTGACACCAAGCTGGGAGGGGTAGCTAATGTTGCAGAAGGCAGAATCAGGATTCAGGATGACCTTAACACATTGGACAAGTGGGCCAAAGCTAAAAAAAATGAATTTCAATAGGAGAAATGTAAAGTTCTACACTTAGGCAGGAACCACCAGCTACACAAATGTAAAAGGGTGGGGAACACCTGGCTTACTAGTAAGGGTAAAGGGACCCATGACCATTAGGTCCAGTCGTGGCTGACTCTGGGGTTGCGGCGCTCATCTCGCTTTACTGGCCGAGGGAGCCGGCGTACAGCTTCTGGATCATGTGGCCAGCATGACGAAGCCACTTCTGGCGAACCAGAGCAGTGCACAGAAACACCTTTTACCTTCCCGCCGGAGTGGTACCTATTGATCTACTTGCACTTTGACGTGCTTTCGAACTGCTAGGTTGGCAGGAGCAGGGACCGAGCAATGGGAGCTCACCCCGTCGCGGGGATTCGAACCGCCAACCTTCTGATCGGCAAGTCCTAGGCTCTGTGGTTTAACCCACAGCGCCACCTGCGTCGGCTTACTAGTAGAATGTGTAAAATGGATCTAGGGGTCTTGGTAGACCACAAGCTTAACATGAGTCAACAGGGTGATGCAAAAGCAAAATAAGCTAATGCTATTCTAGGTTGTCTCAACAGAAGTATAGTGTCCCGATAAAAGGAAGTCATAATACCACTCTATTCTGCCTTGGTCAGACCACACCTGGAATACTGTGTCCAGTTCTGGGCACCACAATTTAAGAATATTGGACCTAAGCATAGGCTATATTGCAGAGATGAAGAACCTCCATCCCAGGGGCCTAATTAGAGTCACCAAGAGTCAGCTGCTTGTAACATCTGTATTACACATTCCATTGGTATGACACTTTCAGGCAAGACTTATTCTATTCCTCCAAGGAACCAGACTTACCAAATTTCAAAGACACAAAGAAAAGGCCCCTCATTTTATTCTATTTCTTATTTCTCTTCCCTCCTTCCTGTAACCAGACTTACCAAATTTCAAAGACACAAAGAAAAGGCTCCTCATTTTATTCTATTTCTTATTTCTCTTCCCTCCTTCCTGTAACCTGTGCAGAAAGTTGGTTATTTCTCTATGTCAATAAAAACAAATATGAAAATGAACAAAACAAATGAGAAATGAATAGGCTGTGCACTCAGAATTCATTTGTTTGACTCTCTATGTGAATAAAACAAATGGGGCTCATTTTTAATTTGTTTATTTTAATGAATCCACACACTCATGCATCACCTGAACAGGGCTAGAGTCTCACATTAAAGCAGCTGCTCCCTCCTCACAAAACTCAGCCCGCAACAGATTGGACACAATCCAGCAAAAACATTTAAATGCCTGGTTGATTTCAGTAGGAGTGTTAAGTCCATGCTTAAATGAACATGATTTATAAAAGCTTAATATAGTGCAATCATATGTATTTTGTAAGTTCTATTAGGTTTGATAGGACTTTTTTTGCAGATGATGGGTCATATCCAGCCCTGCAGCTCTTCTGGCAGAAAGAACTTATGTGCATGCAATGGAGCTTTATCTTTTTGCCAGTCTCTTCCAGTCTCCTGTGCACCCCCAAAATCAGCTCCAGAGTGTTGGGGGACTGTTGGGAGCAAATTTGTGTGTATATAAATGATGAGATGGAAGTCCCATTGCAACAGTGGAACTTTGCTGGAGCAGCACTATCTACAACCCTCTGTGAGCAACTGAGAGATGGCGCGCACAATTTTCCATTTACCCTTGTATGGTTTGTTTGTTTTTATTCCTTTTACTCATAGTAACAGACAACTAGAGTGTTTCTAATTTCTTTGAAACGCCTCTCTCTTTCAGATTCAAATGGTTGTTCAACACACTGTTGGGTTTCAAAGCCTTTCCTTTGAGATATTCAGCTTTCTGCTAACGCTGCTAGCCGTTACTGTCACCCCAGTATTTGTCTTGTCAGAACACTGGAGTCACCTGCCTTGCGGCTGCATCATCAACTGCAGAAGGAATGTCTACACTGTATCCTCAGAGGAAGGCAAAAGTAAGTACAGAAGGATGATGGGAAGGGACTGGAGGCTAAGCTTCTGATTCTGCCTGGCCCTGAACAACTTCCCCTTCCCAGGGAAAACTGTGCAGTTACAGCTTGTTTCATCAAAATCTGGTCCACATGGTGCTTTCATGTCCCTTTCTTCTATTATGTGAATGGCTGTTCAACATGAACACCACAAAGCTAGGAATATGTGGGTTTCACCCATGGTAACTTCCTTGATCCCTCTGGATCTGTGGTAGAGCATTTGTTTTGCATGCAGCAGGTCCCAAGTTCAAACGAAGGCTAAGAAGGCCCAGTCTCTGAAGCCCTGGAAAGCTGCCTCCAGATACTGCAAAGAATACGACGTTAGATAGACCCAGTGGTCTGACTTAGCACAAGATGCTTTCCTGTGCTGCTTCGTTTGAAATCCCTGAGCTGTCCAGTTCTTAACAACTTGTAACCAACCAAGTCAAACACAGCCCATCAACAATATTGGATGCCTCCTCACTGATAAACCTGGCTTTTAACAGCATATAGCTACAAGGGGGAGAGGTCATCAAGTACTTCGGACCTTCAGCCCCAGTGTGTGGCTGGTGGAAGGGCAAGGCCAGTGAGGATGTGATGAAGGGGCAGGGCTAGCAAGCATGACCCCACTCTCCCCTGCATGCAATGGTTAAGCACATGAGGAAATCAACAAGATAGAGCTATAGTGAAGGTCACCCAGTGAGCTTAATGACTGTGCTGGGATTTAAACATTTGTCTCACTGATTGGTCTCACTGATCCAAGTAACACTGTCTACACTGGCTTTTTTTTTAGGTGTAGATGAGAGAGCAGCAGTTTGTTTACTTTATTAAATTTATATCCTTCCCTAAGGAGTCCAGGGCAGGACACCTCAGTGTGTGATCTTTCTTCCTCCAGAAGAAAGCCTCTCTTCTGGACTAGGTGACTAGATTGATGCTTCAGTGTCCCAGCTCCATGTGCCTTGATTCTATGCATGTAACCTCAGAATCATGGCTATCTACATTTAAGGAGGATATCTTATATATAAATGTGCACAGTGCAGGACCATTCGAAGAGCTCTGCTGGATGAAACCAAAGGCCTATCTAATCTAGCATTCCAACAGGGGACAAGCAGATGCTTTGGAGAAGCCCACAGGGACTCTCCTGTTGTTGTTCTCCAGCAACTGGTCTTCAGAGGCATGGTGCTTCAATGCCATTGATAACCTTATCCTCCACAAATTCCTCCAATTCCCCTCTGAAGCTATCCAAACTGATGGCCATCACTCCCATCTTTCGGGTGCAGATTCTATAGTCTAGATATGTTCTGTGTGAAGAATTACCTCCTCTTGTTGGTCCTGAATCTCTCAACATGAACTCCCACCTGCAGTCTTTATAGGCAGCTCACGCAGAACAGAACATTTTTCAGTAGTTTGACCAGGGTTGTTACAAAAATCTTCTTGAAAATGGATCTATGCTTATGATGGAGATGACTTTTGCTCTAAATTGATTCTTCCTCTGGATCTTTCAGAACCTGTTTCCCCAACTACAGTGTTTGCTGTGTGTCAAGAAGCAATTTGTTCCTGATAGTGCTTTGTAACAAACTGGCTCTGGCTCCGATACAATATTTACAAAGTGAAATATGTGACAGATGGCAAAGCAACGATTACCTAATTGTTTCAAAACTGAATTTTCCTTTTGTTTTATTTTTTGCCAAGAGATATTCTATCTCACCAGGACCCCATGCAAAATATTTACCATGCAGAATTAAGCAACTTAAAATATAGCTCATGTGCCCAGTGCCAGAATGACCTTAATATATTTATTTAGAATAATTATAAACCACCCCACCCCCGCCCCAACATAACCAGTCTCTGAGCATGGTACATACAGTACAATTAAAACTCATCCAGACTGAACAACCACAATAAGAAAACAATTTAATAACTAAGGCTGATAAAAGAAATAGATTAAAATCCTCAAGGCACAGATTCTTAACAACACAAGTGAGTTGTAAGAACTAAACAGCTAATGTTCTGCAAATGTCTGGACAAAGCAAATAGATTTTTTGCTTGATGCTTAGTAAAGAGGAGGTGCCATGCATACTGCTAAGGCAGGGGTAGCCCAAGCGCCAAACCCTTGTCCAATTCCCAGGGGGATCACATGCCAGGAGCGGGTGTGGCAAAAACTGGGTGTGACATTGCATGCATGAAGACACAGAAACACACATACACACCACTTATTGGCTGATCCATACAGATCTGTGGGCGGGGGGCAGGTATCAGTCCCTCTCTGTTCATAAAAATGACTGATCTGCTGTATCAGATTTGTATCCTCACAAGTGCACTAATCTCTCTGCATTCCAGTGATGTGCCTGCTCAGTTTCTTTGTTCTTTCTGCTGCTGCTGCAGCTACCCAATATGTAGTTTTTTGGGTGAGCAAAATAATTGCAAGGGAGCCCAGATCAGGTCAGTGATCTGGGGGTTAAAGGTAAAGGTAAAGGGACCCCTGACCATTAGGTCCAGTTGTGGCCGACTCTGGGGTTGCGGCGCTCATCTCGCTTTATTGGCTGAGGGAGCCGGTGTTCAGCTTCCAGGTCATGTGGCCGGCATGACTAAGCCGCTTCTGGCGAACCAGAGCAGCGCACAGAAACACTGTTTACCTTCCCACCAGAGCGGTACCTATTTATCTACTTACCCTTTGAAGTGCTTTCGAACTGCTAGGTTGGCAGGAGCAGGGACAGAGCAACGGGAGCTCACCCCGTCGCGGGGATTTGAACCGCTAACCTTCTGATCGGCAAGTCCTAGGCTCTGTGGTTTAACCCACAGTGCCATCCGCGTCCTTGATCTGGGGGTTAGCCACCATCTAACTAGCCACTAGCAGTAAGAAGGACCTTATGAAAGCAAAAAGCCCACACTATATTTCTTTAAGTGGGCTCTTTAAGTGGGCTCTTTTAGCTTGCTTCTATTTCTATCCCACTCTGTTCCAAAGCCTGGGAATGATAAACAATGGGGATGGGGAACCTGTGGTTCTCTAGATATTGCTGAACTACAACTTACAGCATCTCTGAACAATGGTCATGCTGGCTGCGACAGGTGGAAGCTGTAGTCCAATAACAGCTGAAGGGCCACAGGGTTCCTATCCCTGGTTTAAAGCTTTGATCCAGAGATTTTCTGCATGCAGCATTGGGCTATCCATATAATCCCTTGCACATCTAGCCTCCAAACAGGTAGATGGTGCTGTTGACTTTGAGAACAGCACTCACTTGCTTGGATATGTGGAGGTCTGGGGTTCATTCCTTCCACTTCTCTTTTCCTTTGAGGACAAATGGGGTGGGGAGATGATGCCTCTGACTAGCAATATCATAAGCAACTTCCACAGTTCCCAATCCTACATCAGAAACAGTGTTGGATCCACCCTGCGAAATGCCTGCGAATGCAACTCCAATTTTCTGCATGCTTTTCTTAATTCTGAAGAGATGCTTCCATGTGCCTATTGCCTGTTCTGAATCAATGCCACAAAGCAGATGTAAAGGATCTGATTAAAATTAGATTAAAGCAGTTCAAATGCAACAGATGCTAAATGTGAAACCATCTGCTGACTTAAGCCACACACACCTCCAAAAAACCAGGCAAGATAAGATTGAAATGGCAAACAATGGATGGGATCCAGAGTAAGTTAGCTGCAGTGTTCCCACTGAGATCAGTGGGTTTTAAGTCATGCCTGTCTAGTTCCAACCTAATGTGTATAATTTTGCCTGTTTTCACAGTTCAGTCTGTTAAGTAGCATGCTACACTAGCCCTTGATCCAAGGTGTTAGATCCACATACCTGAATTTAGTTCCCACTGAAATCAACAGGACATGTGACTTGCCTTTTAGTAGTCTTATGCATACCAACTCCACGTCAACCAGTTCAAACTACACTCTGCTGACTCTCCTATCATGATGAGCCAGAAAGTTTGTTTTCTGTTTTGCATGTTATCAGCTTTCATGTGCTGGGTCCTCCAGAAAACAGAGATCAAAACTACTTCTAATATCTGGGAAATCACTCTGTTCTCTTCCTGAGAAAATGAGTCAGCTAATATTGGGTAAAGCCAGATATAAGTTCCGGGTGTGGTGGAAGTAGCTGGAAGACACATTAAATCCATTCCAAGGTATATGCATTCCGGGCAAATAATGTCTTCACCCTTAGAGCATATGTCTGTCTTCATTTAGCATTGGTGTTTAAGCACTTGGAACATTAGTTGGTTTTTAAAAATATTGTGTTAAAGTGTGCAATGCAATCCAAATTTATCCCATTTTAGGGTATATGGTTGTTGTTTATAATACCAGTATCTGCCATTTGCACTTCCTACCAGCTATTTTTAATGCAAACACTTCTTTCCTTTCCTTAGCCAAAAGAAGAGGCTTTGAATTCAATCTGTCATTCCAACAAGGTTATGGAATCTATAAGATATCTCATGACAACCATCACAGCGACGATGGCAACTCTATATCATACCACAGCTTGCTCAACTATGACTGCGAGAATATAAGAGAGACTCAAAAGGACTGCAACAAAATTGAGTTCAGCACCATCTCCCTGGAGGACAGCTCCCTGCTTAAAGAGAGCACCAAGTGCAAAAAAACTGTTGGTACAGACACCAAACAAGACCTTAACAAAGATAAGTTTATGGATTGCCTGCTTTCTGACAAAATGGGAACGTATAAAAAAGAAGAGGTGAGGAATATTGAGAAGTGTGCTTTCTTTGAAGAGAAGGAAAGAAGGCTTTCTCATGAGGAGTGCCGAAAACCAGAACTCTCTGACTGGGAGTGGTGCAGAAGTAAGTCGGAAAGGACCCCACGGCAGGTAGAGTCTTTCCTTGTTTGAAATCTTCTAAAAGTGTCTACTTATATGTGTAGTATGTGATGAATAACTTGCAGGCTTGGTGGTCTGTGCCTTACTTCTATGTTTTGCAACTTGAGCATCTATATGACTCAGATTTATGTGAAAAAGAGCCACAGTTGAGTCAGTGTACATCAGCTTCATTGAATGTATTCCTATTTATTTCACTGGCAATAAATAAAGCCCAAAGACTTTGGTTTACCAGCATTGCAGGTAGGGTAGAGCTATAGTAAGTATGCTTTATCCTGGAGTCTATTCTGGTTCTTAGGATGCAAAGAGGGGGAGAGAGAGAGAGATGGCGGGAGGGAGGGAGTGGGAGACTACTAATTGCAAACAGTATTGTTAGCATGAGTGTCATCAGCCATGAGAGGTAGAGAAAGTGCAAAATCATTATGGGATATATATATATATCAACCACAACCTCTTGCACAGTATCGCCACTTCCTCTCCATCTTTTGGGCATGACTTTCTTTCATGTTGTTTTTTCATTTGTTTGTTTGTTTGATCATATGATCAAAAGCAAGGGATTTTGCTAGTCGCAAATCTGGTTCCTTGACAGGTGGAGTGGAGAAATGCTTAGAAGATAGCAAGGAGTTCTGCTTGCTTCTTTGCAATGTATCACCATCACCTTGAGAGGTGTCCACTGTGCTTTTAGGTCATGTAGTCCTTGAGTGTACACAAGTCCTGCCAGAGTCTCCTTACTTCCTTACTTTACTGTAGGGTTGCCATACCTCGAAGAGCAAAAAAGAGGACAGCCCGAGCTGGGGAAAGAAGCATGTGGGCGTGGGCACACATGGCCACCGTAGTGCTCCTCTTTCACTGGATCAGACTGGCAGTGGCCATGACGTGCAAAGCAGCCCACGTCCAAACCACCAGCACCTGAGCCTGAGCCGCCCGGGTCAAGCTGCTGCCAACCTGAGCAGAGGCAGGACCCCAGCTCCTACCTGATCACCCCACTGCAGTCCTTCTGCTTCCAGGGAACAGTGTCCTCCCAAGCATGCACATGCCCAACCGCCCCCAAAAAACTTAAAATAAAAAAACCCAGAAAACCTGGATATTTCCTTTAAAATGTTAAAAAAAACCCAGATGGGCATGTTGGCCTCCAAAAAGAGGACATGTCCAGGTTTTCCCGAATGTATGGCAACCCTTATTTTGTTGTTGTTTAGTCGTTTAGTCGTGTCCGACTCTTCGTGACCCCATGGACCAGAGCACGCCAGGCACTCCTGTCTTCCACTGCCTCCCACAGTTTAGTCAAACTCATGCTGGTAGCTTCGAGAACACTGTCCAACCATCTTGTCCTCTGCCGTCCTCTTCTCCTTGTGCTCTCAATCTTTTCCAACATCAGGGCCTTTTCCAGGGAGTCTTCACTTCTCATGAGGTGGCCAAAATATTGGAGTCTCAGCTTCAGGATCTGTCCTTCCAGTGAGCACTCAGGGCTGATTTCCTTAAGAATGGAATTTCCTTAAGAATGGAAACCTTTATTTACTGTTCACCAATTTCAGTGCCTGGTTGCTACAAACCACCATCTCTCTTTCTTATCTTCTAATTGAAATAATCATATTTTCTCATGATCAGGGTATAGTGGTAAGTGCAGGAGCTCATTATTACAGTCCCCATAGCAGTCATCTGGGTTCCTCCACTGTTAGACACCCCCACCCCCCAGTACATACCCAATTTATTAGAAACTGCAATGCACTCAGTGGGGCTTTGTTCTGAGTCCATTGGTTCAACTTATAAACCACATGGAGCTGCAACGCAACTTATAGCTTGCAATTAGAAATGCAGACAATTTCGCAAAGAAGTGTGGATCCATGAGCTAGGATGAATTAGGAACTCCATCAAAGGAAAGGAATATCCAGACTCTGCTTGATTCTTTTCCTCATCAGCGGACTTCTGATATGCTAACCTGTCACAAACAAACTTGAAAGTCTCATCATCACCTCATTCACTTGTTAGAGCAAAGACACTCTGTGAATTTCCCTGACACACTGGTGGATGATGTCATCATTCCTGCTGTGAAAAAAAGCCTTCAGGTTGCACTCCCTGCTCATTCACCACCCCACCCCACCCCACCCTCTCTCTGGATCACATCACAGATAAGTAGCTTCTATGAGGGGTTTTTTAAAACTTTTTTTAATCCAAAATTAAAACAAAACATATTATCCAGAAACATATCATCCTTATTTACCCCATTTTTCCTCCCTCCCCCCACCCTCCCACACAAAACCCATCCACCCCTGGCTTCCTGTGTGGTGTGGTGTAGTGGTTAAGAGCAATAGACTCGTAATCTGGGGAACCGGGTTCGCGTCTCCGCTCCTCCACAGGCAGCTGCTGGGTGACCTTGGGCTAGTCACACTTCTCTGAAGTCTCTCAGCCCCACTCACCTCACGGAGTGTTTGTTGTGGGGGAGGAAGGGAAAGGAGAATGTTAGCCGCTTTGAGACTCCTGAAGGGGAGTGAAAGGCGGAATATCAAATCCAAACTCTTCCTCTTCTAACAAATGTTAAATGGAACATTTTCTTCAATTCATTGTGTATCATTTCCCAAATTTTTAAAATTACATTACAATCCCACTACATATGATAAAATGTCCCTTCCTTTTCCTTACACTTCCAACATATATTTGAACTAGTTTTGTACATTTTCCCTAACTGCACTGGTGTTGTGTACCATCTGAAAGTCATCTTCATGTAATTCTCCTTTGATAGGGAACAATCTGTAAATTTTAAATCAGTTTTCCATAATTTTTACCAATCTTCCATCATAATGTTTTGACCTACATCTTGTGCCCATTTAATCATAACTGATTTTACCTCTTCATCTTCCGTCTCCCATTCTAATAGTATGCTGCATGCGGCCTTCAGTAATTTCACTTTCCCTTCGATCACTTCCGTTTGAAACCTATGCAGCTTCTATGCAGTTTTAACAGGAAGTGGGAAAGGTGCCTCTGTCTGTGAAGAACCCATTCAGCTTTCATTTATTTGGATTTTGGATTTGATATCCCGCTTTATCACTACCCTAAGGAGTCTCAAAGCGGTTAACATTCTCCTTTCCCTTCCTCCCCCACAACAAACACTCTGTGAGGTGAGTGGGGCTGAGAGACTTCAAAGAAGTGTGACTGACCCAAGGTCACCCAGCAGCTGTAGGTGGAGGAGCAGGGAATCGAACCTGGTTCACCAGATTACGAGTCTACCGCTCTTAACCACTACACCACATTGGCTCCCTATTTGAAGCAGGCATGGAAGCAAGGAAGGACATTCATGTACCAACCAGATTATGCAAGATCGTTGCTATTTAAGGGGGTTAAATATTCAAAGAAGTAGTGTAAGTTTTTAAAAATGGTTTTCACCATTGCTTTTTTTTCTAGAAGAATAGGTGCTGGTACTCACCATGAAGTTGTTACAGTAAGTGCCACACTTTTTAACAACCAAAAAACGACTTGTGTACTCTTGAGTACCTCCTGAAAAGAAAGCACTGGTTTTCACCCAGAGTTCAACACCCTGGACAGAAATATTCTCTGCAATGCACTCCTATTCACGGATACTCTGGTAACTAAAAATTAATGATTTAGACCTAAAGACCAAAGCACTTTCTGAGAATACATATTGGACTCAACAACCATCTTTGCAAAGAAAGCCCAATACTTGCTGTGCTTGCAGCCCCTGCATATCTATCCTCCTCAGAAATGGTGTTTGCATTCCTCAAGCTGTGAAAGGGCAAGCCAGGGCAGATATTCAAAGTGAGGGCTTCATCTCATGTCTATTCATCTTAGCTTTTTATGAACCTCTCCATATGTATTCTCATGAATTCCTGGTACTGAGAAATTGAGCCAGACTCACCTCACCCCACCACAATTACCTTCAGGTCAATTTGTTATTTTTTTTGTTTGTTTATCAAAATATTCGTATACTACTATATCATAAAAAAAATGTCAAGGTGATTTACAGAAATGCGTGTGTGGAATTAAAACACACAAGCCTTTAAAATCAAAGACCATCAACTAACCATGATGGGGGAAATGTTATCTTTAATTGCCTGAATAAGCCTGGCAGCATATAATTTTTTCAGCAGGCATTTAAAGGTTGAAACAAAAGGTACCTTCTGAATCTCTGGGCTGGGCTGATGACCTTAAAGGCTTGGTTTTTTCTTGTTGTCATGTGAGCCTCATCAACTCAGGGGACAAAGAACGATGCTCCTGCAGATTACCTCAGTGATTAAACTGGGATGTAAAGGTTTCAGCAATTCTTAATGTACCTTGGACCCCCATTCCCCTCACAATTCGTCTAGAAAATTGAGATCAAAACTACTTATTTGAGGGGAATGGCGCCTCCTGATGACTCTCAGCACCCTTAGGGAACTACAGCTCCCAGAATTCTTTGGGGGGAGCCCTGACTGTTTAAAGTGGCACCATAGTGCTTTAAATGTATGGGGTGAATATGGCCTATGACAGCTTCATATGAATAAATGACTGGGACGCATCAGTGGGAAGATTGTTGATGTTCTGGGGTTATACTTGTACATCTTGTTGGCCATTGTGAGAAAAGGCTGCTGGATGAGCTGTGCCTTTGGCCTGCTCTCTTAGGTCTTTATGCCCAATATGTGATGTCAAAACTAGAAGGCAGGTTGTGGTTTTTGGGGTTTAATACCCCTGTGTGACTATATCAATAGGAGTCACCAGATGTTTTGCAACAACAAGCCTTTTAACTTGAGATCTTTCCCAGTCTGCAGCTGTATTAGAATAGTTTCAATGATGTGTTTATTGTTTCATTGGGAAGAAGGGAGGGATATAAATTAGCAGCAGCAAGAATGCCCAACGGCCTCGGCCCAGTGTACCTAAAGGAGCGCCTCCACCCCCATCGATCAGCTTGGACACTGAGGTCCAGTGCCGAGGGCCTTCGGGCAGTTCCCTCACTGTGCGAAGTGAGATTACAGGGAACCAGACAGAGGGCCTTCTCGGTAGTGGCGCCCACCCTGTGGAACACCCTCCCATCAAATATGAAGGAAATAAGCAACTATCTGATTTTTAGAAGGCATCTGAAGGCAACCCTGTTTAGGGAAGTTTTTAATGTTTGATGTTCTATCATGTTTTTAATATTCTGTTGGGAACCACCCAGATGGCAGGGTATGAATAAATTGTTATTATTGTTGTTGTTAACCTTAGCTCCTTGGCTTCTACAACCAGTTGGTGCCAAGATAGGTCTGAGAGCACATGTAGTGGTTAGGATGTTGGACTAGGACCTGAGAGCCCAGGGCTCAAATCCCCACTTGACCATGGAGCTCACTGGGTGACCTTTGGGCCACTTACTGCCTCTCAGCCTAACCTACCTCACAGGGTCATTGTGGGGATTAAATGAGGGGAAGGACCATGCATGCCACACCTTGAGCTTCTTGCAAGAAAAGATGGTATATAAATGCAATAAACAACAACAACACAAACTGGTGTGTGTGGCTAGCCTCTTCTGCCCTAGAAGTGAGGGTTATCCTTTCCTAGACAAAGTTTTTTTTCTGCCTGCTTACCAGCCTTCCCTATTCCCTTGGCATGAACACTTGACATTTTCCAAACCGTCGCCCAGAGCCCTGTTGTCATGTCCTCATGCTCGGCAAGTTCTAAAGTTCAGGGCTTCTATCCACAAGGTCCATTTGCTTCCTGCATCCAGTAGTAGCTGCCAGACTGCCTGCCACAAGTATGACATTTGATCTTTTGAACAAACTGGGGAGATGGGGGGAGGGTGGGAATCTTGCAAGTGCCAAAAGCAGAACTGACTGCTGTACCCTAGGGCTATGGCAAGACGGATGAACCAAGTATTTCAGTATTATTAATCACTGTTTTATTACTGCAGTAAATTCCCAAGAATATGATGTTTCCCTTACTGCCAATTCCTAAGAGCTTTCTGTTTCCAACTTTTGAGCAAACGCTTATTAGTGATATGGAGCGAAGCGAGAGACTTGTTCTTCAGTGACATGCACAAAAGCTGCTCTGCTTCTAAATGCTAGAGTCAAAATTGCATTGATAGCACATATTAGGGGCGGTTTTAAATAGTTATTTTCAATGCAGCACAGAAATTAAGAATGCACTGCTGTGTCCAAAGGAGGGTTCCTTTTCCAGTCTGCATGTGAAAGAGAGCCTTGGACTGATTTCATAATAACACTTGGCTAAGCCTTCAAATACCACATGACTTGGTATTGTTGTTATCCTTACAACGAGCCTGTAAGGTAGGTCAGTATTTGTATCTCCATAAGTAAGACTTGCAGCGAAAGGTTGCACTATAGCCTCACTTGGTAACAGGACTGTTCAAGCCAGCCAGATTTATAAATTGTTATGGGCTCAATAATCCAAATAGCTCTCCCTATTCCAGCATCCCCTCCCACATTTTTTTTAACCCACACTTTCCAGCAGTTGGCATTCAGAAGTATATTGCCTTCAACCACTATGTTGCACTAGCTTTCTTTATGCAATGAATTGGTTTTGACACTGTTCTGATAAGTATCTCCTTATAATGTTGGCTCAGCTTTTTTTTTTTTACAACGCAGATATGAAATGATGACAAATGAAAATGTCAGTTTTGAGTTCTAGAGTGTATCATGGGGCCCCTGGGGCTCTCCAAATTGGGACAAGATGCTTGGGGGCAATTTTGTCAGTTATCCAGGCCACATCTGCATTCCTCAAATCAAACAGGGCTTCAGCAGGAGCACCAGTCATATGAGTGATAAAATCTTCTTCTAAAATCCATCAGCATTCGTAGGGGGCTGGGGGGCAGTCCATTTTAATAGGAGGCCTTGCAAAGGGAAAAGGCTAGTGTAAGTCTCAATCTCAACAGCACTCTAAACACGACAAGAGAATACTTGTAACATATTCTGCCTTCAGATCACCTTCTTCCAGCTTAGGAGAGAAACCCAAATCCAGTGTGTGTTGTTGGGACAGCCTTGTTGTGACAGCCCCATGTTTGTCAGGACAGTCACGAAGTCCTGAGCTGCCCCAGATCCTCAGCATAGACATCCCAGAGAATTAGCATCCTGGGGGGGGTCCTTAAAACCAACTCTCGTGCCAACTCTCTGTCAGCTCAAGTAGAGGAACTGCTGGACAGTGGATCTTCTCCACCAGCAGAATTCCAAATCTGTCCCTACACACACTATACAAACACTCCACATTTCTACTCACTCAGACAGGTGGTCTGTAGAGAGTAACTGAAGTTCCATAGACTACAGCAAACTCCATTCATAGCCAGTGAGCCTACTCTGGTTCTGATCTGAGTACTCAAGTGGGTACAGCTAGGAGAGAGTATTTCTATCCAGGTCTCAAACATACATGGCAAGTCAACTTCCTCATCCATTATCAAATTGTAGATGAGGAAGATCTTATTGCAAACTGATCTGGTGTTTAAAAGCAGCACTAGCAGATCCAGTGGCTAGTGGGTGGGAGAGATCAGTATAGCCAATAACTGTTTCAGCCACCTTTCCCCTTACTTGGCTAAGGTTACCAGGCATCCCCGTTTCCTGGGGACAGTCCTCAGATTTACAAATCAGTCCCCATACAAAATCCATTGAAGTTGAAAAGTGTCCCCGGATTCATTGAAAAAAAATCTGGTAACCTTATACTTGGCATGCTTCCCAAATGCCATATCCTTCCCCCCCCCCCTTGCCCATGACACCTTGATTGCCCCCACCCATCCTTCTCTGTTCTCCACAGCTAAGCTAATAACACCTTTCCCATGCACAAATCAAGGATAGGGGCGCAGTTTCAAAATGCTCGAACCTGATCATTTTACTGGAAACAGACAACAGAAACAGCCACAGACTCACAAATAGCCTAAATCCTCCCTATGCATGGAAATAGTAACTGAACCTTGTCATACACAAACACAAATTCTTTTTTGTTAGTGGTTTTCCCATCAATGTTGCTGTTGTCAGGGTACTTCTGCCTGAGTTGGCCCAGTGGCTATCCCTGTTCCTTTTACCTAGAAATAAGAGTTCCGACCGGCCAGATGTCGATTAAGAGTGAAGGCTGTGTTTTCATGCCAGCCACCTGTTTTGTGGCTCTCCCACCTGCTGGCTGTGCAATGCTGATGGTGGGCATTCTTAGATAACTCCAGCACTATGGGTTGTTCTTCTTTGGCGATCACTTGTAGCCGAGTAAGATTGTCTTCCATAAACACGGTTTTAACAGTGGGTCCGGAAGGGACTGCAGAGCCCAATTTGGATGTACACGTCCTTCCACAGTGGGGACATACTGTAGGTTTCTGGGTGGGAGTTGATCATGGTGAGGGTTTGCCAAATGTGCCTTCCTCTTAGCACGTTTCTCCCTTTCATCCTGAGTTCAAGTGTCTTCAAAGCCCATGACACCTTTGTTCTCGAACTGGAGCACTCGCAGGCCAGTGTTTCCCAGTTGTCGGTGTTTATACTACATTTTTTTAGATTTGCCTTGAGAAAGACTTTAAAGCTCTTTTGTTGACCACTGGCACGATGCTTTCCATTTTCAAGTTTGGAATAAAGTAATTGCTTTGGAAGACAATAATCAGGCAACCAAACAACATGACCAGTCCAATGAAGTTGATGTTGAAGAATTATTGCTTTGACAATGGTGATGGTGGCCACTCTTAGATAACTCCAGCACTATGGGTTTTAGCCAATGCTAGTTTTACTCAGAGCAGACTCACTGGAATGAATGGACCTAAGTTAGCTGTGTCCATTATTTCCAATGGGTCTGTGCTGGCACTGGAATTGGAGGCAACCCTATGGTTCTCTTTTAACGCTCACAGTCCAGCAAGAGTAATGTGTCCACCCCCTACAAGGCAAGGAAGTACATACACAAAAGTATTTGAGGCACATACTTATCCTGATTCTCTGGAGCAGATTTTGGAAGAATGTGAGTGCTGCCTCATATCTCCAGGGGTCTACACTTTGCAACCTTTCCTAGTGCCCACACTTCAGTCAAAGCCCAGGAGAAGCTGTCATGATGCAATTCCTCCCATAGGACTTTTTTTCAGTCAGGAAGCGTTACTGCAGAACACTAGAGGAAATGTTTAATGGAAAGAAACACACTTTCCCTCTCACGACCTTGCCATGATAAGGCAAGTTCAAAACCCTGCTCCCCCAGAAATTCTAAAGTTCCCTGCAGATGAAAAATAGAATCCTCAATTCTCAGAGGAAGCAAACTTTCAAGAAACTGGAGGAGAGATTTCAGCACAACTCCGGTTGTCACACATGAATAAAAGAGCAAAAAACATGCTCATGGTTTAATAATTTTCATCTCTACTTGCATTGTAACTAGTTTGTTATTAAAATGGCTCAGCACAATCTTATATATCTCTACTCAGAAGTAAGCTCCACTAACATCTGTGGGACTTACTTATAGGTAAATGCATATACGTTTGCAGCTTCACAGTCCTATCACATTGTACTCACAGTTTAATCTGTAAGGAAAAGCAAACAAAGCGTGTTTCAGATCATTTCTGAATGTAATTTATCTGTTGGTTTTAGAGGGCTTAATTCCCCCCCCCCCCAATAAATATTTATTGCTTGTAACCACAGGCCATTGCAAATTATAGAACTTAATAACCTGCCATTTCTATCCCAATGGGATCCCAAGAAAACCAAGCGCAGATGATTAAAAATGTCTTGTTAAACATATAAATCAATAAGTTTTCATGGAAAAACTCAAACGATAAGTAGCATTACAACACAAAAGCATGTTTTTAAAAATTGTGCAGCTGCCCATCTGGGAGACAAGATGGATCATTGTGGGACCTCGTAGGACACTGGGGTGGGGCAGCCTTCCAGAACAATTAGATATGCTTAAATGTAGAACATTCCTCCCAGGCCATTCTGGTGAAGTGCTCCAGAATATCAACAATGCTGACAGAATGTAAAGCTGCTGAGAGGTCCAGTAGAATCACTAGTGTCAGGGTTCTAATTTCAGACACGTTACTGTATAGACTGATAGTTCACATACATTCCAGAAAAGGAAAGGCCTTATCCATAAAGGAGATTCTCTAAACACCAGGAAGAACTTTCTGACAGTGGAACAGACTCCCATGAGAGGTGGTAGACTCTCCTTCCTTTGATGTTTCTAAGCAGAGGTTGGGTGGCAATCAGTCATATATGATCTAGTTGCGATTCCTCAGGGGTCCCTTCCAACTATACAGTTCTATGATTCTATAGATACCGAGCTAGATGGAGCATTAGTCTTTTTCAATAGAAGGTGGCTTCCTTTGCCCTTAAGATAATTTCTTAATTATCTTCTAACATTTGGATGAATATTGTCTATACATGTGATGTGCATGCTGTGAAGCTAGGCTGTCCGATTATTCTAATCTCTAGACTAGCCTGGAGAGTAAAGAAGACTCCAAGAAATAAGAAGTTACTTAGTTCTGAGCAAGAGCACTGGATCTTTGCAAACCCCCTCAACAAGCACACATCTTGTATCTTGCTTCCTTGTAGTCTTTTGCTCTGATCAACGGCAGCACCCAAACAATAGAACTGCTGTGCGATATCTGTGCCAATTGGTATCTGTGCCAAGTGGGTTACTGAAATGAAAATCTTTTTAATAAACAGCATCATGGGCATGTTACGTGAACTGCCCACACTGCAGCAACAAAACTACAGACTTGGAATTCCTTTTCACTCCAGGATGTCCTCTTACAATGACATAGAGCTATACGGTGTTGAATCCTAGAAAATTAATGAGACCTCCCGTCTCAGCTTTCAAAGCCTTAATGACTTCACAGTGAAAATCAGTGATTAGTTCCACTTCTGCAAAACACACACAGACAGACACTTATTGGAATGCAAAAGAAAACAGAGAGCAAGCCTTGAGGGGGTGCATCACTGCAGGCACATGTAAATCACTGAACTGATTTTTCTGAAATGAAAATCCAGACATCTGAGCGAGGTGAAAAGGGAGAGAGAATCTTCTCCAGGCTGCAAACACAGCTCGCAGTGGGGAGAAGAAGAGCTTTTGCAAGGTGAAAATACAAGCCTATATGAAGGAACCATTGTTTGAAATGAGTTCCAGTTGATTCCTTATCTGCTGCAAGCACTCTGTTCTTCTAACACAGAGGGGCAAGGAGATCAGGGGACCTGGTGCAGTTCTTAAAAGATTCCCCCCTTCTTCCACCAAAAAGGAACTCACAAAATTAGGTAGCACCAAAAAAGTCTTGTGGTATCCTAATGCCTAACACATGTATAATGGCATAAGTTTTTGTGGAGTACAAAAGAGAGAGCCCTGACAGAGTGCACATGATTCCAAAAAGTTCTGTCATCCAGGCACTGACTACAGCAGTTTAGCTTCAGCAATGGCATTGCATCGGAAGCCGTTGGACCATTCTCAAGCTGCACTCAAAACATGAATATAGCCTCATTTATCCAAAGTGTCCTCAAGGGGCTGTGTGAGATTTTTAGCTATATCCATTGTTGAGTCAGGCAGTCATCCGGAAACAGAAAGCACCTATCCAATTGTTCCCAATATTCACAGGATGTTTATGACAGGGAGTGTCTCCAAGGAGTCAAAGGCTGGCCCCAGCGGGTTTAGCTGTTTTCATATCAAGGCCGTTTGTGGCTACTGAAATGGATTTGTTTGGGGAGTCAGATCAACACCATGGAAAAGAATGTATGAGGGGTGATGATGCAGGATTAGAAAGGCAGGTGAAGCCAGGCCTGGCCTTACCATGAGGCAGCCTGAGGCGACTGTCTCAGGCAGTGAGATCCCACTGGGATCTAGAGGCAGCATGTAACTAACTAAGAGAGAGGAGTGACATTAGACCTCTAAGGCTGATCAATCGATTGTGATATCTGGCCTTGAAGGACCATGGCTATTTGAAGCAGAGGCAAAGAACCTTTTTCAGGCTGAGTGCCACATTACACCAGTAGACAGTTGTTTGGGGGTCACAGTACTGTAATGAGCACCAGTGACAAACTGACACACAATCACACACACACAGTAACTCTGATTTTCTTTTCCATCTTCGATTTTCATTAAATCCATTGGAGCAGGCATAGATCAGCACATACTCCTAGCTAGTTTTTCTCTGAATTTCCTCTGTCAATTGTAGGCAAACATAGGATCATTCTGGCACCCGGGTATGTTCTTAGGAGCAAACAAAAGAGCTATGTGATTTAGTGAGCCATTCAAAGTTGTATGTGCACCTGTGTGTACTGTGTGTACAAGCTAAAGCTACAGCCTTGTCTTCACTTTTCTCTATAGACTGTTTATATTATTTATAAACTCAGTTTTTAAAAAGCTCTTCAACACCTTTATCTTTTCTGACTGCTCAAACCCTCAGTAATCCTTGAAGCATGTACATGAAGCATGTAACTTAGTAATTCGTTCCGGAGGTCCGTTCTTAACCTGAAACTGTTCTTAACCTGAGGTACCACTTTAGCTAATAGGGCCTCCCACTGCCACCACACCATCACTGCACAATTTCCGTTCTCATCCTGGGGCAAAGTTCTTAACCCGAGGTACTACTTCTGGGTTAGCGGAGTCTGTAACCCAAAGTGTTTGTAACCCGAGGTGTTTGTAACCAGAGGTACCACTGTACAACTGAATTGCCAGCAAAATGTATGGACACTTTTTGATTTTTTTCAAGAAACACATATCTACTTCTCTGCTGAGACATTTTCCACATTGCTTATTATTATTATTTTAAAAATTATTTATTCATTTTTGCAGAGCACATAGCTGCCATTGCATGCTTTCCATGATACTAAAACCCCTTTCCCTCTCACTGAATGGCTAATGGGTGGAAGGGGACCCTGAGGGTTGGAAAAAAAATTGGCTGCAGGCCATATATTTCATTCTATTTTAATCAAGAACAACCAGTCCCCTGCTATGCTCATTGCTACAATGAAATTCTACACATGTCTTCTCATAAATAAATTATCCTGAGATCCATGGAACTAACTCCTAGGTAAGAGTATATAGGACAGTAGCCATAGACCACTTCTTCTCAAAAGCAATCTTATACATGAGAAGTTTGGGACCTTTTTTGAGTCCACAGCTCCCTTGACCAACTACATTCTTTCTGTGTCACCCCTGTGGGGCTCAGGAACCCAGTTATGTCACCCTTTGCCTGCAGAGCTGGCAGCCTCTCACCCTTTTTCAAACACCCTCCTTTGTGGAGGGTTCCCTCAGCCTCCTCTCCCCTCCCCTCCCCTTGGGAGTCCTCTGGGCAGCAGCTGCTGCTGTCCCTGGTCTCTGAGCTGCCCTGCCTTTCAGAGGCCCCATTCGCCTGCAGAGCTTATAGCCGGGACTGCTGCAATAAACAGCTACGCAAGCCTTCCGGAGGCAGAGACATGAGAGGGGCATCAGAGGAGGGAGGAAAGGAAAGAGGGACAGAGGCCAGTGTTGCCCGCAGCACCCCTGACCATCATTCAAGGCACCCCAGGGTGCCACACACACTGGTTGAAAACCACTGCTATACATACTTACTTGGGAGCAAACCCAACTGAACTCAAGAGACAGACTGCTGAGTTTTCATGCAAATAGTTTTCCTCTAAGCCAATTACAGAAAATCCGTAATTCCTGCTCCCTATTTTCTATGACAAATAGGAGCCTAAGCAAAGCAGTTTTGTAGCACCCATTATAAATTTTCCTTTGTGGTACAATTCATAACAAAACACTTATCGTTGTCACCATTTAAATTGCTTATTTCACTTGATGTTGAAGGATGAATGTTACGGCCTGTTGTCTGACCTTGTTCTCAGTACGGAATACATAAGCGTTCTAAAAGCGAAAGCGGGAAAAGTAGAATAGTGCTGGGAAACAATGACAGGGAAGCAATATGAGTTTCAGACAGTCAAGATAATCCTCCATTAACTCAGAAAGCACAGCATGGGTAGGCGTTGATGTTTCGAAGGTCATCATAACAGATTAAGTGAATTGGCCCTCAATCAGTTGAGTTCAGTATTTCGAGGTTAGAAATAAATACTTTGCATGAAGGGTTGGGGGGGAAATACACAAGTTATACTCTCAACATTTTCAGGGACAAAATTCCATTTTAATTTAAAATATATCTTTGCAAATGCATTCAGCTCAAAGATTAAACTGAGACATAAAACTGTACTCATCAGTTTTTCTAATTTCTGTTTAGAATACCTCTGAACCACCTTCAACAAAAGATCCTAGGGCAGTATACAACTCTCAGAAGAAAGAAACATAACAAAATATAACAAGGCAAAATAAACAGCCAGCAAACTAAGAGCAGGATAAAATATCTACATTTTCAAAGAGCCTGAGCAAATAGGAAAGGTTTCTCATGTCCATATCATAGTTGAACTATGGAACTCACTCCCACATGATGTTTTGATGGCCACCAGATTGGATGGTTTTAAAAGAGGGTTAGACAAATTCATGGACGATATTAGGCTATCAATGACTACCAGTCACAATGGCTACATTCTAGCTCCACTGCCACTCAGTATGCTTCTGAATGCTGGTTGCTGGGAATATCAGGTAGACAGGATGATGTCGCACTCAGATTCAGCCTGCAGGCTTCCATAGGCACCTGGTTGGCCACTGTGAGAAAAGGATGCTAGATGGGTCCTTGGGCTCTTCTTATGTTCTTATCAGGTCAAGTTTTCATGCAGTCATAAACTTACAATGGCTATCTATTCCAAATCTTATTACAAAACAATGCAACTTGTGGAGTTCTCCTGATGTCTTTACTAATGGGTGGATGTCATGTTGAGTCTCTTGGTTTTCATCTCAGATATTCTATAGCAGCCTGGTGTGCTATCCTCCTCACCTGATAACTGTAACTTTCACATGTGCCGTGGCTTAAGAAGACGTTATTTGCCTACTAGAGCAGTTTTTGTGGCTAGAATACATGTTCTTGTCTGAAACAGAGAATCACTTGAATTGAAATGGCTGCTGGAGGGAGGGGTATGTGACAAGAGGAGGCTTGTAGGTCTACCCAGCTGCACCAGAGGTTATTGTTGTTTCTGCACAAGTATTGAGAACATGGGGTTGTATCCAACCACTTCAGATTCAAAGTAGACCCAGTGAAATGCATGGACATGGCTAATTTAGGTACATACATTTCAGTAGGTCTACTCTGAGTATAGGGTCACAGGTGGCGCTGTGGGTTAAACCACAGAGCCTAGGACTTGCCGATCAGAAGGTTGGCGGTTCAAATCCCCACGACGGGGTGAGCTCCCGTTGCTTGGTTCCAGCTCCTGCCAACCTAGCAGTTCAAAAGCACGTCAAAGTGCAAGTAGATAAATAGGTACTGCTCCTGTGGAAAGGGAAACGGCATTTCCGTGTGCTGCTCTGGTTCACCAGAAGCAGCTTAGTCATGCTGGCCACATGACCCGGAAGCTGTATGCCAGCTCCCTCAGCCAATAAAGTGAGATGAGCGCCGCAACCCCAGAGTCCGCAGCTGGACCTAATGGGCAGGGGTCCCTTTACCTTTACCTTACTCTGAGTATAACTTGGTTGGAGAGAGCCCATGGAATTTCAGCAGTGAAATCCTTCAAGGTTTACAAACATTCTTATCTCACTCAGGATATTAATAAATCTCTCCCAGAAAGAGGGCAGTTTTATATGTTTGTGTACGTGTGTATGTATGCATGTCCAAAGAATCACCTGAGATTTATCCCAAGTGATTCCTTTGATGTTTTGTGGCCCTGTCTTGAAAGCAGTGGCTTTTGAGAAATATCTTGAAGATCCTTGATTGTCTATGCAGTTGTACTCATACAGGTTCTGTCCAGACTTTATACTGAATATGTGGGATGTGGGAAAGGACCATGCATACACTAAATGTGGCTCTATCATGTGAGAAGGACTACTGAGATAAGAGTATGCAGAGTAGGAGAAGTAACTAAAAGTAGATAACAAGATGTCAATCTGGGAGGAACTGAGGGATTGTGGATCGATATAAGAGATGTTTATGGATTATTAACAATGAGCTTATTAAAAATCTAACAAGCCTATTTCCACAAGGGAAATACTAAGACAAAACCAGTAATAAACTGCATCGAGTTTGTCCTCCAAATAATTTCAAAGGAATGTAAGCTACAACATTATTTTTAGAATGCATGCAAAATGCTTCCTGTTCCCTCTCCTCCTTTGCAATAAATAGTATTCCAAGTCTCTAAAAAGCGCCAGTGCGTACAAACAGAGGCACACAGAGCATAATTGCTGTCTTTTCTAAAAAGCCTATAATAAATCTGGATCTCCTTCTGGAGGAGCAGGAATACAAGAGGCCGCCCCAGATTGTATGGAAACCAGTGATCGGGCAGAACAATGTCCACATTTACATCTGGAAGCAAATTCACATTAAAAGGAAAACCAGAAACATTCCAAGACAAGACATAAAAGCTAAATTTACATCCTTTGACCTTTGCATGGGGTTTTCGGCTATGGAAATGGATAATTTGTTTGCATAATGCCTATCCTGTTTTTTGTGTGCTATGTCACCCTTGAAAATGCTTCTCGTAGTGTCCCCTTTTACAAGTGTATTGAAAATGATCCTGGAAGATGAACCTCTAAGAATTGCAGGAAGCTAAATGTAGGTAGCTTTAGGGCAGACAGATAAAGTTTATTATAGGAGAGAAAAGCTGTGCCTGATGGAATTTTCCTTTCAGTGCAGTTCTTAAAGGCACAGCAGTTCCCTATCCTCCCAGGAAATGTAGGAACCTTATTATAGAAGGCAATCTTCACACTGGAAGAGTATTTGCAGCAAATGTTGCTATGTCTGAGCAAATGAATATAGCACACCAATACAATGCGAGGAGCGAACGACTTCAGTCTCTAGGTCTATACATCAACTGAGAGTGTGTCATTTTCTGACGTCTTTGCCGGCAATCTGGTAAGCTGCACTGTGGCTTATTTGTCTCAACCTGTATTTATCAGCAGCAGCAGCAAAGCTCATCTAAGGGGGCACAATGCACAGTCGATCTTGTTTCCTTCAATTTGTTGTATACCTAAATGAGTTTGATGTGCGTAGCAGAGCCTCTTGAAATAAGTCGCTCGCAGCGGTCAGAAGAAGAGATGGCAAGTCGAGAGAAAATACAGCAAAGCTTCCTAAAGCAATGTGTGGAGATTCTCAGTTGTCCCAAGAGGCTGGGGAAACCTAGCCAGAGTCGGTTCAGTAAAAGCATTCTGTTGAGAAGCAAGCCATCCCTCACATCAGTATCTCATCAAATTCTGAAAAAGAGAAAAGGCAAGGAAGCCTTTTACACCTGCCTGTATGCCTTTCTTCCTGAGTGAGCCTTTGCCTCAATGAACAAGGCCACAGCGGTTAGAGCAGAGGACCCTTGGGGTCTCTTCTAGCCCTACAATTCTATGACTCTATGTTCATTAAGTGGATATTATTAATGTAAGTTTCCACCTTACCACCTTGTCTGCATCAGTCCTACAGGCAGTGACTCTATTGGCAGAGGAGCTATTGGCTCCTCCCACTAGAAAATCAGGCATCCTTCTAGGTACAGAAAGCAGCTGTCTCAAAGCTGGGTATGGAAAGGGGAAGAAAGTTCTGGGAGGACAAAAATGAGGCATATCAGTTACAGTGATACCTTGGGTTACAGACGCTTCAGGTTACAGACTCCACTAACCCAGAAATAGTACCTCGGGTTAAGAACTTTGTTTCAGGATGAGAACAGAAATCGTGCAGCGGTGGTGCAGCGGCAACAGGAGGCCCCATTAGCTAAAGTGTTAAGAACAGTTTCAGGTTAAGAACGGACCTCCAAAACGAATTAAGTTCTTAACCCGAGGTACCACTGTACTTAGTTCATGGCAACCTTTGGCTCAGTGCTCACCTAATATTCACTAAAAGGAGTGATTTAGAAACAGGAACCCCTTTTCGTAATTAAACATTCCAGAATCAACACAGCTGGAATTAAATAAAACATTCTGGTACTTGACCAGAGCCATGAGTGTAGCCAAGGGGCGGGGCGGGGGAGCTGCCACCCCTAAACCAATTAAGTAAATTAAAATACTTAAATAACTGACCAATCATATCACAGATAGCTTGGTTCTGCCTCCCACAACATAAATCCTGTTCCGCTAACATAAATCCTCGCTACACCCATTTACAAAGCTGATGAGGTCAGGAATCAGCCCTTGAGACAAAGTCCAGTACTTGAGTCAACACAATCCAGGCTACAAAGGGGCAGGGATTTTCAGAGAGCAGGGATATTTGGGTGCCTGGTCTACTCATAGAAAAGCCAAATGATTTGGGGGCATCAGGTCTACCCACTGAGAAGCAAGGTGGTTTGGACACAAGGTCTATGCATTGAAGAGCAGGGGGAGGGTTGGATTCCGTGTCTACTCAGCCTCAAGTCAAAATCAAGAGTCACCAGTAGATTCACTGGAACATCATTTTCACATGAGTTTGCTAGCTAAAGGCAACCAAGTTAATGGTCAGATTAAAGGCAAGGAAATCCTGTGATGATCAGCTAGGTAAAGGTAAAGGGACCCCTGACCGTTAGGTCCAGTCTCGAATGACTCTGGGGTTGCGGCACTCATCTCACTTTATTGGCCGAGGGAGCCAGCGTACAGCTTCCGGGTCATGTGGCCAGCATGACTAAGCCGCTTCTGGCGAACCAGAGCAGTGCATGGAAAAGCAGTTTCTTTTCCCGCCGGAGCAGTACCTATTTATCTACTTGCACTTTGACATGCTTTTGAACTGCTAGGTTGGCAGGCGCAGGGACCGAGCAACGCGAGTTCACCCTGTTGTGGAGATTTGAACCGCCGACCTTCTGATCAGCAAGTCCTAGGCTCTGTGGTTTAACCCACAGCCCCACCCGTGAAGAGCTAAGTGGCCTTAATTCAAAGACATGAAGTTAGAAAAAGTGCTGAATTGTGAAATTTGGAACCTAGGAAGTTGCCTTCTATCAAGTCCTGTCATTGGACCACCTAGCTTTGATTCTTGCATTGTAGGGTATTGGAATAGGTGACACTCTAGGCCCCTTCCAACTCTACAATTCTATGATTGTTTAGCTCAGCACTGTCTAAACTGACTGGCAGTGGCTTTCGCAGGTTTCAGACAGGGATCTTTTCCAGTCTTATCTGGAGATGCCAGGGATGGAACATGGGGCCTTGTGCTGCAGATGTGCTCAAGTTCTGAGCTGCAGTTTTCCACCAAATTAGGCTAGGCTACATGAAAGATCCAAAAATCAGTACAGCATAAGAAGAAAGAAGTGCCTTTCTAGATCATCTAAACCAGTAGCCTGTTCTCACAATGGCCAACCTGCAGGACCTGAGAACAAGAGCACTCTCCACTCCTGCAGTTTACAGCAACTGGTATTCAGAAACATTAGTGCCTCTCTTGTGCAAGCAGAGAATAGCCATCATGGCTAGTAGCCTCAACCTCACAAACAAATCATCTTTGAACGCCATCTAAGTTAGCGATCATCACCAAGTTGGTCTCGTACTACCTTGAGCTAAAATCAATGCAAATGTGGTGTAAAAAATATGTTCTAAAGAAACTGTATACCTTTGAAGACTTAAGTTTTACTTTAGGTTCTTAGGTTGGATGGTCATCTCTCATGGATGCTTTAGTGGAGATTCCTGCATTGCAGAGGGTAGATGACCCTGGAGGTCCCTCCCAACTCTACAACTCTGTGATTCTGTAATAACATCTGGAAGGCACCATGTTGCCTACCCCTGGCTTTCTTGATAAATTTTACATTTTCGGAAACCATGGAAAGAGGGGAGGAAGGAAGAGGGAAGCAAAGCAATGGAAAGGGACAAGGTAGTACTTTCAAAGATATCCTGCATCTCTTATTTTTTGAAATGTACAAGAGAAAAAACAGATCCATAGTGATTACAAGTTCCCATTCTATCCAGCAAGAATTCATTCTCCTGGAACAATACCAAGAATTCTTGCATGGCCTGTGAGATACAGTCCTGTCTTCCAGAAATTTAATTAGACACGCCTCAAACCATAATCACTTTTTGGACTTGATCGGTGTTAGAACAATCAGCCTTCATTCATCTCAGTTTTCTGGGTGCTTCAGATGTACTAAGTGGATTTCAGACTGAAACTCCAGGCTGTGCACATTAATGCAGTCTGAGCCTTGAGCGCAAAGCATCCCCCAGATGTTTACAGCTAGAGCTCTGACAGCTGCGCAAAGCAGCCACTAGGTAACACTAGGCAGCTGCCTAGAGCATTGCAGTGTACACGAGCCTCATACAGATGATTTGGAAGTAAATTGTGAAACTCCTTCACCGCCTGGCTTGACAATCTGCATTGTGAAATGAGACACCCTTTCCTGACTTTTACAGGCAAATCCATTTTCCAAGATTTCCCACACTTATTGAAAGTGGGGGTAGGGAGCAGGGGCCAGTCTTGGGATATAGGCTAGCATGATAAAGGTATGTTAGGGAATGTCCTTGACTGGGAGACTCCAAGACCAGAGAGGAGACGGTGGAAGAAGATTGGAAGAAGTTTAAGGAATATTTGAAAAAATATGTTAATATTTAAATCTTAGAATGGTTTTGGAAGTGGATATAGGCTGTAGGGTTAGAAGTAGAAGATAGTGTATTTTAAAACAGTATTATTTGTAACTGATAAAATGTGAAGATTTTTGTGGTTAAAATAAGCGTGATAAAAGAAATGGTTAGAAATTATGATATATGTAAACTGTTAAAGATGAGGTAAAATGAAAATTAGATAGGGGGGACTTGGGGAAGCCCACCTAACAATGTTTAGAAAAAATAAGGATAAGACAAGAATTTGTTTGTATTGTTTGTTTTTCTGTTTGTGTTGTTTATTTGTGTTATAAAATAAATATATATATATGAAAAAAAAGAATAATCTATTCAGACAGGAATAAGGAAAATCAGGCCTGGAGCCAAATGTGGACTCTTGGGCATTTCTCTCTGTTTCTTGTCACTCCCAAGACCACTGTTCCTCTCCTCAGGCCAACAGCCCTCACCAGTGCCCACCACTGACATGTGACTGCTGGAAGGTTTCCCAGAATGCAATGCGAGAAATCCCAGCTGAGAAAGTCCACCATCCCTGCATTAAGTCGAACCATATGTTCTATCACTTCCCCTTGTTTTAATGTTGATGCTTCGTGTATAGGTTCCTGCAATATGCCTTTAGAAAAAGCACCTTCATTTTCACATCCACCTCGGAAGAATGTGAAATTCTTGTCACACTGCTGTGAATTGGCCTCTTTTTGTAAGTCCATGTAATCAAATATTTTTTTCATGTGCCACCAAAGTCAGCATATCGAGAGTCCAATTATTTACTGATGGAGTTTTGGTTACTTCCCAGTTTTGTAATATGAATAGTAACTAATGTAGCCCTGTTGAGCCACAACTGAGATTCTGACTCCAGCTTCCAGTAGCCTGGGGTGTGGTGTAGTATGGTGTGGTTTATTTATATACGTACTGCTCTTTGGTCCAAAGGACCCCAGAGCCATGAAGAACATCAATACATATGAAAAGAGAAATATACAATCAAAGTACAATATAATAGATTGTACTTCAGAACAGAATACAACTAAAAATGTTTATCATTTGATGCTGTGTACATTGGAAGCAGCAAATTGCATTCCACTTGGCTACTTCAGTGTTAGGTTGTCCAAAGGCTGTCTTAAGTCTTCTGGCACATCCTTCATTTAGCACTGAACTATGGGTGTTGCAGGGGTTCTGCCTCTGGCTGCCCCGCCATAAATACTTGCAAGGAACTAGAGGAGGGGATATCAAGCTTGAGTGATGGGCCAAGGGACCAATAGCATGCAAACAGGCTCTTCACACAATTCCCCCATTCCCAGAGTACTGCCCCACCCAAAATACAGATGTCATTCTCACAACCACAGCCAACATTCACTGCGTAAGTAACCCACCTCTTTGAGTCATCCATAGCAACCAAGGATGCTTTAAAAGTCTGTCTATTTAGGTAGCCTTTTCATGTTTAATATGCTTACTTGATTTAATTTGGTTTTATTAACTGCCATTCACTATTTCTCTTGTACTCCCCTCACTTTCATTTCTTTACAAATTTTGTTAATTGCATCTTACATGGCTTGCGCTTTCTGGGGTTGGGATGTTATGAAGATGGAAGGTCACATAGGAGGGAGGGCAGTTTTATGAGGATGGGTTAAGTCAGTTGTAGAAGAGTTAAATATTGGGGGTTCAGCCAAATAATGCAGCAGATCTGTTGATTTAAGAGTCTTCCCCCCTCCCAAGTCAAAGAGAGATATGAATACCAATCAAAGTTGGATTAGGACTTACTTTTCTTTTCTATGTCTTATAGCTCATTGCCCCGCTATATATCTATGTTTCTCTAGGTCTGTGTGATTTGAAACAAGCGAGGGTATCCAAAATGTTTCCAGCACAGCAATGAAGAGCTCTGTATTTATTTTAAACCACAGTAGCAGATTATTTTTAAAAAAGTTAAATGCTCTATTTAAAGTGTTAAAAACAAAACACCCAACCCCAATTCCTACATGGCTCTGCTTTAATTTAAGAAAACCAACGAACCCAGAACTATTTAGAATTCTACAGGTAGCATTCTAGATAGGACATATAGCTTGAGGCTGTCAGACGAAATGAGCAAGTACTGGAAAAGCCAGTGAGAAACTGTGAGGTTTAAAAAATGTAGACATCAGAATACACTCCACTTGCCCTCCTTTGGGATCATGGAGGAAAGTGAATCCTTTTTACTTCCCCCATAAAAAGTTCCTGGACCTATCTGTATACAATTTGGCAGGCTTAATCCATTCTAAAGGCACTCTCGTGCCTGCAGATTTCACCCACTTTGACCAAAAGGCAAAAAAGTTATAGCTTTAAGATTCCCCATTATAGTGAAAGGGGAACACAGAACATCATTTTATAGACTCAGAACATGAGGTATAGGTTGTAGAGGAGGGAGCACAGAGCAAATCAGTAACAGAATGGAAGTTTAAACCTATGCACATCCCTATTAAATACATCACAGACCATTTTTGTAGAACTTGCATTGTAGTATTATAACTCAATAAAGAACCGTGAAATTTAAGAAAGGGGACATGTTTTCATACTGTTGATTAAATTCATGGCATCTAAGAAAGCAAAGAGTGCATTTTCAGCAATGCAAATAAGCGAGGGATAATTGGTTTGCTGTGTTTTCAGCAATGAATATAGTAAGTGAGGAACAATTAGTTTGTTAACAATGGCTTGTTGACTTGTGGAAGCGACATGAAGGAATATTAACAATTTTGTTTCTTTCCAGCGTTCAGGTGGCTCCTTAGCAATTCCTTTGTGTGCATTTCAAGGGACCGTATCTCTCCATGCGCCTACAGGAAAAACCCTCTCTTTATCTACATATGAGGTAAGCACGGAGGGACAGAAAATAACGCCCACATCGAAGAAAATTGAAGTGTATCGCTCCAAGAGCGTGGGTCATGAGCCAAACCCTGAGGATTCTCCAACCACATTTGCTGACACGAGTGTCAAGATCCATTTAGAAGTGCTTGAAATTTGTGACAACGAAGAAGCTATGGACACAGTGTCAATCATCAGCAACATCAGCCAGTCATCAACCCAAGTCCGGTCTCCATCCTTGCGCTATTCTCGGAAAGAGAACAGATTTGTCTCATGCGATTTAGGGGAAACGGCTTCCTATTCGCTCTTCATACCGTCAAACAATCCCAACAACGATATTAACATATCAATCCCGGACACTGTGGAAGCCCACAGGCAGAATAGTAAAAAGCAACACATGGAGAAAGAAGGTTATCAAGAGGAGATACAAATGTTAAACAAAGCATACAGAAAAAGAGAAGAAAGCGGTGCCAGCAACTAAAATAAACAGTTTACTTCAGACCTGAATAATCTGGGTTTTCTGAGTCAATACATTCTGTTCTTTCTTTTCTTTTCTTTTTCTTTTTTTGCTTGGACATGAAATCAGAGTTAAGAATATTGCTGCGGCGATGGAAAACGTCAGCACATTTAAGATAGAAATCAAGATATAATGCAGCAAGGGTCACAATCCTGCATATCATTTAAGCAGGATTTAAGCAGCCAAATTGCGTGCAGAATTGTAGTCAAAGCTTTTAAAGCAGCTCTAATGGGCTACCAGGGAAGGGAGGAGATAGTTTTTTTCTAAATTAATACTTTATTGCATTTGTTTTGGTTTTCAGTAACGAGCTACCTACCTTTGGAAATATACAGGATCTGCTTGAAGAGCTGCTTCTGACCAGAGTTTTTAATCATTTACTTCAAAACTTTTTTATTATAATAAAATGTTTCAGAATAAGCTCCTCCAGGGTTCTAAATCCAGTGATGCTGAATGTTGGAAGATTGAGGACAAACACAGCACATAAACCACGGAATTCAGCAGTGATGATTGGGGATGGGGAGAAATTAAATTTAGTATGCATTTAAAGCCAAATCTATCAGATTTGCACTTTTCAGAGCAAAATGAGCACTGAAACACAGCCATCCTCCAAAATTCACACTAATTTGAATTTTGCAATGCAGTTCTCCCACCCAAGAATGTTGACAAAAATGCACATATTAAGAGGAAAATGTGCATAAAACAATACATTGGTGAAAATGATCTACAAAATTGCATTATAAGAAATTGCTTCCAAAAATGTGTACATTAGTCAAAACTGCACGCAAAAAGATGCTTATTATGAGAAATTTGCACTGAAATGCTGGGGGGGGGGAATCAAATATATATATATATATATATGGACCTGCAAACTGCAGCAGAAATGTGAAGAGCTGAATTTAAGACTGGGGAAAATGAGAAATTGAGAGAACCAAAAAGGGCCAATTTTTCCATCCCTAGTGATGATCACCAAATTGGATAGCTTTAAAGGGGAACTAGAAAAAAAAAATGACAAATAAGGATACTAACCATAATGGCTGTGTACTACCTCCAATGTTGGAGCAAGCATGCTTCTGAATCCCAGCTGCTGGGAATCTCTAGCTGGAAGAGTGCTTTGCAGTCAGGTCCTTCTTGTGGGTTTCCCATTGGCATCTGGTTGGCCACTGTGAGAATGGGATGCTGGACTACATGGGGCTTTGGCCTGATCCAGTAGGTCTCTCCTTATGTTCTGTAGAAGATTAATCCCCATTGCACGGATGGCTGCAGAGTTGAGAAATGAACGTGACAGGGTCCATGGGCTTGTCCCAACTCTACCCTACACCCAATACTAATCACATGGGGAAGGAGGTGCACTTCTGATGATAGCTATAGTATAGGATGTAAAGGAAGCAAATTTATAGGTTCAGTTTAAGCTGTTTCAAAAAACAAAAAACAAAACACATATAGATTGTCCAGTTTTAATGAATGTTCAACTCTAGCATGACATCAAACTGTCATTAAACCTGGGTAACCAAAATTAGAAAGGAAGATAATCCCTGACTAATCAGTACCAAAGAACAAAAGTCAGAAACAATATGATGCAACATACTGCTCAGTTTGTCATTACTCACAAATTAAAATGTTAAAGAGCATTAAACATTTAAAACACACATTTGCAATCATTCCATTAACACGGTGAATTTTAAAATGTTTCACATTTTAGATCAGTTACGAAACATTTGCATATATAAATAACAACAAATTATGTGAGGTGTTTTTTTTTGCATCATTTGGTTTTTTACTTCTAAACTGTTTATTAAAATTTAAGTATTTACATCTTGTAAATATGGAAACATGTATTTTGACATAATTGCTTTGTATTGTATCGCACAAGCTATCCAAAAAGCTGAGACCCTGCGTTGCAACTTTTGGTTTTGACAATTCAGTACAAACACTGTCGCTTACCTGAATCACAGATTGGGCTCTCCAGCGATGACAAATTCAACACCATGTCGGTACTGCAAAACTCTTCTTACGAGTTACAATTTATACGATCGCAGGCCAAATATATGAAGTTGGAAAGTAATGTAGCCTTAAATATTTTGTAGACAGGGATGCCAAATGATTCTTCCTGTAGTTATGGGCACACCGTGTTTCAGATCTCGTATGAGGAAGTCAATTCTTCATTGTATCTGTGCTGCATTACTGTAGTCACATACCAATGGGAAACTGGCTAACTAAGATTAGGCCCTGACTCATATATGGGAATAACTAGTATAACAAGTCTTGAAATTTACCAACTCTTATTTATTTCATTTAAAGTTCATTTAGAGTTGGATTCCGTTCCAAGATGGCAGCACGTTCATACACTGCGGCTCTGAGCTCCCAATATCTTAAGGTCCATATATAGCAACACCCTAGAGGTCCCGGGCCCTAAGGAAGTTAGATTAGCCTCAACCAGAGCCAGGGCCTTCTCAACACTGGCTCCAGCCTGGTGGAATGCTCCATCTCATGAGACCAGGGCCCTGTGGGATCTGATTTCTTTCCGCAGGGCCTGTAAGACAGAGTTGTCCCACCTGGCTTTTGGCTTAGAATCAGTTTGATTCCCTCCCCCTCTTTCTTTTTCCTTTCCCCTCCTATGAAGAGACTGCATCCTAATGTTTTAATGTTGTATCTTAATCTTTTAAATTGTATTTTAATCAACTTGTTTTTATTATTGGCTGTTAGCCGCCCTGAGCCCAGTCTTGGCTGGAGAGGGCGGAGTATAAATAAAAATTTATTATTATTATTAAATTCCAACTGTCTTACAAGGAACTGGAGGAACTACTTGGTCTTTCCCCACATTTTAACCTCACAACAGCCCTGTGAGGTAGGTTTCAGCTGAGGTTTGGTTACTGATATAAGCTTTCATGTGCATGCACACTTCTTCAGATACACTGAAGCAGAAGTCACCAGACCCTGGACAATTTTTAAAAAAAATTTTAAAATTTTTTATTCAGTCCTAGTCTGACACTCTAACCATTACCCCACACGTCTTCTTGTGATTTAAGATTTTTGACTACTTCAGGTAACCTGTTTCCACAAGAATCCCACAAGAGCAGTGATTGCCCCCAAAAACCACATTTCATTGTTCAACTACTTCTTACTCTGGTCATGCTCTTACAAAGGCAACAGAAGGGGTGCCTGAGATTCACTGGTGCTCTGCTTTTAATCTGTGTTGAAGCCATCAGTCCGCCAATGGCGGTGATTAATTTATATTTCAGACTCTACTGAGTTTCATCAATACAAAAGGGGATTTTCAACCTTTCAAGTTATTACTTCGGAACTCCAATCTCGGTTCATCATTTGTTGTTGCAACTTCGAAGTCCATGGATGCAGATTGTATTCTTATGGTGTATGGAGAACAGGGTGGAAGTGAGGGGGATCCCTCTTTTTAAATTGCTAGAACAGAGGTGAGAAACTGCAGCCCAGAAGTGAAATGCAACTTGCAGAAGTTGACTTAGAGCTCTCAAAATGCTTGTGACGGGCTTGTTACACTTCCTCACTCCAACTTCTCAAAGGGTCATGGAGAATTCCTTGATGAAATAAGCTGAGAGTACTTTCTAGAGGCAATGGTACAAAGCAGGAGATTCTCGCACAGGACACCTGTGGATGTACCAAAGAAAACATTTTTATAGCTGGAATCAGTATGTGGTGGGGTGCAGATCTGCCCAGAGAAGTTCTGCTAGAAATAAGGTATTTTTTTACTTTGCTTTTGTCAGTGTTTTTGTTCCCAAGCAGGGAGCTCCTAATTTGAATTACAAATTGTAACTAAGCAAAAATATTTTGGAACTGTGAACTAGCAACAAGACTGTGAAGGGAATATTATAGGCCAAAGTTGTTAGAAATAGTAAAAACCATCCTGGCTTTTAGAATCCTGTTCAACTGGGTGTCTTTTCTTTTAAGAGAGTTCAATATTTTGTGTAGGAAACAATTTTACAGATGATACTTTAACGCTGGTTAGTTGTGTTTATCTTGGGTTAGACTTTAGATGCATTAAAATTTAGCATAAAGTGATCCTCAGCTCAACCTGATTGTAAAGTAATGTACTGCTGTTGTATGATAGAAAGTGAATAAATTTCCTTGTACAGCAATTCCATAAACTGAGCTCTGTTCGGTGTCTGATCTGTGTTTTTTTTTCTGAATTCATGGTAATATTTTGCATGTGTTCATTCATAACGCAGTTCCATCCCATGTCCACATTAATCTGTGAATTAAAACAAACCCAAATTCATATGAAAATTTGCATCAAAATACAAATTTTCCTGATGATTTAAACGGGGGTGATATTCAAATAAGTCTTACTCAGGGTAGGCCCACTGAAATCTGTGGCTGGTATTCAACGCTAGTCCTACTCTGAGTGGACTCACTGTTGTTAATGAACATAGCTAAGGTTGATTCATTTCACTGGGTATGCTCTGAGCAGGAATTCTTTGAATACAGCCCATGAGACTCAAATACATTGGATACAATGAGTTTACTTGGAGTATTATGAAGTTTGGCTATTGCCCTATGCATTTTGCAATAAACTGTGTGTGCATTTAAATATCTATTTAAAAACTTACTTTATAACTAACTAACTATATATATATATATATATATATATATGAATTTTATCTCAATGCACACATTTCTAAACCCATTTTTTCCTCATAAAATACACATTTTAAACAAATTTTGGTATATTCTTGGAGCGAAGAACTGTGTCGCAAAAACTGAAGAAGCGTAAAATCCAAATAATTAAGTTTAGACCTGCACACTAGCCCAGGAGGTGCAGATCAAATCAGTTCAGCTCAGAACCCATGGAAACTGAATTTCTCAGGCATCCCTAAGTGTAAACAACCACATCCCATTTATTTGTCAGTCAAGAGCTACTTGCTCTGTGCGCAAGGAGACACAGTTCCTCTTCCTTCCTCTGGTTCATGCATTAGTGAACACTGGAAATGGGGCATTGCTTATCATTTTTAGAAGCCCTCTTGGATTTAAATTTTTAAAACCCTTTTAAATATCTAATGAGAAATGATTTTGTCCTTTCCCTCTTTGAATCCCCCCCACCCCCTTTTCTTTTCCTGTGACCTTTAATGTGCACCAGAACACAGCCTTGACATTTGCAGGCAAAAGGATGTGTTGTCAAAGTGACCTTTTTTTGAAGGTGACTTCAAAGAGATGTGCTCCAGCCAGCCCTTTGCAGGGAAGCAGAAAAAGCTTGGGAATATATGGAAAGCAGATGCAACTTACACCCAAGCTTACCGGGTGGCTTCAGACTACTGAATAATGCATTTCACATCACACCGAAAACTGGGAAGCTCAGTATTGAGAACATTCTCAGCTAAATTAGTCAGATTTCTGCCATCACCCCAGAGATCAATTCCTGTTTAGTTGGAAAGCGGACCTTAGCAGAACATAAACTCTCTGCTGCTCTGAGCATTAGGAAACTGAACTTCCTTTGGAAAGCTGAACTCCACTGCTGGTAGAGGCTTACAACTCATTGATGGATTTGAGTTTCAGGGTTAGGGTCAAAGGTCAGCATGGCTGAGCATCTGCCAAGGGTTCACACCCCAACAGAAGGGCCACTGGTAAGTGCCCTTGGAACTGTTCCTCTACACCATTGTAACCTGCTTGCTTGTTCACCCACCTCTCAGGCCCCTCTGCACTATACATTTAAAGCAGTATCCTACCACTTTAAACAGTCATGGCATCCCGTAATGAATCCTGGGGACTGCAGTTCGTTTAGGATGCTGACAATTGTTAGCAGACCCCTATTCCCCTCACAATTCCCAGAGTTCCATGGGTAGACGGATTGTTAAACCAGTCCGAAAACTGTAGCTCTGTGAGGGGAATAGGGGTCTCCTATTCCCTTAACAGTGGGACGCAGGTGGCGCTGTGGGTTAAACCACAGAGCCTAGGACTTGCCGATCAGAAGGTCGGCGGTTCGAATCCCCGCGACGGGGTGAGCTCCCGTCGCTCGGTCCCTGCTCCTGCCAACCTAGCAGTTCGAAAGCACCTCAAAGTGCAAGTAGATAAATAGGTACCACTCTGGCGGGAAGGTAAATGGCGTTTCCGTGCGCTGCTCTGGTTCGCCAGAAGCGGCTTAGTCATGCTGGCCACATGACCCGGAAGCTGTACGTCGGCTCCCTCGGCCAATAAAGCGAGATGAGCACCACAACCCCAGAGTCTGTCACAACTGGACCTAATGGTCAGGGGTCCCTTTTACCTTATTCCCTTAACAGCACCCTTTTACCTTATTCCCTTAACAGCACCCTTAACACACAACTGTTTGAAATGACCAGGCTTCCTCTGGCCCAGACAACAGTTAGAGAAACAATATTGCCATAATCATATAAAGTATTATGCAGGGCTTTTTTCTGCTGAAACTCACCAGAACTCAGTTCCAGCACTGCTCAGGTGGGCACCATTGCCATTATAAGAGAACAAGGGAGGCAGAGAGCCTTCTCAGTAGTGGCGCCCGCCCTGTGGAACGCCCTCCCATTAGATGTCAAGGAAATAAACAACTATCCGACTTTTAGAAGACATCTGAAGGCAGCCCTGTATCGGGAAATTTTTAATGTCTGATGATTTTATAATTTTTTATATGCTGTAAGCCACCAAGAGGGGTTGGGGAAACCCAGCCAGATGGGCAGGGTAGAAATATCATTATTATTATTATTATTATTATTATTATTAGTGAGTTCCGGCACCTTTTCTCTCTAGAAAAATAGCACTGGTATTATGAACTATTCTACCGAGTTAAAATTATCCCAAATCTCATTAGCCCTAGTATACCAGTGGCACAATGTGTCAGTGCATCTGGTTGTTAACCAGAAGGTTGGTGGTTTGAGACTACCCAGGTACAGTTGTTGGCAGGATCCCTGCATTGCAGGGGGCTGGACCAGATGACTCTAAGGGTCCCTTCCAACTCTATAATTAGCTCACTCAAGTGGCAAATTCTACCCAACTTAGTGGGACACACAGGGAAATTTCTAACCGGAAGTTCAGTCACTTCAATTGGACTTACAAGTCTGCGAGGAAAGGTGTAGAGCTCAATGCAGAGCACCTGCTTGGCATGCAGAAGTTCCAGGTAAGACTCAGAAGGGTCCCTGCCTGTGATCTGGCAGAGCTGCAGCCAGCCAGTGTAGACAATAGTGAGCTCAATGGACTAATAGTCTCAGAAAAAGGCAGCTTCCTATGTTTTGATGAGTGTAGGATTACTCCCATGTAAAGACGTTTAGGCTTAGGCTGCAAGAACACCAACCAAATGCAGGATTGTGGTTTGTGAGCCAGTGGAATGAGAAGTGGAATGACGTCTCTTTGTTTCTCATTTTGAATAATTTTTGAAAGTTACATCCTGTTTGGATGCCTTTTGAAAGCATTCAGAAACTTCAGCAGGGCCAAGATGCTATTGCCAGATTGCTGACCAAAGCTAGTTTCAAGGAGAACAGAAACCCCTTGTTCCAACAGCTGCAATGGCCCGCTTCTGGGCATAATTCAGAGGACTGGTTATGACCTGCAAAGCCCAATCTGGCTTGGATCTAGACTACCTAAATGGCTGTACCTCCTTATGTGAGTCTGCCTGGGCAGGCCTTTCTCTTAGTCCTGCAACCTTCACAGGCCCATTTTGTAAGGACACAAGAGAGGGCCTTCTCAGTAGCTGTTCCCGGATTGTGGCACTCCCTTCCACAAGAGGCTAGCTTGGCCTCCTCCTTGCTTTGCTTTCACGAGCAAAGACTTTTTGTTTGTTCAGAAAGGCCTTTGGCCACTAACTGGCGGCTATGGCAGAGTCTTTGAAGAACAGGTGTTGTACATTCTTGTTTCTCTTTTGGGTGTGCTTTCAAATGACTTTAGGGTTCTCAGTGGTGTTTTTAATAGGGTTTCTTATTTTTTAAAAAAATATTTATACTGAGCTTGTGCTTTAAGCTACATTTGTTTAAATTCATGCTGTGAGTTGATCCTATACAGGGTAAAAGGAAGGGTATTAAATGAATGAATGAATGAATAACATATTTTCATCCTTTAAAATCGGTCATTTATTCTGAACTATAAATTCCTCATAAATCTCTAATAGGTTTTGTTGTTATGCTAATGGGTTATTTCCATAACACCTTGCAGTATTTAGCAGAATAATGAATATAAGATTACCATGGATTGATAAGTGGCTCCGAGATGTTTGTTTCCATGCCATTTTGCATCTTATAATTTTAGACAATGCTCACAGGCCAAAAACCCAAATGCATTAATCATATTTTTAATTCTCTTTTCCAAACCCATAAGCAATGCTTCACCTGTCAATTCCCAAAGCATGCAACTAGTGTAATATTTCTATGACTTCTATCTGCTTTGTGAGACAATGGAAAGAAATGGTGTCATAGGAATGGCTTCTTCACATGTGTGAATAAGCCATTAGAGACATAACTTTGCTATCACTTGAAGTCATCTCAAATGGATTGGGTGCATGGGAGTCAGAGTCCAACAACAACTGGAGGGAAACAGGTCCATGCCTGGTTTAGGTCTAGCAAATCATGTTAGTTTTTGACATGGTAAATCCCACATGAAGTGACCATGTTGTTTAAAGATAGGCCTTTTATCCTCACCTATGGAATGCTGTCCCCAACAATTGTTTTAGAACAACCTTGGAACTGCAAACCACTCTGAGAGTCAGGCTGACAGCAGGATATGATGCAAAATTAGTAATGAACCAATGATACCAACCCAGTTGGTAGAGAATGAGACTCTTGATCTCAGAGTTTGAGCCTCACATTGGGCAAAAGATCCCTGCATTGCAGGAGTGGACAAAGTGACCCTTTGGGTCCCTTCCAACTCTACAATTCTATGATTCTCTGTTGTGTGATCTAAAGGCACAGAAATGTGGTATTATTCCCATGTTCAGAAATGTCTATAGCAACAATTACCGTATTGGCCTGAATATAAGCCTCACTTTCCCTCCAAATTCCGACCATGAAAAGTTAAAGTGTGGCTTATATTCGTGACCTTACGGTATGCAACCGGGAATGCGGGGCAAACAGCACCAGGAGCCAGCAAAGCAGCACCTGCCCTACGCGTAGTCCCCTGTCCTCTCCCCCAAGGCTGGGAAGGGAGAGAGCGAGGAAGGAGAAAGGCTGCTGGCAACGCAGCACGGTCCGCCCCCCCCCCAGTATGCAGCCAGGAGCAGCAAGGATGTAATGGCTTATATTCGGTATTTTTTCTTTTTTTCTCCCCCCCTCTAATTTTAAAGGTGCGGCTTATATTCGGTCTAATATGGTATACAAAAAATGGTAAGTCAAGAGACTTGGATGAAATGATGTACACGAGTGCTGAACTGGCTATAATATGGCTAGATAAGCCCTCCTCTCCCCCAGTTCTGAAAATGTTTGCATCATAGGATCATTGTAGGAAAATGACAATATAGCCCATTATAGCCAGTGTCTTTTATATTTTCCTGTATTGTTTTTTATCATGAAAGCAAAGTTCTACTATAGTAGTTTGCATTTTTGAAGAACCACGACTGAATTGTTTGCAGGCTCGAGCAAGAAGTTCAGCTCTGAAAAAGAAGTCAAATTTCACTGAACCTGTATGAGAAGCCATGATTTCTGAAATTGCAGCATGCCAGTGTACTACTTACTACAAATGTACATCGTAAACGCTTAGTAATTGGACTCACTGAGATTTGTTCTCTATTTGATGAGATTCTCTGTTGCTTTAAGCTTGTGAATGGAACACATTCATCTTTCATAATCTGTTCGGAACATCTTGTCACACAAAAGTCCATCATGTAACTAGCTTATTATTTTACGTCAGAGTATTTAAAGAAAGAAATGCATACAAAAGAAGCATAATGTGTACTGACTTGGCTACTAATAGCTCTGAATAGTGAATGAAGCAAAGTGGTAAGGAAAAGATGACCATCATATTTGTTCCCTATTCGAGCATATCACAAATGTGAGCAATTTCGCACAGGTATAAGGCACCACTTTGTATACATTGGAATAAATCCAGTTTTTTAACCCCAGCTAGTAAACAGAATTTTTCTTCCACTTCACCCCAAGTGACTACCACTACCACTACCTTGCCTTCCTTCCTTCCCAATCAAACAGACAATTGGTATTGATAAATTATTATTTCAACAATTCATATACTGCTTAACCACAATCCTTTTGAAGCAATATGCAGGAAACTAAATACAATGAAGCTAAAAATGAGCTTTTAAATCAGAATTCAATTAAAAACCCTGCTTGATTAATTATAAACAGTCTTCAGTAAATGCTGGACATTCAACAAGGACAGGGACTAATCTCAACTGTAAGGGACTTCCATAAAATTGAGCCCACAATACTACACACATGGCTCCTGGCAATTCCCGTCAGGGAATTCCTGTCAGGCCAAGCCAGCATGAAACTCTTCTTCTTCTTCATACTTTTAAAATTCCCTATCCAAATATTCAGTACTTTTTTACAGACCTTTTTTACAGCACTTTTTTACAGACCTACCGATGCAAACCTATGCAGATAATGCACATAATCAGGAAATGTTTAAAATTCAATTACATTTGAGATTCAGTCATTAAATTTCAGTTTGCTGCATTTAGCACTTGACAGCCAATCTAGCCAGATGTTTAATTACATCAATGGGTCCTTGTAGTTTCAAAGGGAGATTTGTTAAACGTAGAGCTTTTGCTAACTGCCTCGTCTGAAAAGTCAGCAACCACTATGCCATTAATCAATTTAAGAGACTAAGAAAGAACAACATTACCATGGAAATGTAACTGTGTTCCTCTAACCACTGTGTAATCATGAACTGAATCCAACATTTGCAGCTAAAACAACCTTTGGTGACAGATACTAAGCAATGGAGGGAAAGGGAGACATTTTGCCTTCATGGAAATTGTCTCGAGAAAAGGACACTGCAATTTTGAGAGCTATTTGTGAAAATCTTCTGAAGAGCATCTTCAATTTACATAAGCAGAAGTGATGGCATAAATAACTAAAGCTGGATAGATAATATGTTATGGTTACCTAGGCAGCAAAAACATCTCTTGTGTTCTTCACCAGCATGGAAAAAGGACTTGGAAGAACAGCCCCAGAAGGCAGAAATTAACAATGAGTTCTACATCAAATTATTTCCAATATCACAAATTCTGTGGACATTCCCCTTCCACTTATTCGAAACACACACCAGATCACCTACATCTAGACTTGTGAAGAACACATTGAACTCCACATTCTGGGATTTACATGTTTCTAACGGGCATGCGTGTGTGCTACAGTCCCAGCACCAGTCTTCATTGGCATTTTCAGCATTAAATTAAACTGGTTGCCAATCTACTTGCCAATGCAAGGTTTTTGGGCAGCTTCTACAATCACCACTATACATTTAAAGCACACAGCTTTCTCCAAAGACTCCTGGAAACTGTAGCTCATTAAGGTGCTGGGAATTGTAGCACTGACGGATAAACTATGGTTTCCAGGATTTATTGGAAGAAACCCTGTGCTATGATGTATGGTGTGGATGTAACTAGAACAGCAACAGGAAACACCTTACTCCATCCAGACACAGGTAAATTGAGCTCCACCTAGTGATTAAACTACAGTGGTACCTCTGGTTATGAACTTAATTCGTTCTGGAGGTCGTTCTTAAGCTGAAACCGTTCTTATCCTGAGGCGCGCTTTCGCTAATGGGGTTTCTTGCTGCGCACGTGCCTCTGGTGCGCAGTTTCCGTTCGCATCCTGGAGCAAAGTTCGCAACCAGGAGCAGCTACTTCCGGGTTAGCGGAGCTCGTAACCTGAAGCGTTCGTAACCAGAAGCATTCGTAACCAGAGGTACGCACTACCCACCACTCTGCTTCTATTTCCCAAGTAAAAAATTACCGTATGTCATGCAGTACAGTTTAATTTCTATATAAGAAGTATGGAGTCAATCTTGTCTGAAAATCATATTTGGGTTCTCTTACATGAAAGCTTTCTCGTCCACAGATGTATATAGAATATTATTATTATTTTATTTTTGGGTTTCTGGCTTACAAACAATCGCAAAGGAAACAAATAAGATGTAAATAAATCCCCTTTGACTTCCTTCCACCCCTTTTGTGGTCCTTATGTCAACCTTTTCTCCTGCATCTCATCTGCTAGTCCAGTTTCTATCAAATCGTTAATTAATCCATAGTCCAACTTTTAACTACAAGTGTCATATCAACCCTACTAATAATTTTACTTGTTTACAATAATTTTTTAATAGACTATATATTTTCTCCATTCCTTATTAACATTTTGTTCTTCCTGATTCCCAATTCTTCTGGTCAATTTTGCCATTTCAGCTTAGTACATCAGTTTAGTCTGCCATTCTTCCCTGGTAGGGACTGTACTTTCTTTCCATCTCTGAGCTAACGAAGTCCAGGCAGCTTAGAATATTATTTTTAGTGAGGAGACAATGACATTCTGCAGATTTGTAATGGCACACTTTCCTAAAGAAGTGTTACACAAGCTTGATTGTAATGAAAGCAGCATGGTGAAAATTGAAGGTGCTGGGAATTATAGCTCTGCGAGGGATAGACAACAGTTTCCAGGATTCCTGGGTGTGTATTTTAAATGTGTGGTATGTATGTATGTGTGTGTGTGAACACACTGCAAAGTGGATTAAAATGTACATATAGGGATGCAGTGGACACATATAAACAAATGAGTATAATTTCCTGATTAGAAGCTGCTGAAATAATTAACTTAATCTGTTTTGTTATTTAAAGAATTTTTTTTTTTACTTTTTCAGTTGAAGCCGAGAATGAGGAGATGAAGTCAGGATACTAGACAACAGGATATTACTACAAAGACTTCCAGCTTCTTTCTTCATGCCTCCCTTCTGCCCCCCCCCCCCAATTCCTCTGGGGGATCAGTCAGTGGTTTGAAAGTAGGGAAGTGAAACAGTAGAAAAATATATTCAGAGAAATGCAAATATTGAATGATAAAAAGGAGTCTTGTGCAACAAATGCTATTCAGCAGCCACTTAGCAGCATCACAACATTAATCCCCAACACAACAAAAGGAGCATTAATTGCCATTAAAGCCCAGTAATTCCACTAATGATTTCAGAAAGAATAACAAGACCATTTTTGGTATCTCACAGAGCTGGAATGAAATAAGCTGGATGAGATAGCAACTCAAGCAGTGCATAAAAGTCACAAAGATGTATATATAAAAGCAAAATAGGAAAAATATTCTTACTCTCCACCAGGAATCTTTGAAATATTTCTAATTCAACAGTAAGCTGAAATTTAGATTCAGTGCTGTTTCCTTATGGACTGAAGTGTACAGACTTAAAACATTTTTTCATCTATGTATTTATTATTTACATAATTTATATGCTGATAATAATCACAACAAAGTATAAAAACTAATACAGCAAATTATAACTGCAAAATAGCAATAGCCAATTATAGTATTTACCACTCACCTGTCACAGCGGTGGGCGTGGGCTTCCCAAGGCCGGGTGACACCACCCCATTGTTGTCTGCCCGCCCCCTTCCAGCTGGCCAATGGACAGCTGGCAAGGGGCTGGGCGAGGGCCAGGTAGGGCAGGCTCCTGCCGGCCATTGTCCCAGTCGGTCTCTGGAGTGTCCCTCCATCTAATTTAATGTGTTTTCTTGCAGGCTAACCTTTCTTCCTAGGTCCGTGGACACTGCTACGGTTGCACAGTGGTTGCTGTTTCCCAGAGCTGGGAAGGAATTTTCCCCTGCTCTGCAGGTTTTGCCTTCCCCGTAGCAATTGTCACAACTTTGGCAGTTTTAGGCCTTGGACTATAGTCTATAGTCTATCTTCAGAATAGGGGATAGCATTATTATGCACCCCCATGTGGCAGGTTGGGGTACCATATTGTCAACCCCTCTAGGGCACATTAAAGACTAAAGGGTTTACCATAGCAGGTGCTTTCATAGAAGAGAGAGAACTTTATCAGACACATTAAGTTTTGTTGCACAGATGGGGTATAGAGATAAGCAGTGCATTTAGTAGTGTTATAGAACCAAATGTGTACATTCCCCCATTTTAATCATGTGTGCCATTGGGGACAATACTTTGGACCTGTTGGATTTGGCTCTGGTCCATGGAAGATTCTCCCCAAGGAGATCATTAACAGCACAATCCTATGCTTGAGTACTACTCAGGATAAGACTCACAAAGCTTCCTTGTGCCTTGGATCCTAGCCTAAAACCACAGGCATGCACTGTGTGTGTGTAGTTTTGCTGCAACAATGCCTTAGCGTGTCTGGCTGTTAAATCAGAAGGTTGGTGGTTTGAGCCCACACAGAGACTGCTGCATTGCGGGGGTCGGACTAGAAGATCCTCTGCGCTCCTTCCCGACTCTACAATTCTATCAAACAGACTAACAGCTCAATTCTAACCACGTTTTACTGAAGCCCTACTGAATACAATGTGGATTATTCCAAAATAATTGCTACGGCTGTTGGGAACTTGGAGGTGCCACAGCTTCGCAACATACCTGGGCTGCAGCCAGGGCCGGATTTAGGTTTGATGAGACCCTAAACTCCTGAAGGTGATGGGGCCCTTTATTATGTCCAGCTGTCCTTTGTCAACAACAAATTGTTGCTATTGTTTGTGTTGAATATATGCTATATGGTAATTTATGGACCTAATAGGTATCTAAAGCCATTTGCACATAACAAAATATGTACAGTGGTACCTGGGGTTAAGTACTTAATTCGTTCCGGAGGTCCGTTCTTAACCTGAAACTGTTCTTAACCTGAAGCTCCACTTTAGCTAATAGGGTCTCCTGCTGCCGCTGCGCCACCGGAGCACGATTTCTGTTCTCATCCTGAAGCAAAGTTCTTAACCCGAGGTACTATTTCTGGGTTAGCGGAGTCTGTAACCTGAAACGTCTGTAACCTGAAGTGTTGGGTTGAAATAAACGACAGACGAATGACAAGTGTCATATGGGAGGCATCTCTGGAGCATGTCTCGGGGAGTCCCTTTTATTGAATATTACAGCATTGCCACAAATGTGCTTGTTGCTGATTGGTTAACACAAATACAATGCAAGGGTTGCATATAAGCATTAATCATCAATAGATTAAAGGTTGGGAAAGGGAACACATGGTTGGACAGGTATGAAAACCTCCTTATTAAACTATTACTAGTGATTGATATTGCAAAACTTAAAAGAGCATAACAATCGCATTCCGTAGATGTGGTCAACCATGCATTAAGAACAGGTCAGGATACGATAGTTTCATGAACTCAATGTGAACTAAACATTCTAGGGTGGATGAGGAAGGAATGCTTCAGCTTAGAGCGGTTTGCCAGACTCATGTGCAGAAGCAGAACTTCCCATCATCTCCCCCTTCCTTTTTTTTTTTTTTTTTGCGAGATGTTGCTATGTGATTTCAGGGTGAATGGGACAAAAACACTTCGGGATACGTGGTTTGCCAGCGCATGCCCGAAGTAAGTCTGCCCACATCTTCCCTATTATTTACTGTTGGTGCTGCCGCTTCGCTAAGTAGGCAGCAATGATTTTATTAGGTGGCTGAGGAGGGGAAAAAAACTGAGACCAAAGATGCATGAGACCAGGAATGCATTGGATAAAGCAGCATAGCAAAATTAATATACATATTATGACAATAGCATATTGAAAAAGATTACGAAGCCAATTCAGGTTTGGCAACCAGCTAGTGAGCCACTGGGCGAACGAATCCCAGAGGCCAGAAAATCCAACGTCCTGTTTAATGTGATGTGTAAGATTTTTTGGGGGGTCCCCAAGGGAGTGGGGCCTTAAGCTATAGCTTGTTTAGCTTATACGTAAATCCGGCCCTGGCTGCAGCAAGAAGTGCCCACCTCAGTCAGGAGCTGGAAGTAAAACTGCATTGTTATTTGCTGTGTTTTCAGCTGCTGCCTTGAAACGTTCGCTCTGTGAGGCTTCACGGGGCACTGACGAGGCCAGCCGCCCCGGGTGGGACCGAAGGAACAGACGGCGAGCGGGACGCACAAAGCGAAACACAGTTCTAGAACGTTGGCTGGCCGCGCGAGGCGACCGTTGCACCGTTGGCCCCGCGGCCGCCGTTTCGCGCACGCGCTCCTCCTCCAAAAGCGAAGAGCCCCTCTGAGCGCCCCGCCCCCTTCCCTTCCCCTCTTCTTCCAGTGGTAGAGGAGGGGAAGGGAAGTGGGCGGGGAAAGAGACAGAGAGACTTATAGAAAGGGAAAGAGCCTCAATTCACGTCCGCGCCTGCGCGTCAGCCAGAACGGAAGTGATTACGATTCGGCCGGGCCGGCTCGAGAGCCTCTCGAGGATTCCGCTTCCGGTTCCTTCTTCGCGTCTGCCGGCTCGGGAGACTCTCAGTACCTGGAAGCGGCGGCGGCGGCAGCAGCAAGATGAGCTACGAGCACCGCCGGGATAGGGGCCGCGGGGGCGGGCCCCGCGCTTCGCAGTCGTCGACGTCGTCGTCTGGCCGCGGCGGAGCTGGAGGCGGCGGAAGAGGTGGTGGTGGTGGCGGCGGCGGCGGCCGGGGCCGACCCCCTCCGCACCTGAAGGGCCGCGAGATTGGCCTGTGGTACGCTCGGCGGCAGGGCGAGAAGAGCAAAGAGGCCGAGAGGCAGCAGGTGGGTGAGGGGGGGAGGCTTCAGGGTGTCCGGCCGAGCGCTGCCTGCCCGTCGTTTGCGCCCTCAGGATGTGTCGTTGCGGGACCCTTGAGGAGGGTGGCGCTTGAGAGAAGAGGCCTCCGGTGAAGCCCTTCGTTCCTGAGGAATTTACCTGTCGGCCCGCTCCTTTTGAAGGTGGCCACATCCAAGAGGCCCTTTGAAAGCTGGTGCGGCGCGCCTGCCTATCTCGTTCTTCCTGACCGCGCTGGGGAATAATAATAATAATAATTTATTATTTATACCCCGCCCATCTGGCCGAGTTTCCCCAGCCGCTCTGGGCGGCTCCCAATCAGTGTTAAAAACAATACATCATTAAATACTAAAAACTTCCCTAAACAGGGCTGCCTTCAGATGTCTTTTAAAGATAAGATAGCTGCTTATTTCTTTCACATCTGAAGGGAGAGCGTTCCACAGGGTGGGCGCCACTATCCAGAAGGCCCTCTGTCTGGTTCCCTGTGACCTCATTTCTCTCAATGAGGGAACCGCCAGAAGGCCCTCGGCGCTGGATCTCAGTGTCCGGGCAGAATGATGAGGGTGGAGACGCACCTTCAGGTATACAGGACTGAGGCCGTTTAGGGAAATAACAATATCATCATCATCATTTTATTTGTGTGCTGCCTTTCCATAGTTAAAACAATGCTCAAGACGGCTTACAGCATGACAAGATTTACATACCGTAATTACCAACATAAGAAAAGTTATAAACAGTAAATAAAACACATCAGAAAGTACACAGCCAAATGGAAAACAATGTCCACATAATTCATAAAATCGAAAACTAAGAATACAGCATTAATATCAATCACAGTTTAAAATGACATAGATAAAAATAAAAGCAATTTTAAAAACAAAAACTCAACCCTCTCTGCCCAGCAGCAGCAGAAGCACTCCTTTATGGAGCTGTCAGGCCCCGCCCCAAGCCAGGTGGAAAGAAGCAGGGCAGGGCCCTTCAGGCTCCCAGCAGAAATAGAAAGACAACTCTTCTGCCCAGTCCTGTCCCCCATCAGTCGGAGTGACTGGCCCAAGGCGGCAAATCTCACACCACTTTTTGCGAGGTTTGGGGTGTTGGGACATCCAATTTCCCATCCTGTCTGCCAAATGTGTGCACCCCCACCCCCCACTGGTAGCAGTTTCTGAGTCAAGAGCAAGGGAAGGGCATTGCAGTAATCTTATCAAGGGTTGTAGCCATTGCTGCATGAGTGGCGTCCTGCTTCTGCAGCAGGGCTTATGGTTTCTTTCCTCTCCCCATGTATGCCCCAAATCGGCTCCAGTGAGCCTCTCAACTCTCTAAGGCATATTTTGAGGATTGGGGGTTTGGCTACAAGTTGAGAGGAAGGGGATGACAGGTCAGACTTTTAAAATAAGTTTGAAGAATGTCCCGCAAACATGCCCCACAAGGTACATTTGTTGTGGCTGATGCCTTTCTCATTTGTATGATGCTTAAAAGAACCTCTTTGAGCATTGAATAGTTGTAACCGTGTATATGCCACTCAGGTGGGTATAAAATAAACAATAGCATTCATTTTCCTCACATGTATGTATGAAAGGAAATGTTCTTCCATATGGAGAAGATTTGTGTGCAGGTGTCCTATGGTGTATGCTGACAGAGAATTTTACTGTGTGTTTCTGTTAGAGATAGTGAAGACTTTCTCAACTTTGTACAGAAACATTAAATTTAAAGTATAGTAGTAACTTGACATATCCTTAGTATTTAGAATATGTAGTCCTCCTTTTACAATATTGAGGAGTGTCCATCATTGAGATAATTGGAGCAAGATTTTTGAGCATGGAATATGTTATACTTTAAGATTTTGTTAAAATCCATTGTTCTTTCCATATATAGAGAGCTGTGGTGCGTATGGATGAGCGCAGAGAAGAACAGATTGTACAGTTGCTGAACACTGTCCAGAGCAAAAATGAAAAAGAACAAGAAGCCATGTCTTGGTGGTCTGATGAAGAAGGGTAATAATATTTTTTTTCTTTCAGGTCAAATGTTAGCAGTATGTTTTGCAGTAAGCAAACCAACTGAAGAGTAGTTTGCATTATAAAATAGTTAAACACGCCATTCTATGTTCTGTTTTGCTATCAAACGCTATAGTAATTTGTATTCAGTTTCATTTGTTTTCGTGCTTAATATTCTTATGGAACATCACATCACAACAGTATTTCTAAATTGGGAAATATTGGCCATTTGGAATAATAATGACTAAAATACAGGCAAACCCTGTTTTAGGCACAACCAATATGTGCACAGCGCCAAATCTGGAAGTAGCCTGTAGTCTGTAATAGTCTGTAATAAAAGACATCACTAAAGGGTGGGTCAGGGGCAGAGTGGGTTGTTTGCAGGCTGTTTCAGTTGCACACAATTTCACAATGACCTGGAATGCACCCCCTGCACAAATCGGGGGTTGCCTGTAGCTAGTGACATTTATTGAGCTACTTTCATCTCAGGTTTTTGTTTGTTGTGCCTTGCAACTTTGTGGCCTCTTGGGGATTATACAACATGGGGTATAACTGGGATAGTGCTGTGGCAAAATATCAGTGTGGTGTGGTAGGGAGGAAAATCCAGGCAAGCAGAGCAGTGAGTTCTAATTGTAGAGTTGGAAGGGACCACTAGGGTCATCTAGTCCAACCTCCTGCAATGCAGGGATCTTTGCTCAACATGGGGCTCAAACCCACAGCCCTGAAATTAAGAGTCTCATGCTTTACCGATGGAGCTATCTGCTTGCCAGCTGCCACCTAAGTTGTTTACAGGATGGGATCACGTATTTACTCATAGCTGGACACAGGACTGTAGATCAAAACTATAAATACCAAATTTATCTACTGATGTGTGTTTCTTAGAGCTGGATGACTTATGCTTAACCACACCTTTTCCAGGTACACAAAGGAGACCCCTCCAAAACCAAAGCCTGTTGTGGAAAAACCTGTTGTTGAGAGGGCGCCAAAAAGAACTAGACCAATATTGGAAAAAACATTCCTTGATCAAGATTCAGAATATCTCTTAGAAGAAAATAAACCTGATGTTGATTTAGATGAGCAACTTAAAGAAGAATTGAAAAAGAAAAAAACTGATTCCAGATATATTGAAATGCAGGTAGCCTCCAGAGAAGATTTTGGGGCATGTTGAGGGCAGGAGGGGAAGATGAAGCTCTGTTGCACTAGTGTATTCCCATTTGTACTATTCTAGATCTCTGATTGTATCTACCTCAATAGAAGTTTGCTTAAATGCTTTTGGCTAGAAATTATAGCTGTCATTTATGAATTAATATATGTGGAAACCCTGAGCTGGTTTTTTATGCTGTATTTCATCTAGTAGCCAAGATGATGATCTGAATTAAATTATAGGGTATAATGGGCAGCCCAGTCATGTGGGCTTGCTGTCAAGAGCTCTCCACCAGCTTCATATTTAGGTTATGAAGATGAACCAGATATATTTTTGTACACTGCCTTGGAATCTTCTGATGAAGGGCAGCTACATTTCCCCCCCAAAATAAATAGTATTTTTATTCCATTTTTATCCTTACTGCAGTGAGAGGCACAGGAACTTTAAAAACCTCAAGGAACTTGCTTAGGAACACAGTCAGAGGTTGATACAGTTCTAGTTCCTCTTCTCCTTTAGTGGAAAAGGCAAGCATTAATGTTGTGTTGCAGCTGAATACATTTATTGTTAATATATATGATTCTCAGCGTCTTAGATGGAACATTAACGTGCTTAAAAAAAAATAGGTTGGTGCTTCAGTTCTTAGCTTAACAGCATCACTAATCGTATTCAACTTGCTAAACAAATTTATAAATATCTATTATAAATATACTCTATTTTCACTTATTTTTTCTTTACTTTGCAGAGATTTCGCGAGAAGCTGCCTTCTTATGGAATGAGAAAGGTAAATACATACCTTGAATATGAGCCTTTTTGTCTTAACTCAGATGAGCATTAAGATTTGGAAAAGAAAAATATTTGATGAAATGTTGAAAGGCAATGAGAATTTAGTGGGAAATGTTTGTGTGTTCTACTGTGTAGAGAAGCACCATTAAACAATTTCAGTCCCTGGTGTATTTTTTATAGAGTGGGTAATGTTCAGTGCATAATTGAACGAGGGCATGGAAGCATATCTCCACACAGCAGAGTGATTACTGTGTTTAATTTTTTTTTTTTTAATAGGAGCTTGTAAACATCATAAATAGCAGTCGGGTAACTGTTATAAGTGGTGAAACTGGCTGCGGAAAGACAACTCAAGTTACTCAGTTCATCTTGGATGACTATATTGAGCGAGGGAAGGGGTCTTCCTGCAGGATTGTATGTACTCAGCCTAGAAGGATCAGTGCTATCTCTGTAAGTGACATTTATATCTGTTCTGGGATAAAGTAACCATATTTACAAAGAAGAAAACATTAACAGATTTTCTTTAATGTTAAGGTAGCAGAGAGAGTTGCGGCAGAAAGGGCTGAAGTATGTGGTAATGGAAAGAGTACAGGATATCAAATTCGGCTTGAAAGGTACATGAGTATTTCTTGTTAGTTTTTATACTTGAAGAATGTCTATGCACAGACTAGAGTGGGCATATGTTTTAGCATCCCTTCTGTGCTGTTACTTACCTAGGGGGTTCTCCTTCCACAGATGCAGCGATGTAACTTTTGGTGACAAAATTAGTAACCTGTCCTGTGAATAATTGTGTCAGCGCAAATGCTTATTGGCTGGGCTGTAAGATTTCATATGAGGTATTTGTGTATATAGCCATGCAGACAGAGCTCCATCTGATAAGCTGCACCGGGGGAATGGTATTTTCATGTATTTTCAGGTGTTAATTATTCCACCTGGAATTTTGCTGTCACAAATTGTGGGTGTTGCCACAAATAGGAAAACTGTACCACAAATATTTATGAGGAATTGCTACAAATACAATACATTGTCAAGTAGAGCACCAATCAGGCAAGGCCACCCACTTGCCTTTGAATTGACTGTCCTCACAAGACTTACTTTTCGCTGCAACTTTTATTCTGCTAAGCTGCTGTCAAGTTCCTCTAGAAGTGTTCCTCTAGAAGTAATGTGTATATATAAAACAGGTGAGCAACCAAGAAAGAAACAGTGGCATTTGTGTGTGTTGTTTGGATTAGCAACAACTTGTAAAATGGGTTAATTAAGCATTGTTGTGTCATACCTTAGACATTCTGTTTGTTGGCTGCATGCTGAGCATACCATGAAGCCAAACTATGCATGCTTTCTCAGAAGTCCAGTTGACTTCAACTAAGCTCACTTCCAAATAAGTGTGTATACTGCAGCTTTTATTTTCGTATTGCACAACCAGACATTGGATGCTTGAATCTTAGTAAGTGAGTACAGCTGAAGGTGTACTGTCATTATAACACTTAAAAGTATCTTCTTGCTTTTTCAAAAGCAATATCAAGAGGAACTGAAGTATTGTTTTTAATGGCTATCTTTCAGCCGGTTGCCAAGGAAACAAGGCTCAATTTTGTACTGCACAACAGGAATTGTCCTACAGTGGCTCCAGTCAGATAAGTATGTGTTTCTCTGTTTCAAAAGAAAATTTTGAATGCGTTTCCTCAAAGCTTTATCAGCTGCTGCTAATAGTTGTATTTGCTGTACTCATTTCCATTTATTTCATATCTGCTGATTAACATTTTGTTTCTTATGAATATAGGGGGTTATCAGTTCTGTGCTTCTTTTGTTGTAGGGAGTTGGCCAGTGTTAGTCATGTAATCCTTGATGAAATCCATGAGAGAAATCTCCAATCAGATGTTTTAATGACCATAATCAAAGATCTGCTAAGTGTACGACTCGACTTGAAAGTCATATTGATGAGTGCTACGCTGAATGCCGAGAAGTTCTCAGACTATTTTGGTGTGTGAAATTACCTACATTTTTACAAGTGTAATAATCCCCTGTATTTTGCTATGAACGTTGGAAGCATCATAGTATAACAAAATACAGGTGTCTTCCTTCTTATGGGGTTACAATCCAGGCTGCCGCTGCTTTCTCACTTGTCAGCTGTTAGGCGGGGAGGCTGAGCAGCATCAATAAAACCCCGCTGCATCACCAGCTCATGAGGAGACCGTCCCCGGAGCTCAAAGAGAATGTCCTCTTTGGGGTCTGGGGAGAGTCTCCTCACGAGCCAGAAGGACTTTCCAGCTCGCTTCCACCACTTCCGGGTTTCAGGTATCGCACATGTGCACAGTTGTGCAGAAGTGTGGAGTTGCCTGTACTTCTGAAAATAAATAGACAAAATATATGCTGTTTATTTTTTAAATTTATCTCTGCATGAAATGAAATGCTGAATACTTGCCATTTTCATGTAATAGTTCTATGACACACATATTGTGGTATAACTATTCTTTGTCAGAATCAGTTTATCAGGTGAAGTATCATATTCTGTGTGCAATAAACATTTTACTTCAGTGAACAATATCTTTGGCAGCATTTTGAACACTTGAGTTCATGCCAAGGATAATTTATACTCCACCCATCTTGCTGGGTTTCCCCAGCCACTCTTGGTGGCTCCCAACAGAATTTTAAAAACAGAATCAAACATTAAAAACTTCCCTAAACATTCTAAATCCCTTTGGTCTTTCTAGTAGAATAAAAACAACCTAACTAGCTTTTTTGATTTCTAGAACAATAGCATTAAAAAAAAATGTTTTATTTGGATAAGCTTCATGCTTCTAGCTATTCTGTAAATTGTGTCTTGTATCTTTTTTTCAAGCATGATGCAGTTTGCTAAAATATAGGTGATGTAATATATATTTTCCCCTTTTTATACAGACAGTTGTCCTATGATCCATATTCCTGGATTCACCTATCCTGTCAAGGAGTACCTTTTGGAAGATGTAATTGAGAAGCTACGGTTAGTGTGAAGACGATTCCTCTTAGTTCCTTTTTACATTGTGGCATTAAAACTCAGAATTTGGACGTATAATGATTCCTGACTTCTCCCAATATGAAGACTATATTGAGATATTTAGAATGATTTTAAAAAAAATTTTACTTAATGTGCAAACATTATTACTGAATGCTATATTTATTTCTGAAGATACATTCCAGAAAGTACGGATCGCAGACCACATTGGAAAAAGAGGTTTATGCAGGGGCACATAAGCAGGCCAGAAAAGGAAGAAAAAGAAGAAATTTATCATGAGCAGTGGCCAGATTATTTGAAGCAGCTGAGAGGACGGTAGGGTTATTTTTCACTTTTGTACAACTTTCAGATTTTTGTTACATATGTGACAGACACTTTATAGCTGCAATCCTAGCACTTTCTAGGGAGCAAACCATATTTGATGTTTTAGTTTGCTGGAAGCCACCCAGAGTGGCTGGGGCAACCCAGCCAGATTGGTGATATATAAATATATTACTATTATTAAACACAGTAGAACTTCTGAATAAACATGCAGTTTATCTGTTTAAGAGAGACTGAGATTTGTTCTGTGCTTAAAAGCAAATAGGATCCAGTCTGTTTTGTTGCCTTCTTTCAGCAGTTTCTTCTGTTGATCTGTGTTTATTTTAACCAGTCTCCTTTTTTTGCTGTTTGTATAAAACAAGAGCCTGTGTGCTTGTGCTAAACATAACTATAGCACATATGGTTAAATAATGCTTTTTATTTGTACGTGATTTCTAGGTATTCAGAAAGTACAATTGATGCATTGGGAATGATGGATGATGAGAAAGTTGACCTTGATTTGATTGCAGCACTGATCAAGTACATTGCTCTTGAAGAAGAGGTGAGTTTCAACTTGGCTAAATATGGCTTCACTTTTTAAATTATTTCCTCTTCTTAATTAGATTAGATGCAACCTAATTAAACTTAATTGATTCTAAATCTGCTAGATTTCAAGAGAAGAGACTTAAGCACTTACTTAACCTTAACCCTTACTAAAATAAATGGAACTTAAAAAGGCTTAAATTTGACTCATGCTCATCATAATTAAAAAACAATATAAGTTGGTGTTGGCTTTACACAATGATTGTAGAGGAAAATTATTTTGTAAGGAATTGTTTTCGTAGAATTTTTGTAGGCAACTGTGCATGCGATGCATATGAAATCACAGGGATTAATATAAAGTTCTTCTCCCTGTATGTGTTAATACTAATACATAAAGTTGTTTTCACTGTCTTTTTTTAAAATGTTGTTTATATGTTACAAGAGTTGATTATATGATTGAAGAATTATTAAACTATTGTTTGTTGTTGGCCATGGTCCTGTATCTTTGGCTCTACTAAAGAAATATTCTTAATACTAGGCACGATCACTGCACCACCACAATACTGCAAACAGTGGCTATGATAATGTTGTTGTATTCCAGTTACATCATAGTAGAAATTCAAGAGTTGACTGGAATCTTAACTACAGTGGTACCTCTAGTTACGAACTTAAATTCTTTCCGGAGGTCCATTCTTAACCTGAAACTGTTCTTAACTAGAGGCGTGCTTTTGCTAATGGGGCCTCTTGCTGCCGCTGCGCCGCCAGCACACAATTTCTGTTCTCATCCTGGGGCAAGGTTCTCAACTCGAGGTAACTTCCAGGTTAGCAGAGTTTGTAACCTGAAGTGTTTGTAACCTGAGGCTTTTGTAACTCGAGGTACCACTGTACTCTGTTGACAAACAAGCAAAGACAACAGCTACAAATGTTTTTCTGTGCTTGTGTGTTAAAGTCAATACTGCACTAATCTTAGAGAAAAAATTGAGTAAATGCTTTTCAGAACCAAATCACACATCCTTTGGCTTCAACAGGATATTTCAATGTCTCTTGCTCCCAAGCAAACATTTCAGGGACTAGAATGTTTGTTTTGTACTAAGTTCTAGCTTAATCCCATTTTATTTAACACCATAAGTTTTGAAAATAGAAGATAGTATTTTAAGATAGTTTTTGAGCAATAATGTCTTTCATGTTGCTTCACATAATAAAATTGCACATATGCAGATAATACTGCCTTCACGATTACCAATGCTTTCAATGGTATTTTGGCGCTTTGCTCTATTCCCTGAAAAAATGTGATAGTGGCAGTAGTGTTACTGGGGGACAAAAGTTATTCAGAATCAAGTGTTTCTGCTGCATATAATTTTCAAATTGCAAATAATATTAAGCATGTGTTTTCACAATTTGCAGTTGCAAAGTTTTAGAAATACCAAAAATAGAGTTTACAGGTTGAATTGGATACAATACTTAATCCCTGGTTTGCTTGCACATCTGAATCTGCCCCAGTGGGATAATCATGGCTTGTTTTTGGCTAGCAAATCATGTTCTGAAACCCCATGGTTTAAAATTGGTGCCTGAATCTTGGTTTATGTTAACTGTAGTCTTCCATTACATCCAAGTTCTGTACTCTGGTTTAATTCTAATTCGTTGTGTTGCCCCTTCCCTGCCACCAATCTGAGTGCACGGATGCAAGACTCAAACAAAACTACTTGTGCAGCTAAGAGTTTCTTGCTGGCCTTTTCACAGACCTCTGTACCCTCCTCATCCTACCAGGCAACAGACTGATTGCACCACTCATTTTGTAAACAAGCTGACTATTCAAAGAGGAGGTGAGACCCTGTGGAGGGGGCACAAATCAACATTAGGTGAAACAAACTAAATTTGTGAGCGGGATCCAAACTTCCTAAATTGTGGCTTAACAACATGTCTGAACGTGGCCATGATGTGTGCTTTATGGGTTGAACTGTGCATCCATGTTGGATAATCGATTTCTCCATGTACCTGTGTTCATGCAGGATGGTGCAATACTTGTATTTCTCCCTGGATGGGACAACATTAGCACTCTAAATGACCTTCTGATGTCTCAAGTTATGTTTAAGTCAGGTAAATCATCTTCTTTGATTTTCTTTAAATATTCTGCTGCAAACTAGGGGTTTTCTTTATAAACTGTTACCCAAACCCTTCTAGCACCTTTTGGCAGCACTATCAACACAGCATCATAGATTGTAAATTGTGCCAGCATAACTGTTGATGTTCACCATCCTAAGCATGTGCAAGTTGGCAGACAAGTTCAGAATTCAGCTACCCTTTTCAAATGAATGTTGGCCTACATTAAATAATCTTAAATTAGGATGAGCAGTTAAATTAGCACTGTCAAGATGCTTCAGTAACACTTGGAGGGCAGGGTTCTCTGTCCCCAAAGCCTACTGAACTTCTCTAGCTGCCATTCTGAGCCTCTGCCCCTCTTCCTGTTGCCCTGCAGCTTTCTCCTTTGCATGACTTCCAGAACCATAATTCCCACTGTCTTTCTTAAAAATGCATTTGAATGCAATGCAATGGTTGAACCGGTGTCCCAACAGCCACTGCAGGGGACCAGTAAGTGATAGCACCTGGGGTGGCATGTCAGTTACAGTGTTGGCTGGTAAATCCCCCTAACGCAGGCATGGCCAAACTTGGCCCTCCAGCTGTTTAGGGGCTACAGTTCCCATCATCCCTGACCACTAGTCCTCTTAGCTAGGGATGATGGGAGTTGTAGTTCCAAAACAGCTGGAGGGCCAAGTTTGGCTGTGCCTGCGAATAAATTGGTTACTGTTAAATGTAAAGGATAGCAGTCTCCATCCTTAATGTGGTTTTGCATGATGACATCGCACAAACATAACCCACTGTGTAACAAATCTTTCAAAGATGTTTTTTTTTTTTTTTTTTAAAGCAATTTATTGGGTTTTACAGTAAGAATAAACATAGTAAACAATATAACATTTGTCTTAACATAGTTTCACATTTTCTTTGGACTTCCTCACATCTCCCGCTCCCACTTTCATCGTTATAACATTTTGTCAGCAATTTATCATCTTATTTAAATTCTTATATCTCTTCAATATTTCATAATCTTATGGTTCTCATAGAGAGTTAAACTTTCACAGTCTTACTTATTTTCTTAAAAACTTCTAAGTTAAGTGGTGCTCAGTTATTTAGTCTAGCATCTTATTTAGCATTCGCTCAAATCACAATATTTTTGTAGATAGTTCTTAAAAAATCTTTCAAAGATGTTGAGCTTTGCATTTGCTTTGAGAGCAGATCAGTTTATTTGGGTGAATCAAATGGATAGCTGTTAATGATTCTAGCAATAAATTTAAAATATTCAAAGGTTTAATTTTAATTTTACCTAACAAGCTGCTGACCTCAAAGACTTTTTCAGTTTAATGCTACAAGGCAATATTTAAGGCAAAATATAGAAAGGTTGCGAATTTTGTTATTGGCAAAATAAAATGAATATATAAACTAGTGCTTTCAAAAATATTATTTGTAACAAGAATCTGTGGCTTCTTGAAGAAAATAGTTCATTTTTCCTACAACTGTACCTCATTTATATTCTTAAATTTCTCTAGATTTTCAGTTTTTCTTTCAAACTGAATTTTACTTAGAGTAGTACCATAATGCCGATTTTATTTTTCAGATAGGTTCGTTATTATACCTCTGCATTCGTTGATGCCTACTGTTAACCAGACCCAGGTAAGCTTTATAATTAGCAGTGGTCGTTATTTTGGTATAGAGTATTCTAAATCTGTTTTCAGTTTTTTAAACTAAAGTAGAATGACTGCAACAGCTGTGCCTTCACATAACTTACTTGGTTAGATCCAGAGAAATGCTGGTGGAAATGCTGGGTAGAAGATAACTTCTGGGAACAAATATGCCTCTGATTTTCAGTCCCCACCCCATAACCCACCTTGTTTAGCAGGGTCTCACAACCCTTTAGTGAGGTATTTGGGGTGACTACCGCTAAGATGAGGGAGGCAGGGAGGTCATATTCCATCCTCCCCACTTCCCCTTGTTTCTCTGAACTCAACTGCATATGTTTATTTGTTGCCCAATCATATTTATTATTTTAAGTAACATTAAAATACTGATTTCAGCCTTACTAAGCAGCAAGGAAGGGATCAATTTTTTATATTGTGGAGTCTCCATGTCCTTGGAAATTGGGACCAAAGTGTGGGCTCATCTGCCAATAATAATAATAATAATAATAATAATAATAATAATAATAGAACACAATGTCTCAACTGGGCTGTGCCATGCCTGTTAAAACATGGGACGCTTCAATCCACCTGCTTTTCAAGAGATCATATCCTTTATTCCAAAAAACTGTTTTCTTCTTGGATTGCTGTTGTAATAATACCTTAATAAAATGTTTCAACTATCCATTAATGTGTAATTGCTCTGGTGTTTAAATTTAGTGATGAGTGTATGCATGTGCATGTCTTGACTGAAAGAAATTAAATTAAGTAAACAAATATTAGGATGAGAAAGAAATTTCTGGAACAAACACTTTTTCTCTTTCTGATTTTGTTTTTGTTTTTCTTTAGGTTTTTAAAAGGACCCCCCCTGGAGTCCGTAAAATTGTAATTGCTACCAACATCGCTGAGACTAGGTAAACCTTTCTGCTTCTAGCAATTCTTGAAATTAACTTGTTGGCAAAAAATATTTTCATTAAAAGTGTAAATTAAAATGTTTAATTCCTTTATGTGGTGGAACAAGTAATAAAATAAATTAAAAATATGTACAATGAAGCTGCTTTTCCACTTTGGATTCGTCAGATAGTTTAATGTGAAAATTTAGTGTAGAATGCATATGCTGTACAAGGGAAAGCAACACATTCTCTCATGGATATCAGAGGTCTCTTGAGTGCTACCCAATTAATCCATGGAGTTTCTTTTTGAACGCTGGCACTTTTAAGCACAATGCCTGCAATGTTTCCCCCCCTTTTTTTCCTCCTGGAGCCCAATAAAAAGTTTGGGGGGGGGGGGAGATAAAGGCCGAGGTAAACAATGTTTTTGCATTTTCCTTTTGGAGAGGAAAAATAACAGAAAATGCAAGCAGGTATGGAAAGTGGAGGGGAGGTAAAATTAGAAAAAAATGGCTTAGTGCAGAGCAAGAGATCATGAGAAGATGTGCTTAGAGTTTAGACAGGAAGCGGACTGAGCCTCAAGAGGAGAGGAGCAACAGCAAAGCCTTGCCTTGAAACTTTGGCATTTCCTGACTTGGAGCTGCAGGGGGAGCTGTATTCATTAAGAAAAACTGTTTACAATATGATCAACAGTTCCTTTTCGGCTTTTATAAATTGGCTTCAGCATTAAGCAATATCTGATGGCCTGTGGAATAAGTTAGGTGTTGAAACTGACCCTCATCCCTAAGTGCACATGAAGCTAGGCAAAAGAAGTTATAACCCAGACTCTTCCCTCCTCAATATCCATTACACTGACAGTTTGGGAATTACATAGGAGTGCTGCCTAGACTTGATTGCTTGTTGGAAAACCCCAAGGCCTAACAGTTTCCATTAAGCATGCTTACAGCTGATTATCCTAAGGCTCCAGCCCAAAACATGCTTGCTTAAAAATAGAACTTATTTCCAGATTAGCATGCTTAATGTTGTTTTATGTAGCTAGTACTAGAACTGAAGTTAGACAGGTGCCTGCTGTCTTGATGATTAGATCTAAAAACCTTCCCTTAAGTATGACCCAGTCATCTTATGGGCTATTAATTGTATCAATGTAAAAATTGGTCTATTGTTAGTTTTTTGTGTATTTTACCTCCTTTATCTTTTTGCACACTACTGCAGTAGTTTGTGGCTGTGAAGTGGTTTATGAATCTGTAAAATAATAATAATAATAACATAAGCATGTCTGCTGACAGTCTTAGCTTCTGACATGTTCAGTTTGTCTTGCTTCAGTCTGAGCATTTTTAGCTTTTTGGTTTTCTTGCAGACTTCACTCCTTGGTGGATCTGTGCTTGTTACGTAAGAAATAGCAAAACTGTAGCAAGTGGTAGTCTCTGTTCATTACGATTGATTGCAGGACAATTTGTGTGTTTCATAAGGGGCAATTTCTTTTACAGATTGACGTAATCAATGCAGATTGTCTCTATTTGATGTACAAAAGCTAACCATTTCTTCCTGCTTCCCATTTCTGCAGCATCACCATAGACGATGTGGTATACGTTATAGATGGAGGAAAGATAAAGGAAACTAACTTTGATACACAGAACAACATTAGCACGATGGCTGCAGAGTGGGTTAGCAAAGCAAACGCTAAGCAGAGGAAAGGTAGAGCAGGAAGGTAAGAGTAATCTATTGTAACAGAATGGACAGAAGCAGGGAAACCTTGGCTATTGCAATAATGAACATTTTCAAATATTTAATAAAAAAATTATTTAAAGTTTACTTTAAAGACATTAATTTTCCCCCTCACTTTGCTGACTTTATTGATTAATCTGAAGCTTTTCCTTTAGTGACTTTATTTGCTGGCTTAGTTTTTTGTTTTGTTTTTTGCCCCTTTGATATTTAATTTTTATAGACTGAATACCCAAAGTGGTGTGGTGGAGCCCAGTGCATTTTAGATTGGAGCATGAATAGATTGGAGCATCCTCTTGTATCATCAAACCTTTGATATAGGAGGCTCTAACCTGCAAAACCTCATACCAGAATACTTCTGTTAGCCTTTAAGCAGTTAACAGGAATTTCTTAGGGTTCTTTTTTTACTTCCATGGTCCAACACGACTGTTCTTCAGGGATTTAAACTTAGTTTTAGAAGTTAAAGTAGTTCAGCAGCACGATCCCTCTATTACAGTCTAAAAATACCATATAAAAAAAAATTCTTCACTATCTTGACATTTGCATTGTTTGTATTTGTTGAACTCCTTCAAATAAAGTCTTAAGACATAGGACTATAGGCACAGCACATATGCCTAGTTGATATGTATAGGTCTTGTAGCCTGATATTCTTGCTCCCTATGTGAAGATGCTGTGCGAGCGGAGGTTGAGCTCTTGAGCACAAATAATTGGTAGTGAGTTAATGTACATGTAGAGGGACGCGGGTGGCGTTGTGGTCTAAACCACAGAACCTAGGGCTTGCTGATCAGAAGGTCGGTGGTTCGAATCCCCGCAACAGGGTGAGCTCATGTGGGTGGTCCCAATTCCTGCCCACCTAGCAGTTTGAAAGCACATCAAAGTGCAAGTAGGTAAATAGGTATTGCTCCGGCGGAAAGGTAAACGGCGTTTCCGTGCGCTGCTCTGGTTCACCAGAAGTGGCTTAGTCATGCTGGCCACATGACCTGGAAGCTGTCTGTGGACAAACGCCGGCTCCCTCGGCCTATAGAGCGAGATGAGCGCCGCAACCCCAGAGTCGTCCGCGACTGGACCTAACATTCAGGGGTACCTTTTCCTTTAATGTACATGTAGTACAAATAAATCATGTCCTGTAGATTACTCTCTTAGCATTTTTTACTCAGTTCATTTCTCTAGATATTACAGTGGTACCTCGCAAGACGAATGCCTTGCAAGACGGAAAACTCGCAAAACGAAAGGGTTTTTTGTTTTTTGAGCTGTTTCGCAAGACGATTTTCCCTATGGGCTTGCTTTGCAAGACGGAAACGTCTTGCAAGTTTGTTTCCTTTTTCTTAACACCGTTAATACAGTTGCGACTTGACTTCGAGGAGCAACTCATAGCACGCGGTGTGGTAGCCTTTTTTTGAGGTTTTTGAAGACTTTGGTGATTTTTGAAGCTTTTCCAAAACTTTTCCGACACCGTGCTTCGCAAGACGAAAAAAATCGCAAGACGACAAAACTCGCGGAACGAATTAATTTCGTCTTGCGAGGCACCACTGTATCTACTTACCAGATAGTACATAAAGAAAAAGAAAGTTCAGCATCACTATCCTTGAAGAGTTTTCCTCCACAGTATTGCTACCTGAAAATTACTCCCACTAACTTCGGAAGTACTTAATATCTTCCCACATAATCACTTGGAAATGAATTTGCCTAGAACTCTGGTATTCAAGAGCATTCTTGAATACAGAAAAATGTGTAATAGGTGCATAGCTGTTTAGCTGCACAAAGTTGCTTCAGTCAACAGTTTCCATTCTATCCTTTGTGAGACCAATCGGGCGTTACCTTTCACTGCATTGCAGATTTGGTGCAATCCCATCCTATAAGGTTATTGTCTCATACTGATTAAAGGGGAGTGCATTGTGGTCCTTAGTTTTCTGTTGACATACGTCAGACTGGCAGGTAGATATATCATCCCTGCCAGCACCATATTTGCATTTATTATCCCCTGTGCCATATATAAAAAGAAGCTGGTGTTGGTTTGGTAACATTTTCTTCATTTTGTTGCACCCTGCTGCTGTCCTTGATCAGATATGGCGAACATTCTTTAGCTCAAGGGATGTGTTCCCTTTCAGGATTTCATGCCAGTGGCAATATTGGCCAGAGCCAAAAAGGGTGGAGCGACAACCATGACTCTTACCTTCGAACAGTAGGCTACATTTCAGCCATGCAGAAGCCAGAGGTTTATGCACACACATATTTGTGTGTGTGTGTGTGCACGCACACACCTCTTCCTCTATCTAGGCACAGAACTCTTAAAAGGACGCATTCTAGCCAGGCAAAAGCACTCAAGGGACAGAGTAGTGCTGATGAGAGGTGTGGCTTGGGGAAAGTCTTGAGGCCCATATTAAGAGGTCTGGAGGGTCTCATTTTGTGCCTGTGCCTGGGGTTCCCCACCCTTGTCCTAGATTATTGCTTCTCTTTATAATTGCTTCTTGATGGTACACTGAGCCATAGGGTCAGCACCTAAGCTTCTCATTCTTTCATTGCAAGTTTTGCATAAAAGGTATACTGCTAAGCCACTTTTACTTATAACACATCAATGTTACTACAGTGTCAAAATATTTAACTTCCTGCAGAGTCCAGCCTGGTAACTGCTACCACTTGTACAATGGTCTGCGTGCCAGTTTGTTAGACGATTATCAGTTGCCAGAAATCCTGAGGACACCTTTGGAAGAACTTTGTTTGCAAATCAAGGTAATATACATATTATATATACCCTGTTAGGGTAGCCTTTCTGGTAAAGGATTTTGCATCAAGCATAAAGATTTGGAGTTCGCTCAAGTAGTATTGATCCAGATTATATTACTTTAGTGGTTTCTATTGCCATCTGTAGCAGATGGGATTCTGAGCTCATAAAAAAGGCTTCTCTTCCATATCTAGCAATGGATCTACATTGCCATATGAGCCCTGCAGTTCAGCAGGTTGCACTTTTGTCCATGTGCTTCTATTGTATGAAGTGAGGCCATGTGTGGCAAGGTGGAGAGCTGTTGCTGCAACTGCCTTGAGGCTGTGGAATGACCTCAGTGAGGATTGGTGTCAATCTTGTATGATAGTCTTTCAGAGAGAGTGCAAAACTTGCTAGTTCAGAAGGGTGCTGCAAAGTACCATCTTGTTTCCCATGCTGTTTAACATCTACCTGAAGCCATTGGGAACAGTTATTAGGAAATTTGGGGTGAGATGTCATGAATATGCTGATGATACCCTGTTCTCTGTAACATCTGAATCAAGAGAGGCACTGTATCTGGGGCTGCCCCTGAACAGGCAACCCTGTTTAGGGAAGTTTTTAATGTTTGATGTTTTATCTTGTTCTTAATATGATGTTGGGAGCCGCCTAGAGTGGCGGGGGAAACCCAGCCAGATGGGTGGGGTATAAATAAATAATAATTATTACTACTACTATTATTACTATTACAATTATTATTATGACTCAGAAGCTGCAAGTAGTGCAAAATGTGGTGGTTTAACTTCTCATTGGGGCACAATATTAGCATCATATTATGTTGCTATTAGCATCTTACTGTTGTAAGAATTGCACTGGTTGCCAATAAGCTACCAGGCTAAGTTCAAAGTGGTGGCTCCCCATACAAATATTGTCTCATTCTTTCTATACCCAACCAATCTCTGTGCTCTGCATGGTGTTGTAATCTGGCTTTGAGTGTTAGTAGTATATCTGGAGGTACCACTACAGTGGTACCTCCAGTTGCGAATGGGATCCGTTCCGGAATCCCGTTCACAACGTGCAAAGCCTGCAGCCTGAAACGCCATGTCTGCGCATGTGCGCGGTGCGATTTGGCACTTGTGCGCATGCGCAAAGCGCGATTTAGCGCTACTGCACATGCGTGAGCAGCGAAACCTGGAAGTAACCTTTCCTGTACTTCCGGGTCGCCATGGGACGCAACCTGAAAAAACATAACATGAAGCAGATGTAACATGAGGTATGACTGTAACTCCTTTACGTATCAAATGGACACCATCTCTTGTCTTTTCAGCATCAGTTGAAGACTTCTTTTTCAACATGTCTTCTAAGTGGACATTTATGTCTGAGTTTTTATCTGCAACTGATCTGAAATTGTTTTTATATGTGAAGTTGTCCTGTATATGAATTTATTATTACATTGTAAAATTGCTTGAGAAGCTTCATTGGAAGTGATGCATAAAATGAAATAATAATGCTAATTAATAATAATAGGTAATAACAATAATAATTAGCAATAGGAGTCTCTTTTGTGTGGAACGCTGTTGAAAGTTCTGTTACTAACTGTACATGCTTTTAAAAAATGAGTCAGTGGGAAAGCATTTGATTGATAATTCTGAAGGTGTTTTGCAATTTAATTTGAGTTTATAAAGAAGGATGAACTTTGTTTTCTTTCAGATCTTAAAGCTTGGAGGAATTGCCCATTTTCTGAGCAAACTGATGGATCCACCATCACGTGATGCTGTGTTGTTATCCATAAAAAATCTCATGCAGCTGGTATTTTTTTGTTTATTTCCTATACTAATATTTTATTTTATGTGACCAATTTGTATAGCAGCCTTCTTCCATAGAACTCGGGGCAGTTCACAACTTGTTCAGGCTTGAGAATGTTCATTCATGGTACTTAGAAATCATTCAGAAAACTGAGCAATTACAAATGTTTACTGTAGATATTGTCTAAGCTTTATACATGATTTTAGTATCTAAGGCATGGAAAACATCAAACACTTGAAGTCTTAATTTAATAAACTTCTTTTTGTACTAAGAAGTGTAGTTTAAATCTTAGTGCAATTTAAAATTGAACTTCACCCAAATCAAATAATATCTAGTTTTGACTTGGAAAGTACTGTTTTCCTAATTTTTCTAATGACAGATTTAGCTAGAAAAATCAGGACATTGAAATGGAATAAGATAATGAATTTTTACACTGGTTAAAGCACAATGGGCAGTGCATGCTCATTTTGCTGCAATTGTTCAGTTGGTATTTTATTAAAATTCAAATAAGCTTTGAGGACAACAGTAAAAATCACCTATTATTATTATTATTATTATTATTATTATTATTATTCCCTGTCTTCTTCCCTGACGGGACTCAAAACAACTTACAGATAAAAAGAAAAACTGCTAAAACAGAAAAATCATTTAAATAATTAAAACTATATACATACGTAAAATCTGTTTAAAATATACCAATAATTACATTAAAAACTTCACGGCACCAGCCCTTTAATTAAAAGCAGTCAATTCCTAAAAGCCTGTTGGAACAAGAAATTCTGGTGCTCAGAATTTTGTGTCTTGATGATTTGCTAATTTGTGTGTACGTTCATTAATTTGGAGTAGTATATGGCATCTGGGTACTTTTAAAGCAAGCATCTTGCTGAGCGATAGAAAACTGAGGCAATGAGTCTAAAGACTTACGGAGATTCTAACAGTGGATGGGGTTTCAGCACCCTCACCCTGGATACCTACCTGCGTTGTCTTCATGATTATTGCTCACAGTTTTCCTCAACCCTGTTTATTCCAGTACATATGCTACTCTTCTCTGCTGTCCCAACCTTATTGCTGAAAATCGTAATTACCGTATGTAAGCAGGCTGTGCTATTCTAAATAAATGTGAAACTAAATTTCACTGTACCTTAAAACTTAAAAAACTTAAAAGCTTCTTTAACATGGATTTCAGCCAAATTCTGCTATTCTTTTTCATTGTTTATGTTCTTCCTTTTTTGTGTCTTCCCTTTAACAGAATGCCTTGGATAGGCAAGAAGAATTGACTCCCCTTGGAGTCCATTTGGCGCGATTACCAGTGGAGCCACACATAGGAAAAATGATTCTCTTTGGAGCTTTATTCTGTTGCTTAGATCCTGTTCTCACTATTGCTGCCAGCCTCAGCTTCAAGGACCCTTTTGTCATTCCCTTGGTAAAGTATTTATAGAGAGCGTTAAAAGTAATTTTTGTTTTAATTTAAATTTTTGTTTTTTGAAGATGAAGCCTTTAATTTCAGAAAGATTTCCCCCCCTTGTAATGTGCTATGTTTTAGTCTTACAGCAAATTGCACTTAGTTTTTCTTGGTTATATCTCCTGAGTCTTTCTTTCTTCTTTTTAATACACAGATTAGTCCAACTTTGTGTATTTTTCTCTTAAGGGTAAAGAAAAAGTAGCAGACGCAAGAAGAAAGGAACTGTCAAAGAGTTCTAAAAGTGATCACCTCACCATTGTGAATGCTTTCAAGGTAGATAATGTGATCCATTGACCAACAGTGGTCTGCAAATTTCATGGTGGTTCCCTGGCATTCCTGGGTATTTGTTTGAAGATGTGAGACAGCATATCCATTGCATGGAACAGTCATTTTCATTGCTGCTTTTATTAATATATTGTAAACTATTGCATTACAATTTGAATTCTATGAAATTACAATTGTTGCAACAGGCAGAAAAGTCGTTAAATGGTCTGCCAAGACCCTCAGCAATTTTCAACTTGTCCACGACGGGGTGAAGTTTGGGAAGCACTGTTCTAGTTGATAGGTGGTGGATTCACAGGGGGAACATCATTTATTAAATAAATAATATAAAGAGGATTCAAATATTAGCATAAACAGGTCACATTGCACAGAGATGAAATCTTCACGGTCCATACTTGATTTACTAGTAGTGGTGACAAACTAGTATTAAACCCAAGCTGGGGGACAGAGCCTAGGACTTGCCGATCAGAAGGTCGGCGGTTCGAATCCCCGCGATGGGGTGAGCTCCCGTTGCTCGGTCCCTGCTCCTGCCAACCTAGCAGTTTGAAAGCACATCAAAGTGCAAGTAGATAAATAGGTACTGCTCTGGTTTGCCAGAAGTGGCTTAGTCATGCTGGCCACATGACCCGGAAGCTGTATGCCGGCTCCCTCGGCCAATAAAGTGAGATGAGCGCCGCAACCCCAGAGTCGGTCACGACTGGACCTAATGGTCAGGGGTCCCTTTACTTTACCTTTATGCATTTAGTATGGAGATCATAGAATAATGGAATTGTATAGTTGGAAAGGACCCTGAGCGTCATCTAAGTACAACCTCCTGCAATTCAGGATTGATCTCAACACTTCCCCCCCCATCCAATTTGAAGCCATTCTGGACCCTGTGACTAGAATTCTGGACCCTGCTTAGCTTTGCAAATGTGCTAGCAGTTTAACTGATGCACCACTAGGAGGGTATTACTAGTAGGTTAGCTTTTTATGCCAAGTTTCATTGTTTTCTGCTGTGATTTGCTCTAAACAATTTTAATATATGGGTCTAATTTTAATCCTGTATCTCCTCCAACTTGCAGTTCATGAAGTGTTTCTTCCTCTTGTTTTGGAGACCAGGATTAATTATTGCCGTTCTAGAGCTTTTCCCTTTACACATAGTGGAATAAGGAAGTGATATGAATGGTAGCTTCCTTTTAGCTGCTGAATTAGTTCTAATCTGGATGTCTTGGCTTAATACAGCTCTGTGAAAGGAATGAATGCACTCCATATTATTTTTTTAGGTCACTCTTATTGTGACACTTCATATTTCACTTCTTTACTACTCTATAAAATGCTTTGTAATTCCATCTGGAATTCAAATCAGGAAGATAGAAAAATCAGATTCAGTTCAGTTCCAGTTTTCCTTTAAAAGGACCTATACTAAATAATAATAATAATAATAATAATAATAATAATAATAATAATTGTGCTTTCAGGGTTGGGAAGAAGCCCAGCGACGTGGCTTCAGGTGTGAGAAGGATTATTGCTGGGAGTATTTTCTTTCTTCAAATACTCTGCAGGTAATAGTTGTTTGTCTCTGGCGAGAAAACCTACACTTTTGAAACAGATTTAGTTTGACATTATCTGTAAGAACAAATTGATCGATTCATGCTGTTCTCTAGATGCTGCGTAACATGAAAGGGCAGTTTGCTGAACATCTCCTTGCAGCTGGGTTTGTGAATAGTAGAAGCCCCAGAGATCCCAAATCCAACACTAACTCAGGTAAATTCTGAAGAGGAGCAATGCACCAGATACGCTTTCAGTTCTCCCTTTGTGAATTGTTGATTCACTTGGCTGTTTTCTTTTCTAGACAATGAGAAGCTACTCAAAGCTGTTATTTGTGCTGGCTTATATCCAAAGGTTGCAAAGATCCGAGCAAACTTCAGCAAAAAGAGAAAAATGTAAGGCTTTTTCTTCTCCATGCTCTTTTACCAAGGATGTGTGTGTGAATATATTAAACAAGGGTTTCTACATAGTTGGAAGAAGGCTGGAATATATTTTTCCTTGTGTTGCTAACTATGTAGTCTAGGAATACTTGAGTTCTAGGGGAGCATGTGATTATTTCCCCCCTCCTCCCCCTCCACACACTCAGGTGAGACAACAGATTGGGCAGGTGATACTTGGGTTAATTTTGGGATTCTGCAGCTCCAGATGAACAGAAATTTTGTGGAGATCATCCCAAGTGAGAACCACAAATTTATTTATTAATTTTTTTACACTGCTCTTTTGGCTAGAAGAGTCCATTGTGTCTGAAATAGTGGTCCTTTCTGTAAGGCATGCTTAGCACAATAACCAGTATGCAGATTGCTCTTTCCTATTTGAATTGAGCAAAATGTAATAGCATAGTTTTGCCACTAGGTGGAGCCACAAATAAAAATTTAAGACTGAATAAGCAGAGTTCTCTTGATCCAGTCTCCACAATCTATGTTTTATTTGGTAGATGGCTAGCAAAAATGAATTGATTATATTTTGCTTTGATGCTAAGCCCTGGACTGGATAAGTCACTAATAATGATGATAGAAAATGGCTTTCCGTATATCAAACACTTATTTTCCTCTTGTTTTGAAAATGTGTTGGGTTTCAAAAGAGAAATTGAAATGAGGATAGTATCTGAATGCTAAATAAGATGCTAGACTAAATAACTGAGCACCACTTAACTTAGAAGTTTTTAAGAAAACAAGTAAGACTGTGAAAGTTTAACTCTTTATGAGAACTATAAGATTATGAAACATTGAAGAGATATAAGAATTTAAATAAGATGATAAATTGCTGACAAAATGTTATAACGATGAAAGTGGGAGCGGGGGGATGTGAGGAAGTCCAAAGAAAATGTGAAACTATGTTAAGACAAATGTTATATTGTTTATTATGTTTATTTTTATTGTAAAACCCAATAAATTGCTTTAAAAAAAAAAATGAAATGAGGATAGTATCATAGATAGGACAGTATAATTTTGCTTTTCCCATCACTGGGATTATCCTTTATGCAAGCAATATACTCTTGCTCAGAATGAAAAAGGGAACAGAGCACACAAATTGCAATGAAGTTCAACTGATAACCTTATTATTCTTTAATTAATATAACACAAATCTTTAAAGTAATCTGATATTGTAGTCTGATTTTGAAGTGGAACTTTTTAAAGTATAGATGCTTAAAATCCTTCTTGTTTTTCCTTCCAGTTCTTGCCTAAATATCTTGCAGCAGTATCTAATTTAGAAATTGCTGATAGCCCTAATGGCACATTACAAGTCTCTTTTTGAAGAGCAGTTATCTTAAATCTTTGAACGTATGTGCATGTTATTCCTTTGTAGCTGAATTATAAGTGATTTGTCTGTGTCTTAAGGGTTAAAGTTTCCACTAAAACAGATGGAACAGTTTACATTCATCCCAAGTCTGTCAATGTTGAAGAGACAGAATTCCATTACAACTGGCTTGTTTACCATTTGAAGATGAGGACAAGCAGCGTAAGTGAAAATTTATTTTGTATTGCTTTAAGCATAAATGTGGGTGTATTTTAAGTCACAGTCTCCACAGTCTGTTCTGTTGAAGCAATTACAGTCTTAGTTAGCTTAACTAGTCTGGTCTGTACGCAGCCCCACTCACTTCAGTTATCACTGCACTTTACAAGGGGCCTCGAAATGACAACTCCTGGTTGAGAGATGGCGATATAGGTAGCTTTTAATGCTTCATTCCTGTTCTGTGCCCTCCCTTCTCCCTCCTGATGCCTGCCGCTCACAGTGGAATTCTTCAGATTCTCATGTCCTCCATGCTGCTTGTGATCTTACGACTGTCATTCCAGAAGGGAGGAGAGCACATTGAGAAGCACAGCCCATGCAATGCAAAAGGCTGTAGTGTTGTTTTTGTTTTTTACAGGCCTAGGGATATCACATATTTTAGCTATGCCTTATGACTACTCTTGTTTCTAGTCAAGGAAGAGCAGCAAATCTTTGCTCAGCACTTGTTTGTATGTAATGCAGCTTACTGTGGGAGTGAAACTTTTCACAATTAAAAAAATAGTAATTGTCCTGGCTTCGCAAAACCTTGAACCTGAAGTGTTTTCCAGTGATTGCCACATTATTAATATTTCACTTCATAGGAACTACACACAAGTTTAAAACCAAGTAACTTGAGATCCCATTTTCAGTATACACTGGAATATTCTCGTGCCCTATTTTGAACGTGGTAACATAGCTTATATGTGCTGAATGCATTCCTTGTTACAGATATACCTGTATGATTGCACAGAAGTCTCTCCATACTGCCTTTTGTTCTTTGGGGGAGATATTTCTATTCAGAAGGACAAAGATCAGGATACAATTGCTGTGGATGAGTGGATTGTTTTTCAGTCTCCAGCAAGAATAGCACAGCTAGTGAAGGTGAGTGGGCTGCCCATTTCATTTTCAGATTTTCTTCTACACAAACAACTGCCCTGCTCCTGGAACAGCTTATATAGTATGGTGTCACAAAAACATTTCTTTCTCTTTTTTTAAAGTTAACGTCTGCTTAGATTGCTGTGTTGTAATTTCCTATAAAGTATAAACTTGAAAGATCTTTTCAGGCATTTCATTTTGGAGAGAACTGTCATTTTAGGATTTCATGTGAAATGCTCTCTCCTTCCTTCCAAGTGGGGGCGGGGGCGGGGCGGAATGAATTAATCAACAGGGAGATACTACATTTATTTCTTTGTGATATTTTCCTGCTCCACCAGATCTGTTTCCAGAAAAAGGCACTTAAAGTGGAGTAATCAGAGAGAATCAATGTTTAGATAAGCAGTGTACAGCCCTGTTCATTCAGTCCCCCACCTGTACCTTGAGATAGATGAAATACAATCAAGCACCAGATTTTAATGCCAGATGGATAGCTTTTGTCTGAAAGGGGTTGGGGAAGAAGTACAATAGGATCTTAAAAACTAAAACATTTCACTTATTTATCAAATATCAACCACCTTATGTTAAATTAAGACTGAACTTATCTGATTGATGTTCAAAAATAATTGCCTTTTTATTGAGTTTTGCCTCATTTTTTTCACATTAGTCTTTTCTTGGCCTATATCAGCTATTTTTATTGTTACTGTTAAAAAGTGCTATCAAGAGTGAAGTTGTAAATTTAACAAGATGTGAAAATATGCAGTTTAACTAAACCACAACTTCAACTATTATTTCAGCTTGAAAATGGGATTCTTTTAAAGACATTGGGTTGTATCCAAATTCATTATTAAAGTAGATGCATTGAAATTAAGGGACAATGCTAACTTCCTTCCATTAATTTCAGTGGGCTTCCTCTGTCTATAACTTAAGTTGGATACAACCCATTGACTCCTTAGGCAATTCTTTTTTTATCCTTATGAGAAACTTACTTTGTTTCAAAGTGCTTTATAAAGTACAGTTCTTGAATAACTCGAAACAGATAAAGCTGTACCTAAAGTAAGTTACATTTAACTGGGCAGAAAAGAGCTAGTTAAATTTCCAAGAGGTTTGACACACATTCTTAGCAAAATGCAGAATAATGAAAGAGAATAATACATTTCATTTCCAAGTATGTATTAAGTTTTTGACACTATAGAAAAATAGAATGACTTTCGAAACTTTCTGCCCTGGGTTTCTTTCTGAACCAACATCCTTTTATCCACAGGATTTGAAAAAAGAATTGGATGACCTTCTACAAGAGAAAATAGAAAACCCACATCCTGTGGACTGGAACAATACTAAATCAACTGACACTGCACTGCTGACAGCCATTATAGACTTAATCACAACACAGGAGAATGAAACTGCCAGAAACTCTGCCCCCCGTTTCCAGAGCGAAGAATACAGTTAACACTGTTCCTTTTGGCCGCTGAAGAGATGGCAGCTCCACCAGTTCATTGTTGACAGTTTATCTTTGGGCATCTTGGAATTTCATTTTTAGTATCGGTAGTTCATAACGGCTGTGTATGGCGTTCATTGTATAAAGTAGCTGTTTATCTAGTTGCCAGTGCTGCATAGTTGTATTCTGCATGTATGACGCTGCTTCTTGAGGACTGTCATTGTCAGGTAAAAAGATGGATGAAACTGAACACGAACTGATTTTTTTTTTTTTAAACGTTCTTCTGGTGTTTACACTGTTTTTCTGCTAACTGTGGAATTGTCACTTTAAGAAAAGTGATTCACGTTAGTAGCTAGAAGCCCCTTTTTGTCCATTAACCTTTTATTTACATTCTGGAGTTACTAGTAAGGGCATGCTGCTGAGAGTGAAACAACCAAAGTCATCACCCCAAAGAGATGTACGAGGGCTGCTGTGTCAAAAGCATTGTCACATTTTAAATAAATGCTTGATGTTTAGATCTTTCTAAACATAAATACTCCTATTCATCTATGGGCCATAGGGTGGGAAATCGTATTTGATGCTCCAGAAGCTACAGCTGCACATGCCTAGAGACCTGGGTAGATACTCTAAATACCAGCAATCGGCTTTGGAATGGGAGCAGGATTTAGTCTCTAACCTAGACAAATAATGTAGTTTTGAGACGGGGGCTTGCAATAGGCTCTTTCATTCCAGTGGAGCTTAAGTGTACATGAACTGTACACTGAGTAGCTGTTTCAGTGATGCAAAGATTTTTTTGAGTTTCTTTTGGAATACTTTATCAACTCATGTGTCTTTATTAAATGCCTATATGCTAGCCATTTTCATATGCACATTATTACTGCGTGCACTGCATTGCTGTTTAAAATCGCAGGAATCTCCTGCAAGATCTGGAACTGGCAGCTTCTAGTTGAAGATTTCAAATTAATATTGAATAGAAAACATAAGCAAATGCAGAGCATTTCGTAAAACTCACGCAGACAATATGTGGCTTGCTCACAGGACCTTTCCTAAACCAGTTACAAAAATGGTTGTCACAACACTTCACTGCCTCCCCCAAATGTTCCTATAGGTTGCAATGGAAGTTTTAAATTTAGTTGTAGAAATACAGTGGTACCCCGCAAGACGAACGCCTCGCAAGACGGAAAACCCGCTAGACGAAAGGGTTTTCCGTTTTGGAGGCGCTTCGCAAGCAATTTCCCTATGGGCTTGCTTCGCAAGACGACAGCCCATAGGAAATCTCAGGGACAGCGGGAAGCGCAGCGCGTCTTCCCACTGTCCTCGGACCTCCTCCGAAGCCTGGCGGCGGGGCGGGGACACCTCCTCCCGCCGCCGCCGGGCTCGGAAGGCTCCTCCGAGCCGGGCGGGGGGAGGGAACACCTGCCGCCGCCGCCCGGCTTCAGAACGGTGCTCCGAGCCGGGCGGGGGGAGGGAACACCTGCCGCCGCCGCCCGGCTCGGAACGGTGCTCCGAGCCGGGCGGGGGGAGGGAAGACCTCCGCCTCTGCCCGGCTCGGAACGGTGCTCCGAGCCGGGCGGGGGGAGGGAAGACCTCCCGCCTCTGCCCGGCTCCGGAACGGTGCTCCGAGCCGGGCGGGGGAGGCAACACCTCCCGCCTCTGCCCGGCTTCGGAACGGTGCTCCGAAGCCGGGCGGAGGGGAGGGAACACCTCCCGCCGCCGCCCGGCTCGGAACGGTGCTCCGAGCCGGGCGGGGGAGGGAAGACCTTCTGAAGGCGGGCGGGGGCGAAAGTCTTTGCTCCCCCTGCCTGCCTGTCCCGGGAGGGCTTTTGAAGGCGGGGAGCAAGACTTTCGCCCCCGCCAGCCTTCAGAAGAGGTCCAGGACCTCTTCTGAAGGCTGGCGGGGGGCCAAAGTCTTTGTCCCCCCTGCCTGCCTTCCCAGGGGCTTTTAAATTGCCCCGGACAGCGGAGAAGTCCTCCGCTGTCCCGGGGTGATTTTAAAATGCCGCCCGCCAGCATTTTAAGATCGCCCGGACAGCGGAGAAGTCCTCCGCTGTCCCGGGGTTTTAAAATGCTGGGGGTGGGAAGAAAAGCCCTTGCCCCCCCCCCAGCCTTCAGAAGAGGTCCGGGGACAGACTGTCCCCGGACCTGGTCTGAAGGCGGTTTCCTAGGAACGCATTAATTGATTTTCAATGCATTCCTATGGGAAACCGTGCATCGCAAGACGAAAAACTCGCAAGACGAAGAGACTTGCGGAACGAATTAATTTCGTCTTGCGAGGCACCACTGTATAACCAATGATTGCAGGGGTGATGTGTACCAGGTTTTGTTCCTGAACATGTGTATCTCTGATTCCCCACAGAAAATCTACTATTTTGATTTGAATAGACTAATTACATCAAATTGTCAAATCGATTTTCCTTAAAAGCAATGGCAAAATCTTGGGAACCCCATTTTACTAAACACCCTAATTTAGAAATCCGTTTAGTTAGCGATTAAGAACTCCCATTGCAGTTCATTCACCCAGTTTGGACTATTTTCTGTATAGTATATATGTGTTTCTCCTCTGGAACTGCTGGCTTGTCCCCACCCCACCCCCAATTACTGATTTTTCTACCATTTAAAAATTCTGATAATACCAATGTGTTCATTAATCAAGATACATCAATTTTAAGTAGAGCTAATGCAATTAAATCTTTTTTGTTAAGATCTTGCTAATGAAAGAGAAATGAGCCAGTAATCAGAAAGTACAGTGTGAGGCTTTTCTTCAGACCAATTATGCAAAAGCTTGTGCAGGCTTCTAATTAGCCAAATGGACTATTTGTCTCCAAGGGACATGTATGGAAACCTCTGTAAATCGCTGGTAGTTTCCCCCACAGGCTGCTGAAGTGCCACTAATTAACTTAGGTACATGAGCTAGCCAGTTTCTGTGGGCAAGTAACGCTTGCACTCAGTTGCTTGAACTTCTTTAATAAATGTTATCTGTCCGTAAGTGGTCATGCAACTGCTCAAGGCTACATGATGTTTCTATATGGAGATGAAACTGTGTGTGCTCTCTGGCGGGAGAAGAGTTGCACGAATGGGCTTTTTCTTTGCGTTAGGTAAGAGCGCTGCTGGAACAGATCAAAGGCCTAGCTAAACCCAATACCCTGTTCTCCCAGTGGCCAACCAGATAACTATGGTAAGACTTGAAGTAGAAGCCAACACATGTATCAGCTTTCCTGGTAGGTAAGTTTCAACCCAAATCTTTTGTTACCCTTAATGCACTGACAGTTGCTTGATTTGTTTTTGCATACAGAGCGCTGCAACTGAAAATGAAAAAATACTTAAGATGCAATGTCTAAATGCTGTTACAGTTCTATGACATCATCTACTCTGCATAATTATATTACTATATTCAAGGCATCACCAGTAGGTTATTTGCACATCACTTCCCTCCATCACCCAAGGCAGTGGTTAAATTGAGAAAGCAACAGAAGGCTTTTGTTCGTTTGCCCATGCTCTGTATTATACCAGGTGCCAAATACAGGTATCACAGGATGTCTTACAAAATATTTCCCATTTCACAAAGGCTAGTGCAATAAGGATGACTGGCAATATTCATTCTACTGATGTTTTTGTAGGTGTTCTCATGGTCCAGTTGTGTTACTGGAGAGTAGAATGCATAGCTTCTTTTAAAGAGTATTCCTGCTTTTAAATACACGTGATTCTAAGTTAGAAGAGGAGGACTGTACCTAAGTTAGTGTAGTATTTTCCATTATCTTCTGTCTTTCTTTTAAGCTCGCTGTCCAATGTATTTTGTTAAAAACATCAGAAGCCACAGACAGGTCATAAAATATTTACGTAGGGCAGGATCAATGAAATAGGGAAAAAAAACACCCCAAACATTTCAGAATGATCACACTAAGCTGTTAGTAACTTGGCAGTAGTGTTGAATGTGAAATATCAAAGAAGATCGCCTCTGGGCAGTATCTTGTGTGATTTTATCTTCGAGATAAACGCTCCAGGACTCAGTGTGTGAATGTTGACAGGGAAGGGTTAGTCTTTCCACCAAAAAACCCGAAACACCATTTTGACAGTGATGCATGAAAACAATTTAGCTGCCTCTATTTGTATTTTGATGCCTTAGTGAGATTGTTTTAGAGGGCAATTGAAGGGTTTCATATGCAGTGTGGGAAATAATTATAGTGGTTATTGCAGTACTATACAAAATGAAATATTAAAGCCTTTTAAAAACAAACCCACACACTGCTTTCCAATAGTGTTAAGAGTATGTTGTAACAGCACACTTATTTGAGTCAAAAGCAGCTGAGTGTTCTACTCAAAAGTCAGGAGAAATGTAGAATTCAGAATGGCTTTTCTAACATTTCATGGCTAGGCAGCTATGTCATATATTGTCTAAGACCAATCCTGTTTAGAGTTGTTAAAAGTTTACATAATGGGTGGTATCCAGCTAAGTAAATTATTAGATTATCCATTGATTTAAGTGGGGCTACAAAGTTTGACTATTATGTAATATCTCCCCCTTCCCCAAGCATCTTTAGATTTGTGTGGGCTCAGCATGCTATGGGCCCAGACTCAAATTCCAGCTTGACTACATTACAATGGTTCAGGAAGGACACGAAGAGCAGCCGCTGTCCCAGAGCAGTTCAGTGCTGCAGCTGTACGGCCTAGTGTAATTTAAAACCATTCTCTTCTATTGTGTTAAAAGTCACTTGTGCCCTTGCTAAGAAAGTTATACCAGCCAAGAGTTCTGGCTTGGCGGTAATGAATCCAGAACCCCAAACTTTTTTTTTAAACTTTTTTCAAAAAGCAGTGAGTGAATTTAAGAGTGGCATCTTTTCCTCCTGGAATGTGGAGATAGCATATGCTCACCTCTCATCACCATGAACAAAATAGTAATGAGGTGTACATGCCACTTGTGTACACTTGTACATGCTAATAATAGTGATCATCATAGATTTGTAGCGATGGAAGGGACAAAGAGGGTCATCTAGTCCAACCCCCTGCAATGCAGTAATCTTGCCCAATTGGGGGGGGGGGGCTTGAACCCATGATAGTATCATGCTCTACCAACTGAGCTATGATGTGGGGCTGAAAATTAATTAGTAACAATGAATTGATGCTAGCACAAAATTAAGCAATGTTGGCAGTTTCAAAGTTGTGTTTCAGGTTTTTCCAGGTTATGGTGCTTTGGATGTGCATATACTTTATTGATTTATGAACTGTGTGTGAAACAACAACACCGTCTTCAAACAAAAAAATCAAGTTATGCCTTTAATTGAATTAAAGCCAAACTTAAATTTCAATGGCTTGGGTTCACCTTTACCCACTTTGAATTGCAGTCAGTGTATAGATTATTCACTGTATCCAAATACTTGGTAGATACGTAGAAAAAGCAAATCTGGGCGTGGGGACAATAAAAGCATTCCCCAATAAAAGAATTAGCGGTTACCTTGACTTGTTAAATGTCTCTACAAGATTCAAAGTAGTCTCATTCATCTTTCATTGGCCCGTTACCTTGAAAGGTATTTCCAGAGAATGTACAGAATGGCGCTTAGCAAGTCACTCATTGTGTCCTTTTGGGAACAAAGTTTAGCTCCTGTGCAATGAGCAGTTCAGGTGTGAATACTGCTTGTGCATAACTGAAACTAAGTGTTAGTAATAATTTCTGCATTACTAAGGAAAAGAAGTGCAGTCTTATGGATGGGCATAGAAGCAGATTTATTTGCATGCAAAGTGATTAATGTATTGAAAGTAGTGTAAAGAACCCTACACAGGTTCCCACTCACAGCATTGCTTAAAATAAAGGCAATAGCAAAAGCCACAGGCCGTTTCATTTCCACAACTTTTCAAAAAATGTACATGCTTCCTTTGTACCCTTAGATACAACACTTGCCTTTATAACAGGGGCTCCAGCGCTTGTAACTAATACATGCTTCAGTAGAAACTAATGTGCAGGTTTAAACACTATTTGAATTCATTGTCTGGTTATGTCATGAATATTACAGTACTATTTTCCATCCATCTGAAAAAATGTCAAAAGATTTTACCACTGTTTGATTCCTGTAAAGTGAGAAATTACAAAGTTCCTTATAATACAAATGTAGAAAATGCCATGCTTATTTACATAAAAAGGAAATGCATTGCAAATGAATTCCTATTTATAAATTAATTACAGATGCAATTACAAATTAACTCTTATTTACATCTTCGTTTCACAAGAAATTCCTGCCAAGACTCCTAAGTGGAGATTTATCATGAGACATTCAGCAGGCAATGAAATCATAACGTTTTCCCCTCTCTAGAGACAGGGGGAGACAGTATACTATGGCTACAGTCCAGTAGCCTCAATCATAGGTAGCTAGCTGTGATGATGGGAGCAAGACTGCTTAAATAAAATGCAACTGAGTTGCTCTAAATTAGGGCAACACTTTAGAACATGGTCCTTGTGTCCAGCCACTTTAAAATCAATTCCTTGACTGCTTTCACTTCCTATTTTTTGCTTCATCCACGTGGACTAGTATCCATTTCATAACAGTGCACTTAGAACTGCTAAATCCAGGGAAGGCAAACCATACCAGGTCCACAGGCAAACCTTGTTACACAATATCTTCTAATGCCTCCCTTCAACAGCTTTTTGGGCAGGAGGGAACTGCTAGAACACGTTTTCAAAAGCACAAGTGAGGACTGAACTTGTTCCTCTATGCTAATTTTGGTCTAAACACTTACCTTGGACGTAACGTGGAAGTCAATAGTATTTCTAGCTTTGTAAATGTGTTCCTAAGAAAATGCTACGAGAGATAGAGAGCTGACTCTCCAGTGCCTGCTCCTCAATCCAGTTAACACGTGAGATGCTCTCGTGCTGTGCATTTGCCTGTCTGGTGTTAGGCATAGTACAAAAATGTCACGTAACCTGTTGGTTCAACAAGGCGTTATTAAAAAATGGGAGGCGGGGGGGGGGGGAGAGGAAATACCTGCTTTGAAACTAAAATCCAGCATGCATGCTTGGGTAGCACTAAGCCCCAGCTGCACTTGAAGGCTTTTTAAAAGTAGAAAGCCCATTTATTCAATGAATAGGTAAGAAGGACTTAATGCAGGACCTGCCTTCTCAATGCATTTTCTGAAGGGAGGGTTACTGCAGAAGAGCCTTTTGTTGCTAGCATTGTGAAAACAAAACCACCTACCAGTCTGTTGCCTGGTAAGAATCCCAACACTTGTCTAGCTTATTGAAAGGGCAGGGAATCTCAGGCCCAGAAACTCCAGGCTGCTCTTTCTGACCCTCAGGCCTCTTCCTAGTTACAAATTATCCCCGAGCCACACTTCTCACTGGTCTTGCTTTATGCCCTCCTTGACTGCTTCTGGCTGGCTGGCATGTTTCCCTGAACTCTAATATTGCCTCTTGCTTGTCCAAAGGAGGACACAAAGCTGTATGTGTACAGACACCTCTATAAGGAGTGGTGTGAAGCAGGGCTGTATTCTTGCTCCAACTCTTTGGCATATTCTCCCTGTTGCTCTCCTATGCCGTCCGCTCGACTGAAGATGGAGTGTACTTCCATTCAAGGAGTGATGGGAGTCCGTTCAACCTGCCACGTCTACACACCAAGACAAAACTCTGGCAAGTCCTTATTCGAGAGGTGATGTTTGCAGATGACAAAGCTGGACAGTGCACTCGGGAGAAGCTCTACCGAGTTTTGCCCAAACCTGCAGGCTGTTCAGCTTCACCATCAACCTGGCAAATACCAACATCCTGGGACAGGATGTAGCCAGCACTCCACGCATCATCACTGGTGACCACGCGCTTGAGGTGGTAGACATTTTTGTCTACCTGGGTTCCAGCATAGCCATCAACACTGAGCTGGACTGAGCTATGGCTCGCCTCTCCAGAAGGGTATGGGAGGATGTGATGCTAACACCCAGTACCAAGATGAAGGTCTACCAGGCTTGCGTACTGAGCATAATGCTTTATGGCAGCGAGGCATGGGCAACTTATACCCGCCAGGAGCGGCACCTCAGCGCCTTCCACGTGCACTGCATCAGGAAGATTTGGGGCATCACATGGCAAGATGGAGTCTCAGACTTGTGAACTGTAGTGAAAGCAACAGAGTGGATATTTAGCTGCACCCGTCACCTATTTCAACAGGCTTTAGATCTAGGTAATACTCGCGGGTGGTGCTGTGGGTAAAACCTCAGCGCCTAGGACTTGCCGGTCGCATGGTCGGCGGTTCGAATCCCCGCGGCGGGGTGCACTCCCGTCGTTCGGTCCCAGCGCCTGCCAACCTAGCAGTTCGAAAGCACCCCCGGGTGCAAGTAGATAAATAGGGACCGCTTACCAGCGGGAAGGTAAACGACGTTCCGTGTGCTGCGCTGGCTCGCCAGATGCAGCTTGTCACGCTGGCCACGTGACCCGGAAGTGTCTGCGGACAGCGCTGGCTCCCGGCCTCTAGAGTGAGATGAGCGCACAACCCTAGAGTCTGGCAAGACTGGCCCGTACGGGCAGGGGTACCTTTAATACTCGGTAGATTCTACTCAATGGCTCCATCTGGACATCAAAAGATGCACATATCCAGCTGATTGAATCAAGATGTGGACCCCCAGCTAACGCCTGCTTTTGCACATTGGCCTCCCTTGATGACTGAGAAAATTATACAGAAATCAAAAGGGTCTAGCAATGAATGTAAAAGGGAAGATAAATTGAGCAGGTTCTAGGGCTGGTCTGTAAAACAAAGGAGGTGCGTTCAAATTGATTCAAGAGTTGTTAGTCCACTGTGATAATCCAAGGAAGTCATAATTCTATTAGGAACTCTTTATAAGTGTAAAATCGGGTTTTAATTAAAAGTGACTATTGGTTATAAAAAAGAAATAAAAATTTCGACCTGCTACTGCTTTGTAGTGAACAGCCCCACCAGCATGCAATTGCTTTTATGGTTGCTTCCATTCCTAATGATGACACCTATCTGCGAGTATTTTTTTTTTACACGCTTCAACTATACAATGGCCATCTGGATGAGACCAAGAAGCCCCAGATGTTCCTTAGTGCAAACCCTAGAGAACAGATACGGCAGTGAGGGTCTATACGTTTGTTTCTAGGCCCAGCAAGCGTCCCATTCTTTCCATGTTCTTCTCAATTGTGGCTTGGCAAGTGATCTCCTTGGCACATTCCATTGGGAACCAGCCTCTCTCTCCGTCCCGCAATCGCTCACCTTCATACCAACCTGAAATGTATAACGAAGTACTAAATATGATGCATCTTTAAAACAGAAGGTCCCTGCTGGATCAGATCAAAGCTCTACTGATCCTACTACACAGGTCCACTCAGAAGGAAGTCAAACCGATTTCAATATGGCTTTCTCCCAGGAAAGTGGGTATAGACTTATAACCTTGAGTCAGTATCCCGCTTCAGAGTGGCCAGCCAAATGTTTTTGATGTGCCCGCTTGCAATGCAGTGTATTCAGTGATATGCTGATAATTGTTTGCTTTCTGATATTGTGGCCAATTGAAGCTATGTCTTTCCTTTGCAGTAATCATACCAATATATCGTAAGCAAGGTACTAGTTTACCTGGGGCATAGGTCTCCACCACGTGGAGTGGTGTGCAGTAGATTGAAATGTGCAGAAAAATGCTTTATATTACAGAAAAAAAACACCTTACAAAAATGTTTGTATTAGGAGAAATTTGTTAAAATACTAATAATTTTCATTGAGGACTTTATTTTTTTTAAAAACCCAAAAAACTGCAAACTGATGGGCAAAACTGAACTGGACCAATTCACCCATCCCCAGGTCTCCTGTGGTTTAGCTTTAAGGCAGATGCTAAGTATCCTTGTGATGGTATGAAATGACTGTTTCCATTTATGGCAACTAAGCAATAGGCAATTCCACTCACCATCATTAACTTTCTGAGAGACCAGAACTACATCAGCAACTTGAAGAGATAACTCATCTGATTGCTTCGCAGTGTATGATCTGATGACTTCTACCTGGGTTAGTGCTGAGAAGAGAGAATATTTATTGATCCACATGGTAAATCTAAGGGTAAGCTCAGTTTAAGTGATAACAAAAGACAAGCTGATTGCTTCCCAGCTCACTTTCCAGGAACCAAATGATTTGATAAAAAGGCATTGGTCAACAGCAGACAAACTACAATGGCTCTTTGACACATTTAAGGTTTTTTTTTTTTTTTTTAAACTGCATTAAATGGAAAACCAATTTCAATCATGCTCCATTGATTACAACAGGACTTCATGTATCTTCTCTGCCTCTTCTCCTTTTTTAAAGGATTCAAACAACCATTTTACCAAGTAGTACGATAGAAAGAGACATCTTGCAATCACCCTTATTGGAGCATGTCTCTTTAATTCACCCAATTTTCCAGAGAGCTAATATGCTTTCCTTTTTGCTTAACACAAAAGAAAATGGTTCAGAGAGAATTATTAGATGATTACAGTTATGGTCCTTCCTTCCCTCTCCCTAACAACAACAAAATACTGAAAGGCAACAGATTTACTTCTATGTTTTAAGATCTGTATAAAGTGCATCTCATGTCAAAGCCCTAAAGAACAGTTTCACTGCTCACTTACTTGTCCGATCCACGGTCCCTCTATCGCTACTCTTCCCAAGTGCAGTAATCCAGCGAGCACGCTCATTCCTAGAAAAGGAGATGAAAGGTTGAAGTGTGCTTTTCAGTCGGCTGATATATGGCCCTTGTTGCACTCCCTGAACTCAAAGCCTCCCTCACTGTTATGGGAAAGTATATTCATCTTCTCTGAAGGCCTCTTTGTGTCTGTCTGTTGGGAAATCCCACTTCTACATGCAAAGCAAATGTTCAGCCACTGAGCTATGGTCCTTCCCCAGTAGACACCTCATATATTAACCTTGGGAATATGTCTTCTGAACTAGCTGGCGGAGATACTGGGTGAGGCTTCTGAAACATAAGTGTTTTTTCTGGGCAGCAGGAGGAAACAAGCAGAATCTTGCAATCCAGCATTTTACAGAGCTCTCTGCAAGCACAGACATTTCAAATCTATGCCAGAGAATGCCCGTCTTATGGACAAGGGTATATTAAAGCCCTGCAGTGCTCCAAACCCATATATTGTTAACAGAACAGCAGGATGGAGAAAATCGGAGTTGAAATAATGATTTTAGTTGAAGAAGTATATACCTTTCCAAAGCAAAAAATAATAATAATATCTAGGAGGCATTTTGATAACTGATGAAATGGCTAAGAATAATTTTGCACCAAACCATTCATACAAACGGCTAAGCTGCGATCTGTTTCAAAAGAACAGATTTAAAGACCTAGGCATGTCGTTATACACTGGTACCACACAAAGCTTTTTTTCAGTGAAATGTAATCTTCTGTGCGATCATTGTGAAAGGGATTCTCACTTAGGTCATTCAACAGGAGAATACCTTTTCAGGAAAGTTATAGCCGCTTTTAAAAGCCTGGAATCCCAGTTATATATCTATGGTGGTTTACGATGCATGTAAAGACAGCTTGTTCATTTTTCAGACCGGAAAGGGTATGAATGAATCCAGCAAACTCTTCAAAAACGAGCTATCAAGTCATACAAAGTTTCAGTACATAAAGAAAAAATGACTGAAAGGAAGGAAAGATGAGACCAGCAGGAGCTACGGCAGAGCAACGGGAGCTCACCCCCATCGCATGCAAACGCTTGCATCCACCGCTGGCTTAAAAGCTCTGAGTAGTTATCAAATGGAACCAAGGCTTGTGAGGTAACTTTTCTTCTTGCAACAAATTCCTTTTTTCAACTGAAGGAAGACAATTACATATTTAAAGGTTGGGCACTTGTAGGAGACAACTACCGTAGATTCTAGCGTATTAGGCGACTGGGCGTATAAGACGACCCCCCCAAAACTTTTGCTGTTAAATTATAGAGTTTGGCCACCCACCAAGCGCCGCCAGGGTCAGAGCGTGCACCCCTCCGCTGCCTCTGCCGTCGCAGCAGCAGCAGCCGAAGGCATGCAAGGCGTTTGGTGAGTGGAACTCTCTCCCTCCGGGAAAAGGCTGTGAGCGGCCGCCTTGGCCTCCGCCGCCCTCACCTGTGGGGATGCCCAGCTCCTTGGAGCCCCGGCCGAAGCCGCGCACCACCTCATGGCGCCTGCGAGCCGAGCGAAGCCCTGCGCGGCGGAGGCCGGATTTGACTACCATGGCAGCAGCAGGTGGGCGGGTGAGCGCCGCGCTCGGAAGGACTTTCCGTGGTGAGGAGAGAGCGGCAGCTGCGTCCCCTTCTGTGGGGAGGGAGGAGGAGCGATGGCAGAAGGGGCGCCTCTGCTCACCGGCTCCCTCTCCTCCTTCCCAACAGGTGGCTCTGTGTATACCCAGCGTATAAGACAACCCCCAACTTTTGGGGTGATTTTCCAGAGATAAAAAGTCGTCTTGCACACCGGAACATATGGTATTTCCCGCAACTATTGCTCATGGGTTTGGAAACTGACTTTACTCCTGGAACCACAGAATTGTTGTGTTGCAAGGTATCCCAAGGTTCATCTAGTCCAGCCCCACTGCAATGAAGGAATCATATCTAAATCATCCACATGCTGTATCATTACACTTGCTGTTCTAATATTGTTGCAGTATATAAGTGGTTTGATGTTGTAAGAAACAAGTACAACAAGAAATTTCAGGGCTACTTTAATTTCTGGAAAGAAAAATACTGCAAAACATCTTCAGCAAGACTTCATATGGGCCATTGTGTAGATAAACCCCCTTAACCCCACAGTTTCCACAGAGACAGATACAATCTTTTGAGTTTTGTGGAAAGCTACTTGGATGCTTATGGCATCCCAAGGAATTTTCTTGAGTCAGGATCTGTACCACAGCAAACAAGATGTTTCTTGTTGCTATCGTCTACAACTGAACAATCTTTGAAACTTGGCCAGAAGAGAAAGGCTGACCCTCTTCCTCGTGAACTCCAGAGTTTTCCCCCAGGCTGTATCAAATTTTGCTAGACAGTTTCCATGGTTTCATCAAATCCCGTATTGACTACATGAACTACAGTGCTTAGCTAAAATGAAATATATTGCAAACAACAAAGCCCCAGAACAGCAATAACAAAATCCTGTACATGTTACAATTTTTAGCAATACAGTAATGTCATTGCTTAAACTGGGTCTATGTGGGGAATCTTTACATGGAGCAGAACAGAAACAGAAATTCAAACTGCCGCAAGACCACATTTTTATGACCAGTTTCTGTCAGGCTGAACTGAAGGATGCAAACCGATAGCTATTGGCTTGGTTGGGGAAACGGTCTAATCTAGGATTGCTGTTGTCATCGGTGATTAATTAAATTTGTATACCACTCTATAATACCCATAGATCTCAGGGGGATGTATTTCCCTCTGTTTTTTTTTAATTTGCTTTTTATTATTAGCTACTCAATAAAACCTAGTTGTATTTTAAAATGGGGGGAGGAGGTTATTGGGTTGTTCTTGTTTTTGTTTTTATTTTGATTGTGTATTCTGTGATTTTATATTGTGATTTTATCCTGTGAACCGCCCTGAGATCTGCAGGTATAGAGCGGTATATAAATTTAATAATAATAAAAGTTTTCAATTCAGAAAAAAGCTTTTTCTCAGTAACCATTTAACTTGCTTGTTGTGTTACTAAAATTTCAAGGCATCATTGTTTGGTTTTGGGGTTTTTTAGGGGGAACAGGTAGAATCACTCTGAGCTTTTGTTATTCACCCCACACCTAAATGCCACACCATTTTTTTTTTAAAAAAATGCCCCAATGAGCAAAGGGGTGATAACCAAATTTATTTGGAAAGATACTTTATTTTAAGTGCATCTGCATAAGACCAATGAATGCATTCTACCCAGTAAAGGGAGCAGGTGGGGTCAATCAAGGTCTCAACAGTTACACCAACGCTTATCAGAATTTTCTCCAACCCTTCCTCCTAAAAAAGCCCAGGGCTGCTGAGACAGCCAGAAAGAGAAAGAAGATATCCAATTAATATTCAAGATATCCACATAAGAGATAGAAGATGTGACACATATATTGGTTAACACAAAAATTAACCTAGGCATAACCAACTCTTCTTTTCCCAGATATAGCAGCCTCACAAATGATATCATTGGTCTGCATACTGGCACTGCATTCAGATGAGCTGAACAAAGTTCAGAACTCCCATTGCTTTGGATCATTATACAGTGGTACCTCGGGTTAAGAACTTAATTCGTTCTGGAGGTCCGTTCTTCACCTGAGGTGCCACTTTAGCTAATGGGGCCTCCCGCTACCGCTGCACCACCGCCGCGCGATTTCTGTTCTCATCCTGAAGCAAAGTTCTTAACCCAAGGTACTATTTCTGGGTTAGCAGAGTCTGTAACCTGAAGCGTCTGTAACCTGAAACATTTGTAACCTGAGGTACCACTGTATATACACAAACACACGGACATATTGTGATCACCTGACTTTGCTCTTCTATGACAATTTCATGACAGAGATGTTCCGTGTTCAAGTAAATTAGCATGTGATAGCTCTCAAGTGAAGAGAAATATCAGAGTTAAGCTTATTAGTATTTAATGTGTAACTGACCAAAACTTGAAGACTTCTCTTTCCTCTGCCTCTCCTTTTGGGTACTTAGTAGAAGCCACCCACACATCTCACATATGGAGAGGATATGGGACCAAACCACACAGCAAAAAACAACAAAAAACCCAACTATGTATATTCATCTCCACTTTCTGGGCCTCCCTAGGAATGGTTAGGTTCCCTCATCAATGTAAACAGTTCCATAACATGGCTTCCAGATGTTTCATCTTGTGTGACTTTAAAAATGCAAACCTAAATGATTAAAAATAGGTATTAAAGATAATAATGGGTGCCACTAACCACTGAATGGCTTGATTACAGATGAAAACACAACTCCACTGAACAGTTGCTAGCAATCAAGAGTCTCTCCCCACACTTCCAACATCTGATTCTGTAAAGGCCTCAAGAGATTCTCCACTATCTACTTCCTTTTCTTGCAGTTTCTTGGACTCAAATGCTGTGTTCAAAGAGCCATTCTGGCCTGAGATACTGTTTCTGCACAGTGCTGATGTGTGGAAGTATTCTTCTGAAATCTCCACAACATGGATAGTTTAACACTCTGTGTCCTCCAGATATTGCTGGGCTCCAACTCCCATAAGCCCCATTCAGCATGACCAGTGATCAAGGATGATGGGAGTTACTGTCCAGAAACACCAGAGGCAGGGGCACCTTGGCTTAGGCCTGCGTTTTGTGAGATAGACTTGAATTGGAGAAACTACATTCAAATCCTTTCTCAGCCAAAATGCTCATTGGGTGACTTGAGCCCCTTACTGTCTCCCCACTGAACCTATTTTTCATCTAAAAGAATAGAGTGGCCACCCAGTCATGTGCCCTTTCATATAAATTGAACACTGCATTAACATGCCACAAGATTCACTTCCCCACGGCAAGTCAGGTTCTCCACATTCCTGCTTCCCTTGAAAAGGTTTCTTTCTGCCTCTTCCTTTTTTGCTTTAACATTTCACTGGCATAGGCAAGCTCGCTGTGAAAAACCTCTGCATTACGGAAACAATCCTAAGCATCCTAATGCTTACTGAAGCAAAAAATATGAACGATACTTTACTGGTTGGTTATCAACAGCTGCCTTACCTATATGATACATTAAACCAAAGTTTAAAATAAACCATGGCTAAATGTGAACAAGCAGTGTGCTGGTACATGCTGCTCTCACCACCACCGTTCCTGACGCAGTCTTTTTTTGTTGCCCAAATCTGGGTTCTTGGTTTGCTTCGTCCAAACAAATGACAAGTGGTAACCAAGGTTTGTCTCAACTTACCACTCATGGTTGGTTTGGACGAAACAAACCACAAATCTGAGCTCTGGTGACATGACAAGTCAGACCACGACATGTCCAGTACAACCACATAATACACACACACACACATACCCTGCCACTCTTGGCGGCTTCTAACACAAGATTAAAAATACAGTAAAACATCAGTCATTAAAAAACTTCCCTAAACAGGGCTGCCTTCAGATGTCTTCTAAACGTCAGATAGTTGTTTATTTCTTTGACATCTGGTGGGAGGGCGTTCCACAGGGTGGGTGCCACTACCGAGAAGGCCCTCTACTTGGTTCCCTGTAGCCTTACTTCTTGCAGTGAGGGAACCGCCAGAAGGCCCTTGGTGCTGGACCTCAGTGCCCAGGCAGAACGATGGGGGTGGAGATACTCCTTCAGGTATACTGGGCTGAGGCCATTTAGGAGAGCGGGAGCAGAGCATCCTGGGAACTTGAGCAGTGGACATCACCTGCTCAACTATCAAACCATAGTTTACTATGGTCTAATGTAACATGCAAACTAGGCTACTATCTGACATTTATGTTTCCGAGCACAATTCAAAGTGTTGGCGCTGACCTTGAAAGCCCTAAACAGCCTGAGTCCTGTATACCTGAAGGAGCGCCTCCACCCCCATCTTTCAGCCTGGACACTGAGGTCTAGCTCCGAGGGCCTTCTGGTGGTTCCCTCAGTGTGAGAAATGAAGGTTCAGGGAACCAGGCATAAGGCCTGTGGGACGCCTTGTCATCAGATGTCAAGGAAATGAACAACTATTTGACTTTTAGAAAAAGATCTGTAGGCAGCTCTGTATAGGGAAGTTTTTAATGTTTGATGTTTTACTGTATTCTTAATATTTTGTTGGGAGCCTCACAGAGTAGCTGGGGCAACCAAGTCAGATGAACAGCATATAAAAACAACAGCAACAAGCAGTCTTATGAAGTGAGAAAAGAGTTATTAGCTTATCAAATTTGTGGTTTTTCTGGCCAATGAAAATTCAGGCATATTTTACTATTTTACATTTCCTAGACAAAGGCCAGCAAAATCTTTAAAGAGAGTAATAGAATAACTATACGTTCCTGTCAAATATATAGATGAACCGAGGTGAAAGACAGATTGAGAAAAATGTGTTATTTACTTACTGAGTTTCAGTTCCCAGCAGGAGTTCAATCTTCTCTCCTGCATGGTTGTTTAGGACAGTTAATCTGAAGAGGTGATTTGCAGAAGTCTGCCGAGAGTAAAGAATAGGTGTGCTGTTTTTTGCAGGAGAGGAATTCAGCTCTTCGCTGTCACACTGTTCAACTAACAGTTGATCCCTTAAGGAATAGTCTGTGACATTGTAGCTCTCTTCACTGCAAATACAAAAAGCGGGTAGAAGAGACAGACAATTGCTTAGAGTCAAAACGCTACTAAATGCACCAGGAAGTCATGTTCTGCAATAAAGCCAATCTCAGATTACAGTCCATTGCACATAATTATTCAGACATTTTCAGCCTTTCAGTAAAGGAAGAAGGAATACACACGTTTGAATATTTACAAAGCACCTGCTTGTCAAGAAGACAAATGAAGTTAATGCTTAAGCCCTGGGGGGGGGGGTACATTCAATGATGAAGTTTACATGTATTTGATTTTCTTTTGGTGTCAAAGGTTTTCCTAACTTTAATTGTAGGAAAGGATGAGACTAAACTAATGTAAAGAGAAAAAAGGGGGGGAATGAACCATAGATCTTCCTGAGTTATTATTTTATTCTATTCTCCATGTGCCTCTTCCATTTGAGGTGAGATAATCATTATATAAAGGGAGAGGGGCTTTTTCAGCCAGGGGGCAGAAAGCTGATATAGAACGCCCTCCCAAGGAAGATTTGCCTGGCCAGAACACTGCTATCATTTAGGCACTAGGCAAAAACATTATTTATTTATCCAGGCATTTTAACGTTAAGGAGTTGGGATTCTTTCTTGAGACTTTATCCACGGCTTTTCCATGCATGTGTGTGTTTATTATATTGTTTGTTTTATGCTTGCATACTGCCCAGAAATCTAATGAGATACAGGAGAAACAACATTCCTTTCTTACTACCCTCCACAGGCAGCTGAATACTGAAAAGCCTAATCAAGCTTTCCCAAACTTGTGTCTCCAGTTGTTCTTGGACTACAATTCCCATCATTCCTGACCACTGGACGTGCTAGCTAGGGTTGATGGGAGCTGTAGTCCCAAAACAGCTGAAGACACAAGTTTGGGAAACCCTGCTATACATCTACAGAGAAGTCTCACTGAATTCAGTGGAGCTTACTTCTGAAGGAATGTATACAGTGGTACCTCTGGTTATGAACTTAATTCGTTCCGGAGGTCCGTTCTTAAGCTGAAACCGTTCTTATCCTGAGGCGTGCTATCGCTAATGGGGCCTCCCTCTGGTGCGCGATTTCTGTTCGTATCCTGGGGCAAAGTTCGCAACCAGGAGCAGCTACTTCTGGGTTAGCGGAGCTCGTAACCTGAAGTGTTCGTAACCAGAGGTACCACTGTATAGGAAATATCGGCAATATCCAACTCAGAGGAAACCTATTAAAGCCAATACAGTGCCTTTACTTAGATTTACTGGGTAGGGTATCCAAAGAATTCATCCTGTTAGACTCATTGAATTGCAGAACTGGAAGGGATTCCTGAGGGTCATCTAGTCTAGCGCAAAAAGATTTCAATTTGCACAACTGGATTTCCTCCCCATGTGCATTCCATTTCCAAATCTGCTCCAGGGAGTTGGAGGAACTCCTAGAACAGATTTAGCTGTTCCATCAGCACAAGCATTTCAGGTTGCCAAATGGAATGATCCTGCTTTCCCCCCTCCCCCCGGCGTACTGTTCTGAGGGTTCTCCTAATCCCCTCAAAGTCATTTTGGGGGGCACAGGGACATGCTGTGGTAACAGAAGTCCTTGCACAGATTCATTAGTAGTTTTGGCTGGGGATGAAGACCTCATTCTTTATGGAATACTATTATTATAATTTATGTAATTTCTCCCATTTGCGATGATCTTCTATGATGAGACTCCATCAGCAAACCCGACACAGCCCACTCAGTATGTGCATGAAAACATGTCTGCAGCTATAGATCTAGGCAGGCAGGGGAAGAGGTGGCTTCTCAAAAGCTCCTACCAAATATGTGATAGAAAAGCTGTGTTCAAGCTTGGTAGCAGACAAATTTAGCACTGCAAGTTGAAGAATTTTGTTTTTGCTGTGTGTGTTTTTTCACTTGGGGGAGACTGAAGATCCCTGGAAAAGACCCTCAGACTACAGTGGGGAACAGGATGTTCATCTCCAGAACCATGAACTCACACATACACAACAGGATGTGTAATGCCATGAAGCTGAACTGAAACAAATATGAAGAAATGCTTTTGATAAAGCTTCTTTTTAACCAGCGCAGACAAGAGCTGAACTATAATAGTCTGTTTTTACACCAATGCAGAACTTGTTACTTGGCGATGTCCAACATAAGTGCCCTTATTCATCTCTTACTGGAACTTGTGGATGAAAGAGATGAAGCAACTTCAAAATGGGCAGTAAAATGCAAGAAGACAACAAAAGAATGAAGTTCTTATTGGATTAATGGATGAACAGCCTTGCCGGCTTTATGTACTGATTGGCAAATGTATTGGCTCGGTTACAGACACTGCAATGATTATTCCCATACAGAAATAATACCAGCCGTTCACATGGTCTTCCACCTGTGACTTATATCTAGTCTTGCGTTTTGCCATAGAATATTCTAAATCGGCTCTAAGAAATCATCAACAATATAAATACACAAGAACACACAAACCTGAACCATGCAGTCTCAATACATCTTATAGACTAAGTAACTATCCCATAATCTTTCCCTCTACAGTTCAATGTGGCATATTGATCACCAAAGTCAGAGATATATTGTCCAAAAAAGGCAAAAATAGATAGTGTATGTGCAACTCTTCCATGTCCATTAGTTGTTAATTACAGTCAACTGTTCAATAACACATTGATTTTTATTCCCTTCTAACATACCCAAGACCTGTAATTTTCCCCAAGTCTTAAAGGTATGGTAGCTTCAAACACTTATTGTGAGGTTCACCCCATCCATCCTCCCTGTAATCATTCATACTGTAAATCAAACTGCATCACCTTCAATATAAAGATTCGCTGATTAGCCATAACAAGAAAAATGATCTGGATAAAACTGCATTCAAATGGTTATTTTTTTTCTGAAGAAAGTAATTTTCCTTTGGAATGAGAGGGCCTAGTTTTCAGAGGGTGGAGTTAGACTGTGTATGCAATGTAAACAAATATATCTATATAATCAATGCCAACTCCCTACTCCCACCCCTCTCAATAACCATTATTATGGGAGTACCTCTGGAGAAGATGACTAGCAGATGTTGTATGAAAATGGATATGGAATGAGAATGAATTCAGTGAGGAGAAAAATATTGCACTTCACTGAAACAGAATACTTGCATTCTGATGTGCTCCTTATATTCCAGTTTTTATCCGCACACATACCAAAGAATGCAAGAACAGCTTCTCAAATGAAACACCTTTCCCTTTTATTTATCGTTTCCTGTTTGTTAGGAAGTTCTTTCATAAATAAATGCAAGGATCTGAAATGCATTTTCGCTACAGTTTATTATTTAAAAGTATTATTTTTTGTTGCTCTGTTAACTTGGGAAGTCAAACTGTTTTAGGCATCCTTTTAATTGGGAAAGGGCTTTTTAATTATTTCAAATTTCTTCCTGGAGAGTGTAGCAGAAGTTCAGTTTTAGCTGGTAACTGTGGACAGGTAACATTCCAAAGTATTATTTGACCTTTGGCTGGCTTCACATTTCAGAAGTCCAGCGGCATTCCATTGCCGGGATTATCTCAGGAACTGACAAGCCACTAGACAGAGAGAGAATTTTAGTGGTATCCCGAGGGGATTGCAGGCCATGAAGTAAGAATATTTAATAACCATAGCGTCAAAAAAAAATGCATCCCTTCCTTAAATGTGTGTGAACCAATTTGGCAGGTATCTGTCTTGCTGTTAATGAGGACACAGAGCAGCCTGAATGATGGTTAAAAAAAAAAAAACAACTGCTGTAAAATAGACAAAATATATCTGAGTACATGAGGGGGTGGGGATTACATAGCGAGCCAGGTCGAAAGAAGTATGTTCATACTTCACGGCAGGATTCTTCACCTACATTCCTCTGGAAAATATGATTCTGCATTTGCGTAGCTCTCTGCTCAACATAACCTGCCCTATGGAATTATGCCCCCACCCCGGTTATTAGTTTCCAAGGTCTTTTTTAGGATGCTACTCTTGTGTTCTGGTTCTTTTAAAATCATTATTGAAGAACACTTATAGCCCACTTAATTTTTTTTTTTTAAAAAAAGTGGTGTACAAAATTCAATATGCAAGAAAAATATAGAACCATTTTGCTAATATATTGGAGTTCTCTGTTTGTGCATATATATGTGAGTGAGTGACTGTGTGTGTGAGAGAGAAATGAATGAATGAATTAATGAATGCTATATTATTTCTAGCCAAACTCTTTGGACAGCCCCACCCCACGTATCTTGTTTGCACTATCCTTACTTATACATTCATCTTAGCATTCATGTCCAGGTTAACAGTAAATGGGAGCTACTGTAGCTGCCTCTCCAGGTCCCTCAAGGGAGAGAAAGGCAGCTGTGACAGCTGTTCAGTGTTCAATCTCTGGGTCAGGAAGAGTAGATATCACTACTGCAGCTGTTTTCTCCTCTTGATTAAAACCAAGTAAAGGCTGCATCCAGCAACCCTTTGCTCACGCAGCAGACTTCCATTTCCAGTTGGGTGACCCTCTGGAGCAGATTTAGGGGGTTTGCAGGGAGAGTAGAGGAAAGGAAAGTCCCATTGTGCGAGCGGCTGGATACAATCTCCAAGCTTTGTACTTTCAGGACCAAAGAAAGTTTAGTGTGGCGAGTGAGAGATGATGCCACTCACTTTCCTGACATGAATCAACTGCTATTCACTCCAGGTAAGTAGCTAACTGCATCTAATTGCTACAGGTCTCTAACCCTGAAGCCCTAGGGTCCCTAGGGTCACTGAGAGGACATCCCAGGGGCAAAAGGAAGCATCAGATTGCTCTCTGTGTTTCTCAAGGCACAGAGAGAGGTCCAGCCTCAAAGACGCTTTCTTCCAGCTGCTGTGAAAACCTCCATTGACCTATTGGCATTGCGGCACCAATGTCAGTAGAACCAAGAAGGGAGATAATTATGTCAGCCTTGGAACTGGCTTAGTGAAGTTCCCTCCCAATGTTCTCAAAGGATGTGGCATCAAAATAGCTTCCAGCTCCCTCTGCTTTCCCCACTTTAGGATTGCAGCCTAAAAATATGAAATCACAATAAGTCTCAGAGCCATCCCGAATTTACATAACTATAAAAAAATGTGTGTTAAATTAATGACTTTAAAAGAAAACCCACCGTCTTTCCTCTGTGGCTTTACTTAGGAACAGACATATACAGGTTTGCAGCATGGATGTGCATTTTACACCATTCCAAAGACTCAGGTTATATAACTAATACAAATAAAATACCCCATTGAAGTAAGACACAGAAACAACAATGTACCAACCTCCAACGCTAACAACATTTGAAGTGGTACTTCTCAAACATTTTGAAATGGAACCTGCCTGTAAACCAACTCAGCCTTTCAGACCCCATTTATAAACTAACTACACCTTTAGAGCCCCTATCGCAGGAACAAATCATGACCCACAGTTCAAGAAGCACAAGCGTAAAGAACCATCAGAGTATGTCTAATGCTGCATTTTATCTTCTTATAGATGCTTAGTACTAAACCTGAGTAAATCTCATTGCTCGAATGCCTTTCAGCTTGCTTGCTCGATGTTAAGAGTTACATCTAATTCTTTTAATGATGTTATCTGGTATGCAAAGAATTTGCAATCTTCTTCTTTAAAATGTACACACAGTATTAACCCAGTGCTAAAAGTGTTCCTATCGACAAGACAAACCTGGCATGTACTAGCAATCTATGGCTGGATTAATTTTGAATCCAATCACCATCACTGGCTGAAGCTTACACCTGTAAGTCCAGTTGAATGCACAGACCGATTAAGTAGATAAAATATTTTAAAGGAGAGCAAGAATCTGAAAAAGATGTACAAAGGAACTTGCATGAGTTGCCATGTGTCTTTCAAGCACTACACATGTACTCTTCTCCTTACTCCCCTGAATGCCCCATACAAAGTGCCCTAAATCCACATCTAAAAGAGGGAGAGCAGGCAGCTATTTATCTGTTGTTATCTATTTGTCCAGTGTAACTGACTCACGTATCCAGTGCAGCTCTTACCTTTTCTTTTTTGTGATAATGAGGACATCATTGAAGAGGAAGAAGTACACTTGTTGCTTAGAAGTCCTTTTAGAGAAAAGGCCAGTGTCTTCCACATACGCTATCAATTCACCTCTTTTCACTAGCCACCGGGAAGAAGAAACCAATGGAAATGGCTACAAAGTAAGGAAATTGCAATTAAGCCCCTAGTAAGATTTTGTGGTATGTTTCCCCACCTCCCCCAGAGAGATGCGTGCACATTTATAATAATCTCTGAGCTCCTTCCAAACCTAGATTTCTGAATACAAAAGGAAAGGAGGAATGCTCTAAAATAATTCCTGAAATAAGTAGTCACTTCAGCTTTTCAAATACCACAATTAGATCAAACAATTTATAAATCATGCAATCTGGTTTACATTAAGAACAAAAGGCACCATCATAATGCAAACCAGCCCTGAGGGCTTTGGAGCGCTTTGTGGCAGGTTGAAAATTGTGAAAAGAAATAAATATCTAATAACATTTTAAAAACAACAACAACCACTCCTAAGTGAGAGTTTTCATTTGTCCATGTTTAGCAAATGACTCAAAGTTTTCTTCTATATGAGCAAAGTATGTTTCTGATTTTGAACAGAAAATGTATGTATCTTTAAAAAAAATCCAAAGAGTATGGGCAGTATCCCAACTAAACAGTTATGCTATTGCAGCAACTTTTAGCTGTGCAAAGCAGGTTTGCATTAACCATCATTTAAGTGTTGGAGCTCCATGGAGCAAACACGGTTCAAATAGGTTCCCTTTCTCTTCAGCCTCTCTGCTTGAAAGTTGACTAACAAGTCTTACCACTGTTGGCTCACTAAGCTACATCCTGGTTTCTCTGTATATTTAGAATTTTAACCAAGGTTAGGAAACAGTCTGGGCTGCACTACCCACTGAAATGGGTTACGAGTGATATCCAACTAAGTCAATTTCAGATGGGCTACTTATCTGAATATGACCGATATTAGTTATTGCTGTATGTCTGCCCTATGCTCCAAAATTCAAGCTAATTACAATTAAACAGATTTTGCCATTGTATCACTGTACAAGCGTTTAGCACTGTGTGTGTATGTGTGTGTGTGTGTGTGTGTGAGTGAGAGAGAGAGAGAGAAAGAGAGAGAGTTGTCTTAAACACACAACATTAAAGTTCTTCAACTAGCAAAAACAAACATGCAGAAAGAGAAAACAATTATTTCCAGGACTCTTTATATTACACTGAATAGGAATTATAGTACAGTCGTACCTTGGAAGTCGAATGGAATCTCTTCCAGAAGTCTGTTTGACTTCCAAAATGTTCAGAAGCCAAAGTACGGCTTCTGATTGGCTGCAGGAAGCTCCTGCAGCCAATAGGAAGCCAAAGAAGTCGCATCAGACATCCGGGCTCCAAAGAATGTTCGCAAACCGCAACAGTCACTTCCAGGTTTGCAGTGTTTGGGATCCAAGGTACGACTGTATATGATTATCTGAGGCAAATGTTCAGGTAAGGGAATGTATGTGTTAAAAAAAACAACCAATCATTTTCCTGCTCGATTTGAGTAACTAGACTTCCATCAGGAGGTAAGTCCCTTGTTCTGCATGCTTCAAGCACCACTGCCGATTTCAGGATATCAACTTATTTGCCACCTCCTAGAACATCCTATCAACAACCTCTAATTCCCCAGATAATAAACTGAGTTTACTCTAGCTGTGACAGCCCATCATTAAAACTAAGCAAAGGTTAAAGTTTGCACAACAGACGTATGAAGGCAAATATCACACCTTGATTTTGAATTCCAGCTGGGAGTTGATAGTGTACATCATTTCTGTCCTTTCCATTGTCCGAGCACCTTCATTGCAGAGGCGAACCAACTGGGAAAGAAGACATTTTATTCAACTGATGTTATTTATATCCATTAAGCTTTCTTGCTTCTCCTTACAGTGCACTATTTTTCAGAGATTCAGAACAGCGGAAAGCGAAAGGGCGGTCAAAGGGATTTGAAAAGCACTTACTTTACAGATAACTTATCACAAATTAGCCTTTCCTGCAAAGAATTTATATTTTATTAAAAAGAACTGCTGTTCACATCAATTTTGAAAACACTTGGCTATAGCCACCCCTACCATTGCACAATTCCTTTTGCCTCTTCAGTCACAAACCACAACTCCTTTATGTTTCCTATGCAAAACTTAGAACCCTGATTATGTGTCACCTTGGTAAACATGTTTTCGAAACATGAATATGGGGTAGTATAATTTGTAGGGAACAATCTTTGACCAGAACTGGGTTGTTCTTCTCTAGAAATATGCTTCTTGGGCTGTTTTCAGCCTTCAAACAGGCTTGCTTCCAGTCTCAGAGCACAGCTACGAAAAAGACAGTCTAGGGACATTTGCCAAGAATAAATTATGGACAGTTTTAACTTCTCCCACTTTCTGATTTTCCCCTACAAGCACCTTGCACCCCCACCCCCAGCAAGCCACAACATTAGCATTACAAGACAGACTATTTGTCTCATGAAATTCTATCCTCAGTCCTAGTATGAAGAATAGCAGGTAAAGATTTGGACACAAAATGTGGGGCATTTCAAGGAAAGACAGAAACCAGAGTTGGCATCAATGTGCTCCATACACCCTGAGCTTGACTCAAGTATTCATCATTTTATTCTTTGTTCCATGACGTTAATTTATTCTTTTATCTACTGCTCAGACACTCTTGCAATGGGAAACATGGACCAAGCCACAGTGCAATGCCACTGTTACTTTAATATATGTGGATAACAAAGGTACATTCTAGTCAATTTTAAGCACCTTGAAGCCCTCCTGACTTAACTTTGGCAGGATAAGACCTCGAGTAAGAAAACATTGTGGGTTAAAGCACTTGTGCTGTTGCATTACATATAAGCCACATTAGCAAATCACAGCCACATACATTTGTGTGTTTTTCAGAAATCAGTCAGGTTTAAAAAAAAGGTAACAAAGCCAAGTAGTCTGGTTCATACGTAACACAAAATTTTAATGTTAGACTACAAGAATGAGCCTCAGGGTCACACACCCCCTCCTCATCTGCAAGCATGAAAAGGGGACTGGAAGCCTTGATCCTTGGTTCAAATCAGTGTTTCCAGCTGTTTGTGGACTACCCCTCCTGTCATCCCTAGCTAGCAGGATGATGGGATTTGTAGTAAAAAACAAACAAACAGTTGGAGACCCAAGTTTGGGAAACACTCGTTTAAGCGAACCAGATGTTTTTCATTGCATCTGAAGAGGAATCATTGCTTTTTAAAAAACTAGCTAAGGAAAAATCAGGATCCCACTTTAGGCTCCTGCTTGTTCCTTTGAAGCCCCCACCCACTTACCCACACTACATCTGCAATCATGTATGATGTCAGGTGTAGGGTGATTGGATGCACCAAACTGACCTCATGAGCCAAATGGGAAGGCCTAGAAGGCAAGGTTTGGCCCACAGGCTACTCCTGATTTAAACTGACTGACCTGTCCTTGTCAGATGAGGCAACAGCCAGCCGTTAGTTTAATAATGGAAGTGGATACTTTCCCCTCTGCTCTCCTCTTTCAGTGCAGCCATGAAGTGACTGGAAGCAGATGAACCAAAGGCTTGCCCATGATTGTCTTCATATCATTATTGTTTAGAACAGGCACCCCCAAACTCGGCCCTCCAGATGTTTTGGGAATACAATTCCCATCATCCCTGACCACTGGTCCTGTTAGCTAGAGATGATGGGAGTTGTAGTCCCAAAACATCTGGAGGGCCGAGTTTGGGGATGCCTGATTTAGAATTACATATGAACCAAGCCAGTGATACCTTTTAAAAATAAAGGTGCCTAATCAAGTTTTGTAATTAATATTGGACATTTAACTAACACTTGCAATACCGCTGGTGTCTCCTGAAGACCTTTTTATGCCAACAAGCCTATGCTGTTGTTTAAATTTCTTGATTAGCGTGACATTTTAATGATTAATTTGTATTGTTTTTATGGTGTTTTATTGTGTGTATTTGCACACCTCCTTGATATTTTACACAAGCTGGCGGTATGCAAATACAGTGGTACCTCGGGTTAAGTACTTAATTCGTTCCAGAGGTCCATACTTAGCTTGAAACTGTTCTTAACCTGAAGCACCACTTTAGCTAATGGGGCCTCCTGCTGCCGCCACGCCGCCGGAGCACGATTTCTGTTCTCATCCTGTATGTAACCTGAGGTACCACTGTACTTTTATAAATCATGGTGAGGAACAGAATTTTTTTTGGGGGGGGGGGATGGAAAGTTTATAAGATTTTTTCTCTTGTTCTTCCCCCCCTAAAGCAATGATCAAAACTCCTGAACCACAATAGTGTAGGCCATCGACTCACACCGTTTCCCACAAAAAGCATCATTAAGAAAGATATTGATGGTGAGCACTATTGCCTTTGCCAATACTCGCTACAACAGCAATAAAGCAAGTGATTTCTATATACGTCCCTATTATGGCTTTACAGACCTACCCTACCCCATTTTCAGGGGAGAAGGAATCCACCTGGAGCTTCTGCGATAGAAAGCAGTTACGTTAGCAATTTCTATTTCTAGCGATTTTGTGTGTAGGAGGCATATTAAGCTATTTTCTCCCTAGTAGCCAATGAATTCAGTGCAAGTAATGAGTAATTTGGAGAAGATGAAGATAAAGACTTTTTAAAAAGGCCTTAAGGGTATATTCTGCCTGAGAACTATTTGGCAAACTGTTAGCAAGCCATCAGAAGCATTTTTTATGAGCCAAAGATAAAAGTCAGGCTTATCAGTGATAATTTAGTGACAACCTCACAGGGTGAAGCAGTACTAGGCAAGTAAAATGGAATTTCTTCTCCTCTTTCCTGGTCTGAATTTTATGCACATCACTCTGCTGTCCTCACAGTTAACTCTCACAATATTGCCTGAATAATATTACCTTGCAACATCAGCATGCAAACTTGTCCCTCAATAACCGTATCTGATTTAACTAATTTCCATATTTCTCCCCCCACCCCCATAACATTACTTTTTGCTTTTTGCTTTCTAAATCCCACTATTTTAAAAAGTGGAAATTTGCCTGCATATTAACAACTTAAGTGTAGTCCAGAATGCACATAGCCTTAGGCAAAGTCCAACTTTAAAAAGTTGGAATGCATATATCCAAAACATAAAAACCCAGCCCTTCTGATGTGTCTATATTCTGATGTACCTATTTTCTTCTTTTCTTTCTTAATGCTTTACTGATTTTGTTGTTGTAATAAACAATTAACTATCCCAAAGTCTTTACCTACTGTTCTTACTTCTTGATCCACAAGCAAAATGGAAAGAGAGAAAACAGGGCAGGGTGGGGGAAGCTGTGGGGCATTTGCTCAGGCTATATATGAAGCTCAACATCAAAAAAACGAAGATCATGGCCACTGATCCCATCACCTCCTGGCAAATAGAAGGGGAAGAAATGGAGGCAGTGAGACATTTTACTTTCTTGGGCTCCATGATCACTGCAGATGGTGACAGCAGTCACGAAATTAAAAGACGCCTGCTCCTTGGGAGAAAGGCGATGGCAAACCTAGACAGCATCTTAAAAAGCAGAGACATCACTTTACCAACAAAGGTCCGTGTAGTTAAAGCCATGGTTTTCCCAGTAGTGATGTATGGAAGTGAGAGCTGGACCATAAAGAAGGCTGATCGCCGAAGAATTGATGCTTTTGAATTATGGTGCTGGAGGAGACTCTTGAGAGTCCCATGGACTGCAAGAAGATCAAACGTATCCATTCTTAAGGAAATCAGCCCTGAGTGCTCATTGGAAGGACAGATCGTGAAGCTGAGGCTCCAATACTTTGGCCACCTCATGACAAGAGAAGACTCCCTGGAAAAGACACTGATGCTGGGAAAGATGGAGGGCACAAGGAGAAGGGGACGACAGAGGACGAGATGGTTGGACAGTGTTGTCGAAGCTACAAACATGAGTCTGACCAAACTGCGGGAGGCAGTGGAAGACAGGAGTGCCTGGCGTGTTCTGGTCCACGGGATCACGAAGAGTCGGACACGACTAAACGACTAAACAACAACAATATATGATTGAGGAAATAAGTAGAGGAAATAAGGGGATGAAAGGTGAAGAACTAGACTGGGGAATGCATGACAACACTGGTGATCATTGCAAGGCAATAGCGAGATATGTAAAAGCCAGGCTGCTTGTGAAGGAAGCTCCTCTTTACTAATGCAGCTGTTGGAATCCACCATATTTTGGGTGCCCATAAGAAGGTAATATAGCTAAGGCTCTATAAATTCACCCATATACTTCCTAGTGGTGAGTACCCTGGTATATTCAGCAAAACACAGCTTGCGGGAGAGAAACCACACCTCCTTTCAGCGGTGTAGCAACCCACACTGGCACCTGGGGTGGATCCAAGTTGTTGAGCTTGAAACAGTCACAAAATGGTGGCAGACCAAGGCAGTTTGGCAAAAATCAGCTGGCAATTACTGACATCATATTCTGTTGATATTAAACCCATCATTGGAAATTGATAAATTCTTCGCCAGCCTTCTCCTTGTGGCAAGCTTTCATCCCACTAAGTACAGACGTTTGCTCCGGAGGTACTGTGACTCAGCCTCGCCAGTGTAGGCAAAATTTGCTGAGCCAGGGGCTCTAACAATGGGAAGTGTTTTTCCTTTATTCCTTACCACTGTCACATGCTTCTAAAAATTTCCACCCATCTTCTGTAACTTCTTCTCCCATTCTTTCATACTCAACTTGTGCCCTATCCCTCCCTCCAAGCAGTGAACATTTCTCTCCCCCTCATTGTTTACATATCCTACTCACTAAAAAAGCCTCTCACTCTTTTCCTCTTCCTTTTCATTCTGCATTTATTTAAAATCATACTAATTACAATTAGTAATATTAGCCTTTAATATCAGTTTCTATTTTTACTTCAACACCTCTTCTGGCTCTTTTCATTCAGAGGAAGGAGAATTTCCTTCCTGCCTCCTCCCGGCTGAATTTTTCTCTCTGCTACATTTATTCAGCATGCAAGGAGCTTCTGGTGCTGGCACTGGTCCAATCGAAAGGCTGTGACACAGCCAGGAGACTAGTAAAGGCAAATGACAAGACACACGACATGCAGTGGCACTGAGGTCTGCATGAAAGTGGCTCAAGATCCACCAATGGTGGAAATTAGCCAGGTACCAAAATATGTGGAACGGTGGCTTTTGCTGAATGAGTTTTGGATATGAGCCTTGAGTGTTGTTCTTTCTCCAGGAAAACTGGGACAGACAAGAGTCTCAATTATCCCGGGTTAAGCAGTTCAGAACATCAAAGATTCAGGCCACTGACATTACAACAATGGCATACTGATTTAGTTAAGCATTTCAGCCATAAATTAACCTATATTAAAAATTATTTACACCAAGAGCCATGTTGTTCTCCATTTCCAGCTTTGTAATGGACTAAAATACCAGGGAAGATTCTGGAGCAGATCATTAAGCAAACAGTCTGTGAGCACCTAGAAAGGAATGCTGTGATCACCAATAGTCAGCATGGATTTCTGAAAAATAAGTCATGTCAGACTAACCTGATCTCGTTTTTGACAGAATTACAAGCCTGGTAGATGAAGGGAACACAGTGGATGTAGCCTACCTTGATTTCAGCAAGGCATTTGACAAGGTGCCCCATGATATTCTTGTAAAGAAGCTGGTAAAATGCGGTCTTGACTATGCTACCACTCAGTGGATTTGTAACTGGCTGACTGACCGAACCCAAAGGGTGCTCATCAATGGTTCCTCTTCATCCTGGAGAAGAGTGACTAGTGGGGTGCCACAGGGTTCTGTCTTGGGCCCGGTCTTATTCAACATCTTTATCAATGACTTGGATGATGGACTCAAGGGTATCCTGATCAAATTTGCAGATGACACCAAACTGGGAGGGGTGGCTAACACCCCAGAGGACAGGATCACACTTCAAAACGACCTTGACAGATTAGAGAACTGGGCCAAAACAAACAAGATGAATTTTAACAGGGAGAAATATAAAGTATTGCACTTGGGCAAAAAAATGAGAGGCACAAATACAAGATGGGTGACACCTGGCTTGAGAGCAGTACATGTGAAAAGGATCTAGGAGTCTTGGTTGACCACAAACTTGACATGTGCCAACAGTGTGACGCGGCAGCTAAAAAAGCCAATGCAATTCTGGGCTGCATTAATAGGAGTACAGCATCTAGATCAAGGGAAGTAATAATGCCACTTTATTCTGCTCTGGTCAGACCTCACCTGGAGTACTGTGTCCAGTTCTGGGCACCACAGTTCAAGAAGGACACTGACAAACTGGAACGTGTCCAGAGGAGGGCAACCAAAATGGTCAAAGGCCTGGAAACGATGCCTTATGAGGAATGGCTAAGGGAGCTGGGCATGTTTAGCCTGGAGAAGAGGAGGTTAAGGGGTGATATGATAGCCATGTTCAAATATATCAAAGGATGTCACATAGAGGAGGGAGAAAGGTTGTTTTCTGCTGCTCCAGAGAAGCGGACACGGAGCAATGGATCCAAACTACAAGAAAGAAGATTCCACCTAAACATTAGGAAGAACTTCCTGACAGTAAGAGCTGTTCGACAGTGGAATTTGCTGCCAAGGAGTGTGGTGGAGTCTCCTTCTTTGGAGGTCTTTAAGCAGAGGCTTGACAACCATATGTCAGGAGTGCTCTGATGGTGTTTCCTGCTTGGCAGGGGGTTGGACTCGATGGCCCTTGTGGTCTCTTCCAACTCTATGATTCTAAAAAAACCAACCATTAATAGAAATGTCTCATGTAATTCTGATGGAAATGTAGCTGCATGGAATGTACGTAGGTGTTGTGGTCCACGGAGCTCAGCAAGTCTTACTTCAAGTAAGTGTGCATGATTGGGCTTCAGCCAAAACATCAAAAAGTTATACGGAAAGTTTGGACAATGGATACAGAACAGAGGCTCTAAACCTACCTTGCTTACTTCTTTTAAAGCTCGTTTGCAAGCTTCGTATTTTGGTGACTCTTTGGGCGTTTTCTGGCAAATAGTCTGAAACAAGGAGTAAGCCTATTTAGAGGGGTGTAAATTAAGGTTCACAGTGATACGGCATTTCATATTGCATTTGCACAAAGCTGAAAAGTTCAATATTGCAGGGCATGTGTGGGGAATTTCTCGCCCTCCAGATGATGCTGAAGTGCAACTCCCATCACTCCTAGCCATTGGCCATGCCTTCTACTGCTGATGGGAGTTGAAGTGCAGCAACACAATGAGGGCCAAAGATCTCCCAAGATCTGTTATCAAGAATCAAAATGTACCACCACCCAGAGCACCAATGGGAACATGGCAAGGTATGTTGTTATTTCTTTCCAGGAGTTACCATTAATTTGAAACTCAGTCTCAATACTTGATAAGAGGGAAGGATTACCTTCTGATTGACTAAGGGAAGTGGTTGGACCCCTGGGTGACAAGGGAGTCAAAGGTGGTACTAAAGGAGAATTGCAGAAAAAGCTGAATGAACTCTTCACGATGAAATATACAGTGCATATCCCAGTGCCTGAACTAACTTCTGCAGGAAGGGAGTCTGAGACACCTAGTGGTGACAACAGATTAAGCTCTAGGCCTAACGGAGAAAAGAAAAGCTGGCAAATCACTGGGTCCAGATGGTACCCATCCAGAAATCCTCAAATACTTCCAATGCCTCTGCATACCTGTTGGGAATTGCAGGTGGGGCAGGGTGCTCTTGTGCTCATATCCTGCTTTCAGACTTCTCACAAGTGTATGATTGGCCACTGTGAGAACAGGATGCTTAACTAGATGTGCCATTGGCCTGATTCAGCAAACTCTTATGTTCTTACCTCTAACCAGGAAGAAGTCCCCCAAACCCCATTTTCAGTTATACTTAACACACTTCCCTCCCTTCCTTTCTACTTCCAAGATGGAAATGCCTGCTTCCCATCCTATGCCAACTCTAACAAGAAACTGATTCCAAGTATTTCATTAGCGAAGCACCAATATATTTGCAATTCAGAACTTCTGAGATAGTAAATGTAATTCAAAAATTTCTCTTTCTGAGGAACACCATAAAAGTAAAAGGAGTCTGATCGTTACATCAACATTTTGTAGACTTGCTTTCATTAGCAAGCTATGAAAACAAAGCAGAACCAAAGCAAACATCCTGCACTTATATGTTTCTAATGACGAGGGGGACGTAGTATGTTTTTTTGTGAGAGAAGCCAAAACGCTATATTAAACAGTTCCCTTGCAGTATGTTGCTTTTACAGGCGGAATGCAGTTCGGAGAATAATGATTCCTGAATTTCTGGCACACAGACCTGAGCAAAATTAATTACAACGAAAAGGTCTTCATGAAGAACAGACCTAGTGCTGATTGGTATAGAGAGTTATGGAGGCAGGAGATCCACCTCCTGCTGAGCAACTCAGACCTTTGCAGTTTAGATTTTGCCTCTATCGTTAAGCAGGAACAGTAGTAAAGTTTTTGAAGTAAACAGGGTATCAACTTTGTGAAACACTTTATCCTTTTAAAAGTTTAATGTATTGCCATCACAATTATGCCAAAGCTGAAATTATTGCATAGGCTGCTAAATAGCTTCTGAGCTAAGTTCAAGGTGCTGGTACACGTGTGCAAATCCATATACAGCTCTGATGTCAGAATCAAGCCTTCATTGTAGCAGCACCTACCTGAACTCCCTCCTACTATGTCAGACAAGTGTCTTATTCTGATACCTGTTGGAGATGTTCCTCTTCTTCTAAACAAATACAAATTTCAGCTCTTTCTGTTTGCTATGTGCAATCAATTTTAAATACTCTGAAGTGTCTGGATGAGGATTTATTTTGGGAAACACCTCTCAACGAAACATTATTTTCGCATCAAGTGTTAAGGCTGAAACCCCGACGCGCAGCAATTTATTTAAAAAAGGGAATGTTAGCAATTAAGATGACTAAGAACTATATTTTAGATTTCTTAAATTTGACTGCCTTTTACATAAGTTCTCAACAGAGTGCTTTCACAGAAGTAAATTAGTGCTTTCTCCTAATTACATCCTAGCTGATGGAGCATTACTTTAGACATATGACAACTGGTTTAAAATTGACTATTTTTTACTTGAAACTGCTATGAAAACTTATTTCATATAATTTCCCCTCTTAAACTGAGAATTGTTTTGCGACGTTCAGCTATAAAAGCCATTGCTTCAGTATTTTACAAGTAAATACAGTGGTACCTCTGGTTACGAACTTAATTAGTTCTGGAGGTCTGTTCTTAATCTGAAACTGTTCTTAACCTGAGGGACCACTTTAGCTAATGGGGCCTCCTGCTGCTGCCGTTGCGCCGCCACCACACAATTTCTGTTCTCATCCTGAGGTAATGTTCTTAACCCGAGGTACTACTTCCAGGTTAGTGGAGTCTGTAACCCAAGGTGTTTCTAACCCGAGGTGTCTGAAACCCGAGGTACCACTGTAATGACATTCCCATAATAATAATAATAATAAAACAGTCCCAGCATAAAAAGAATTTTGCTGGATGAGGCCAAAGGTCTATCTAGGCCGCCATCTTGTTTCCCACAGTGGACAACCAGATGCCTATAAGCATGGTGCATCTGAGCATGGAGTTATGACCATCATGACAAGTAACCATTGATAGTCATCCTTCATCAAAGAAACATCAAATACAGGGACAGAAGTAAGGCCCATTACTGGCAAGAGTGCAGGAAAAACAATGACTGCAATCCAACACACAGTTAATATACCTAAATCCCAGAGAGGTTGATGGGACCTAGGCTGCCCAGCAGAAAGTCTCCCTCAGACCAGCGATCGCATGCCTGAGCAGACATGAGGTGTTAACAATGTCCAAATCAGGGCACCCGGTGCAATGGACACTCATGCCAAAAATGAACAGGAAAACCTAGACTTTTTCTTAACAACAAGGCAATCAAGTGTAACGAAAAGCTGAGCTAAAATGGTGGTGGCAGCAGACAAAGCATGGTTTCTAAAACCAACTTTAAATACAGATATACAGTTTGAAATATGCCGCTCTTACATCCATCAGCAGCGGAAGTCGCGTGACCCTCTGCATTGGGAGAATGAGGAAAGAAATCATAGGTAAGTTTCTGCATTCTTCTTGGGACTCAATCCGCGACAATACTTCCTTGAATGCTGGATTCGTAGCCCTAACCAAAAACAACAATAATTTTAAAGAGAGAATTAATTTAGAAGTTACTTATGAATCCTATGAATTTTTTGTTCGGTTGTTTGTCAGGTACTTTCTCAGAAACTGTGCTGATGCTTTTCTGTGCCTAAGATTCCCCAACCTCGTGTGGACAATGCTGAGCTAGGTGGACCAATGGTCTGACTCAGTATAAGGAAGCTTCCTAGGTTTCTACACATGGAAATACATCATGAAACAGTAGGCACTGCTTCTCCTGTGTCACTGATAGGAACTAAGGAACACAGAAAGATCCCTTACACTGAGTCCATCAAGCTCTATACTGTCTACAATGACTGGCAGATGCTTTGGTATTTCAAACAGAGGTCTCTTCCCAGCCCGATCTTTAGATGTTGGAAACGGTACCTGGGACCTCCTGCCTGCAAAGCACATTGCTCTGCCAATGGACTCTGGTCCTTCATTCACCAAATTCCTCAACTACTTTCCTCTCTTGTTTGTTACAGGACAAATTCATAAGAGGCTGCGGGGAAAGGTGAACAAGAGGATGGACTGGTGAAGAAATGGGGTTTGAGGATCAGCAGCTGGAAACTCCTTCAATGCCTTGTACCATTTTGCATCTATAGAAACCATTTACAGGCAAGGAACATGCAATTCTATGGCCACATTTCTGCTCAATAAGCTGACACATGAATGAGTTTTTAGCCTACGTGCACAGACCCTTCATTCTTCCCTTTGCCTAAACCAGTAAACAAACCAGGAACTCCTTCCTTCCATTAGCTATGGTGTCCCATTCCACCCAAACTGGAAAAGTGTTGTTAGCAGCTTCAGAACAAGGCAGGGATATTCAACCGTGGTTTCAAGCTGGCTAAATATCCCAACTTTTGTTCTGAAGCTATTAACTAGAAACTTCTTCCAGTTTAGTAAAATATAGTTCACTGAAGAACTTTGGAGTTTGCTTGCCATTTTCGGACAAAGGGCTTGTTCGTGCTTTGGCATATTAAGTCAAAATATTATCATCTGAACTCTCCTGTGAGTGTGTGTGTAATCAATCTCTCAAATCTCCAGTAATAGCATTAAATGCAGGATTTGAGCAAAATCAAGATCTCTGCAGCTAGTACAACCCACCTCCCTCCATGAGTTCTGCTGAATGAAGCAGAACATATTAAGGAACTATGAATTATGAATAATTAATTGCCTAATTCAGACCTTGTCCTTTTAAGTTGCAAACATTTGAATTAAAAGGGCTATTTCATTTATCAGGGAAAGGGAACTTCAGGCCCAGGTGGAAACTTGGTCCTCCAGAACTCTCTACAGTGGTATCTTAGTTCTTGAACTTAATCCATTCCGGGAGTCCGTTCGACTCCTGAAACTGCTCAAAAACCAAGGAGCAGCTTCCGATTGGCTGAAGCAGCTTCCTGCACTCAAGCGGAAGCCACGTTGGACGTTCAGCTTCTGAAAAACGTTCGCAAACCAGAACACTTACTTCTGGGTTTGTGGCATTTCGGAGCCGATTTGTTCAGCAGCTAAGCCATTTGGGAACCAAGGTATATGGTCCCTGGGACTCTCCCGAGGCTATACTCTTTACTTGCCCTACCTTTCGGCCTCCTTGAGTGTTTTTGCCTGTCTGGATATATGCTGCTGAACTCTTATAATGCTTCTTTGCTAGTCTTGGAATTACCCAATAGTGGAAACGTAAAATTTACATTTGTTGCTTTGCCTTTGGCTCTACTCACCACACCCATGTGGCCCCACTGGAAGATTTTACAGAAGGAAATGGGCTCATCAGGATAAAAAACAGATTGCATACCCATGATATAAATAGCAACTTCAATTACTTACAGTAGTTTCTGGAGTGTTCGCTGCTGGTAGACTTCATTTGTGCAATATTTCACATAAGGGTCAAAGGTTGATGCAGTATGCTTTTCCACAATATCACTGATATCATCTATGAAGATATTATTCTGATGCCTTGCTTCAAGCTCTCTAAAGAACCTAAAATGGAACAGAGCAAATTTACAAAACATAATTTATCAGTATATTATCTGAAAGGCTAAGAGGTCTTTAAGTGACTTCATAACCAAATAATTATATGCTGCAGTACAGAGATAACTAGAACAGCCTACAGAATCTCATGCCAGAGCCATGACCTGTCTCTTTCTCTGAAAATCATACATATGCTTTTATTGCCAGTAGAAATTGGTGTTCGTGTTCGTGTGTGTGTGTGTGTGTGAGAGAGAGAGAGTGAGTGAGAGAGAGAGAATGGAAGATAAATGAATAACCTACCACAATACAGATGACAAACCAACATATTTCATTGACTACATTACAAGGAACTGAACCAAAAGGAATGTAGGACTATGAATTCGTTTTGAATAAAGGAAAGCTTAAACTGAATGGAGCCCATTCCTTGCTTATTTGTACCATTTGGGATGGGCATGGGAGATTAGCTGCCTTGAGTGGCAACAGGAACAAGTAGCTACTCCTGGCAGCTGCCACCCACCCCCTCCCCATGCTCCAGATGCTGTATTGTTTTCCTGCACTGTTCTCCCCCACCAAAAAAAAGGTAGTTACCATTTCCCCAAAAAATGTACAAAAATGACACAATGTATAGCAAAGATAGCTTATGTAGCGAAGTTGAATTTGAATTACAAAACTAATGAAATTGTAATGAATTTATATCAAAGTTGTAATGAATATGAATGGCATACTGAAACAGATTGGATTTTTTTTGCACACCTCTAGTTCAAGCAATATACCCATTGTACTGCTGCTATGTAAAAATGAAAATATAGAAGGTGTAAAGTATTCATGAATCGTATAAACTGAACTGCTAATGCATTCAAGATTTTTATGATAAACAGATCCAAATGGAGATGAAATCATGTTTTCTATAAAATGTTGCATACTTTCTATGCTATTTTATTCACAGTGAAAATATAAGGTCCTCAAATAATATAAACACCATGCAGAAATTTGAATGTAAGTGTTCCACTCAAATGTAACTTCACAGCACTTATCTAGAGAACATGATGTGTCTACTTCCTATGTTTCCGCTACTGTAAAAAAGAACCATGAAATTTGTTCTCTGTAGCCAAGTGGACTTTTTATACATTTATTCCTATTATTTCCTTGAAGACTGCTGTTACTGCAAGCCAAGGTTTGGCTTGTGGCTTCACTGGATTCTAATCTTTGAAATATCTGGTTATGTGTTATTTCTTATATTACTTATTGCATGTTGCTATTTGTAGGTTTTTTAAGTAATTGAATTTATATCAATATATAATTCCTGGGCAACTATTTATATGTTACTTAAATAGTGGGAGAGAAAGCCATAACTTATGATGCGCCAAGCCAAATATTAAGTACAAGGAGCTGAACAGTGACCTGTTTTTGCTGTCCATGACTGCAATAATGATGATGATGATCCATAAGCACCAAATCCACAAGTTGTGTTTAGTGAATTACTGTTGTTTTTGGAAGGAAAGGCCACAGCTCAATGGTAGAACATCTGATTTACATGCAAAAGGTCCCAGGTTCAAACCCTAGCATTTCCTGGTAGAGCTGGAAGAAACTCCAATCTGAAACCCTGGAGAGCCACTGCCAATCAATTTAGACAACACTGAACTAGATAGTCCCATTATATTACTCGGTATAAGGCAGCTTCCTGTATTTAGGAGAACCTTTAAAAGAAACCCAGGTGTTATGGGTTTCAGAAGAGTACTGCTGTTTTCAGTTCTACAGTGACTTACTAATTTCCCAATGGTAGTAGGATGGCAGCTTCAGTAGCAAAGGATCAAAGCTGCCGTATGAATGAGAGAAGTTGTTGATGAAGAATTTTTTGTTTCCCAGCTTTTGCCCACAGACTTGCACCCTAACCACACAGACTCCACTTGCCACCCCAGACAGCAGGCTATTCCAGTACCACAGATCTATGAGTGGGAGACCTGTTTGTGTATGTAGATTGCATTTGGTAGATCTAAGCCAGCCATGACCAAACTTGACCCTCCAGCTGTTTTGGGACTACAATTCCCACCATCCCTGACCACTGCTCCTGTTATAGCTAGGGATGATGGCAGTTGTAGTCCCAAAACAGGTGGAGGGCCAAATTTGACCATGCCTGACTTAAGCAAACAACCGAAAGTTTTAAACTATCACTTTGGCATAAGCTCTATTGGCAAAAATTTGCTTACACTGGAGAAGAATTTGGTTTCATTATTTGACATTTTATGGTCTGAAGACATGTTTGACATTAAAACAATTGTGAATTTAAAGCACAACTATCCTGGCTATAAAATTTATGTAATGTCTTCAGAGAGCAGCAGTTTGTAGGAAGTTGAGATTAAGTCAGGAAAGCACAGGATAAATAATCTTTTCTCTTAAAATAATTTGGTGCATCTAAACATTGGTTAATAGTTCAACAATGTACATAAACCTTTTATCTTTAAAGCTGAAATAAAGCTTCATATATTTCCTCACAGGAAAGATCAGCAATTTGGTTGGGGATAAGATATCGTAATAACGCTTATGGGTCCATTTAAAATTGGGTCTAAAGCCCTTTTAACAATGCAAAGGGATTCCTTTAAGTGCTTTCCTCTTATCACTAAGAAGGTTATGAGATTAATTTAAGTTTAAACTAAACAAGTTCATGACAGCATATTCTTTTCCCATCTATCTCCTCATTAAAATAAATATCTGCTCTGCAATAATCTAATCTAACTCATTCTGCTTATTCCCATGATGCTCCATTGACCCAACTAAAATATATACACGGCTCTTTTGCTCTCACTAGTCAAAGAAAAGTTGAGTTTTAATCAATCTTTCTTGCCCAATGAGAAAGTGAGGCCTCTCTGAAAATGTTTTCTCCTTTAATTAGCCAGCTCTTGCTAAAGGGCTTTACTATGGAGTCAATATGTTGCTCTGCAAGTTCTTTTCAATTAACACCAATGCAGAGGCCTCAGTGTTTTATTGGGTCCAATGGAACTTAAAGCAGAAATGCAACTGTGTCTGAAGCACATGGTTCTGATCCAGCATTTCCTTGTATAAATAAGATCTTGGATGCATGCACAAAACTCCACATCCACAAACTTATCTCTGCGATATCAAAAACGGTTTGGAGCAACTTCTCCCACTGCAGTAAAGAGGGCTGTGGCAGCCACTAGACCATGGTATGCTGTTTCTGAACAAGAGATGGATTTCAACAACTAATATCATAGTCATTCTACAGCATATGCACTGGGTGAGCCAGCAAAGCTGTTATGGGTCTTGTATCTAGCCCTCCCTCTGAAACACTGGAGTCTGCAGGTGCTAATGTATCCCATTTTGTTTAACCCACCTGGGAAACCCCTGCAGCACTCTCGTTGCATATTGTTCACGTCTCCAGTGTGAACTTCCAAATAATGATGCAGAAAAGGAGGAAGAAAATGTGCATCTTTATTATCACCCGGGTAAAGTTGATCTGTCATTTTTGGCATCTGATACGATAAGCCTTCCAGACATTTCTGGACACCAGTTCCTATCAGCCCCAGGCAGCAATCATATCAGTCAAATGATTGCTGACCATTGGTCATGCAAGCTGGGGCTGATGGGAACTGGTGTCCAGAAAGATCTGAAGGGCTACAGTATCAGAGTTACATCTGTAGGTCCATAGGTTTCCCACTCCCATGATACTGTGTGGCTCCATCTTTAAAAGGTACTTTAAAAGATACTGTAGAAGCTGCTTATGGGAGTTCAGTTCCTAACAGGAAGTTTAGGGCCAACAAAAATAAAAACAAGTGTCTTCAAAGGGGTACATTCATGTGTATAATGCTCTGCAAGAACTACTATTTATGGTTACCTGTCACCAGTTATCTGTCATGTGCGAGGGACATGTCCAAAGCACATGGTGAACTAAGTGATGGGCTTCAGAATGGAAACTTTGGTTCAAAAGAAACTGAAAACAGGTTGGCATTTGTTGTAACTTCATACACTTTATAACAACTAATTAAAACTGTCAACCCTTCTTCCAAGACCTCTGGTGAACTTTAGTTCTGTTTATAAATTCTCTTTTTCCTTGCTTTCATGTGGGCCTCTTATGTTGCAACACTCCACAATACAGTCCACACAGAAAAAAGCAGCCTTCTCATTATACACTAACGATGTGCAACGCTTAAGTTCTACAAAACGACCACAAATGGCTTCCTTTTTACAAATCCAATTGAAAGACCCAAATTTAATACAGCCTGTATACACAGAAACTTATTTCTGCACCCAAATCTCCACTGCAGGGTCAAAGTGAAAGTGCACAAGGTGTGTTTTTTTTAATGAACATTAAATTCCATTCAGTTCCAGCTGATAAGAGATTCTTCTTATGCACCAAAACAATAATCAATGCAAGGAGACCTGGCAAAGTTACACCGAAGGCTGCACTCTTTCAAATATATTTAACATGACCAGCTGATGACATATTTCACAATACTTATCTAAACCTAACAGGAATGGAATATTTATCAACTTTCATGCCATACCACTTATACAATTCAGTTGCAACTCAGTGGTGTTATGCTCAATTTAGAAAACTAAAAGTGGCTCAAGAAAGTGTTATTTAAAAACACACACCTAACCATAAAAAGGTACTAGGTACAGCAGCTACTAAATTCTCTGCCTTTGATAAATCAAGGATTCAAATTCCTAGGACTCATCTGTACAGTACATATTACACAGTAAACGGGATAAAAGCAAGAGCTTTTTCTGAACTTTGTTCCCAGTAACAGAGCAATGGAGGCAGAGCTGGTTTCCATAACAACCTTTTTCACCATGTGACAAAAGCTTTTCTTTTACGACACATGATCGTACTGCAATCCTAATCCCTACTGAAAGCACTTTGATAAAACATAATAACCTTTGTCAGAACACCTTTGTATGCTCTGAAACGTTTCCAAAGGAAGCACAAAATTACAAGCCAGAAACATTAGTAAACAACTGAAACAATTGTTTTTACTATTTCTCCTCTTAACACATGGCACATGGTGTGTGTGCCCGTTTGTGTTAACAATGTGAAATTATTATATAACTAAAACATCCGTGCAAAAGGTGCACAGTCATTATCTAAATAACTAATAGCTCTTTGATTATTTCAGATAATTTTGCAAATAGTTCAGCAACTTGTCACTGAGACTGAACGGTCAGCTAGATTAGCATGGTTAGCTTACCAACCACATGTAACATTCACTAGTCTTGGATAATTAAACTACCTACACTAGACTTTAGCTATTTAAATGGAGCTGACAATCTTATTAAGTAGAATTAAGACACTGCAAAAATATAAACAGAGAAAGCCACGGAGATCTGAGGAGGGAGAGTTCATGGTTTTTTTCTTAATTCCCCTTCTATTTACCACAATGAGGGCAAATTGATGATGCCACTCCAGAGCTGGCAAAGTTTTCCGGCTGGTTTGTCAGGGAAAACCAAGGTTTTCCAGAAGCCACCTGCTCCATTCAACCCCCGAGCAATCAAGAAGCAGTGAATCTCCTTCTCCGACTGCCTCCCTGTCTGACGACAACAGAAAAGTTCAGCAGCCTCCACAGTTGCCCTCTTCGGGAAACCTGGGATTGCTCCCTAAAAGATATATGAAAAAGATTTGTAACAGTGCTTACTGTCAACAATAGTAAGTATGGGAAGCACATGAAAAGGCTAGAGAGACTGAAAAGGAGTGCTGAGGAGAAAGCAGGCATTTGAAAGAAGCAATGGTAATTATCAGTTTAGAGGCAACTCCAGTCCTTGCAGGGTGAAGAAGGATCGCTGCAAGCTCAGGAAACTACGGAGCGGTGATTCGATCACCACATTAACATGCAGAGTTTAACATGCCAATCATGCCTGTGGAAGTAAACATAGTTGACATACCTTAAGCTACACCACTGAAGCTTTTTATTTTTAAGGCAGAGACTGGGAACCTGTTTTCCTCCAGATGTTGCACTACAACCCTGGCTAGTGGCCAAGTTAGCTAGGACTGATTTTCTAGAGTCCAGCAATATTTGGAGGGCCACAGGTTCCAAATACCCAGTTTAAACTGTACGCTTAGAAAGGAGCGCACCACTTTAATTCAGATTAAATTTAATTTGTCACCTTCTTATCCACCACTGGGCATTGCTTTCTTTACAAGATACCAAAAAATCTTTAGTGGAGGTCAGTGAGTAAGTGTGTCAAGTTTAACGCTTCAAACCCCAAGCAAACATCCAACCCACTACACATAGCTAAATATTAATCTCTCACCAAGTTGATTTAAGCAAGATAGTTTTTGGGCCCTGCACAAGCAAAACCTCAACACGTGGATAACTTGTGCAAAAGAAAATATACAAGATAGAATTGTTTTGGACACTTCATTTTTTACATCGCAGGTGTAATTTAACTGAAGTTAAAACTGGAACTGAGCCAAAGAGGGGAAGCTCGCCGCTTTTGTTTTGCTGGGAGATTGTGAAAGAGAATAAAGGGCTTGCCTAAACAGGAACTGCTAAATTCACTCTGAATTGACTGAAACTACCTGGAAGCAGACAAAAAATAATAATTTAAAAATATTTAAAGTACTTCCACTGTGTTAAAAAAAAGGGGGGGGAGAATTACATATGCTAGAGCAATGAGGGACAGGTCAGAGCAATAGCAAGGTCAGAGCTAATTGGTTCCACCAATGTGCTTGAACTGCTCTGACCTCAAAATAGCCACTATGCCTTGCCCTCTGACCATTCTGGTACACAGCACCAATGCCACCAGAAGGAAGTCAGGATCTGTGCTCCCTGCTAGCCACTACTGAGCAATCCCGTACTCTGGTGGCTGCCCTGGGCTCCTTTGGGAGAAAGGGCACTACAGTGGTACCTCAGGTTACATATGCTTCAGGTTACATACACTTTAGGTTACAGACTCCGCTAACCCAGAAATAGTACCTCGGGTTAAGAACTTTGCTTCAGGATGAGAACAGAAATCGTGCTCTGGCGGTGCGGCAGCAGCAAGAGGCCCCATTAGCTAAAGTGGTGCTTCAGGTTAAGAACAATTTCAGGTTAAGAACGGACCTCTGAAAGGAATTAAGTACTTAACCCGAGGTACCAATGTATATAAATTTAATAAATAAATAAGTCAGTTAGCAATCCTGCACTCCAAACTACAGCTACACCGTTGAAACAGCAGCCATATCCAATACTCACTCAACCAAAAGGGGGAAATATGGGGGCGGGGAGAGAATCCCCAAACAGCAGATTAATTGAGGAGGGAGAGACAGCAAGTGCACATCCAGCATCATCAGTAAAGCTCACGTATCAGTGCCTGCAACAATGGCCACAAGCAGCCCACAGCCAGACGAAGACAACGGCCACACAAGAATGAGGACATGCCACCAGCACACAAATCCTGCATTACAACACCCAACATACAAAGCGACTCCATAAAGCCCCCACTCCGTAAGCTGCAGTGACCTAGCTAGCAGCAACCCTGCTATTGCCACTACCCAGGCTAGACTGCAGGGCTGGTGTTTGCATCTCCTGATGCTGCTCACGAGCACAGTTTTAGAGCACAACACAGAGGAAAGGAAGAAGAGCCTACACAACACACAGCATCCACAACACCCATGAGCTGAAGGGTCAGCACACAGTCCTCCTTAGAATAAGGGTTCAAGACCAAACCAGGGAGTAAAAGACTCTTCCACCAAGTCACCAAAGTAGGGCTAGGTCATGAAACAAGGAGAGCAAACCCATGCAGAGAGTGGGGTGGCCAGGTATACTTGCCCGGGTCCTTGGAGTGCTAAACTGGCCAGGGCCAGGGATCTGCCATTTTTGTTTGAGCTTATAATTTATTCTAGGAAGAATCCTGCTCTGGACCCCATCATCTGCATATTTTGTTAACAACTGATGGGCTACCTAGAAAAACTTCACAGATCCTAATGACTTGGACAAATAGTATTTTCTTTCAAAGAAGCAAACACCGTCTTTCTGTAGCTAGGTGTAAGGTAGGACAGAGATGAACCGATAAGGCACAATGAGGTAACTGTCCACTTACGGAAGATGCCAAATGAAATGTTATCCTGTACAACAAGTTTCCACTAAGAGAAGGTAAACAGTAACTCAACTGATTAAGCACTGCAGCATTAGTCAGTGCCTGAGGACAAATATTATACTGTAGTTGTTGCAACTAGAGAGCTTGATGTACTTAGACCATATTTCACAGAATTTCACAGAAAAGGCTAGCCTTGAAGGTAGTTCCTCACAAGCTAATTTTCTGTGCAAGGTAGGTGAAGGAGCTCTTTGTTATGTAATAATGACACGTTTGGTCTTATATGGTACTGTCAATCAAGCAGCCACAGAGAAAACATAGGATGCTGTGGAATATGGGCTTTGTTTCCAGTTTAATGTTTCTATATAGCCCTGCAGTAAAAATTTCCACAAGTTAATTATGTAAACCACATCCTTTTGTTTGTTTGGAATCTACTGAAAGTGACCATGAGTCCTAGTATTCTGAGAAAGAAGAGCAAATATTTATCTATATGCACATTGTTTTAAATTAATATTAAAATCACTTACAGTGCAACTGTTTTATTTAGAGTAAACCCAGTGAAATTAATGAACATGGCTTGGTTAGGCGCATGAATCTCAATAAATCTGCCTCTGAGTAAAATGCAGTTCAACACCACCCTTTGTTGATTTTACATTTATTTATTTACTTTCACGTTACTTTGTATACCCAAACAAATGTCAGAAAGACAGAAATACATATCTTAAAAACCCCCAGAGAAAACAAATAATTCCCTCTATAAAACCAAGACAAAACCTATAATCTAAAAAGAGAAATAGCCATATTCAATTAATAGCCCAGTCATGAAACCATCATGCCACCTAACACGGATGGCATGAACATTTCACATCAGTGTAAATTTCATGAATTGTGATATTTATTTATTTTCTAAGATTTATATCCCGCCTTTCTTCCATCATGCAGTCTGCAGGCAGTCACCCATCCATGTACAGTGGAACCTCGGCTTTTGAACGTCATCCACTCCGGAAGACCATTCAACTTCTGAAACGTTCATAACTGAAAACTCAATACGGAAGCCTCAATACAATAGGGAAACTCAAAATGGAAGCCGCATAGCACATTCGGCTGCTGAAAATCGGTCAAAAACCGGAGCAGTTACTTCTGGGTTTTCAGTGTTCAAAAGCCGAAACGTTCAACTATGGAGGCGTTCAGTAACCACGGTTCCACTGTACTACCAGAGCCCTGACCTCTACCACTGGAATCTCTATCATCTGGCAGACAAAAAGATTCATGTTCAAGCCCTACTTCAGCCATGAACTACCAGATAGGCAGCTCTAGCTAATTCACTTACTTTAAGCTTCAGTCCCCCATCTGTAAAATCAGAACAATCAATAGTTCTTCTGTGGTTAAAGAGTGTGAAGTACTTTGCATAGTGTAGTGTAGGATGTTATGGAAATGACAGATAAAATGCCAATGTATTGCAGGCACTGCAGCTAGTGTTCCTCAACCTTCTACCTGTCCAGATGTTGGAACTACAATTCCCATCTGCCCAAGTCAGCACGGCCAACGGAAAGGGATGATGGGAGCTGTAATCCAAAACATCTGTAAGGCACCAACTAGAAGAAGACTGTTTTAGTATTATATGACTTTTCAAATACCGGTACTGGGTAGCATAAACACTGATCCGTTCTTAACGAATAGCATCCATTATATTTGCTATATATCATTAAATACACTACAGCAAACCATACTTCTGCTATTTCTTTTGATGACAGAAACACTGGAGAAAGCTGTGAAGAAGAAAAATTGCTCTTAGAACAAGAGAGCCATTTTGGCTGCAGCCAGGGCACTGGAAAAAAATAAATAGTGCAGTGACATTAAGCTAATGAAGTTCAACTGCAAGTCAAACAGGAACCCAAAATATTTGGACTCAGGAAAGACAAGAGTAGCAAGATAAAGTTATGGGACGCTGTGTGGCTTAATGTGAAAAGCCTGGGACTGAAAACACAGGAATCAACTGTTTGGAATTTATTGTGTTTCCTCCAATATCTAAGTAGTGTCTTGCTTCTCTTCTATGGTTAGACACACTTGACTGTATATCTATCTATCTATATCTATCTATCTATCAATCATCTATCTATCTATCTATCTATCTATCTATCTATCATGTATCATCTATCTATCTATCTATCTATCTATCTATCAAATTTATATCCTACCCTTCCTCCCAAAGTAGCCCAGGACATCAAATACACCTGTGATACAAAATACAATAAAAACAAAATAAAAACCCTCAGAGAAATTAATGCAAGTTTTGGACACCTGGCATAACCAGGTTTTATGCCTTAAAATGATGGGACTTCGTGTGACCATTTTTTCCACCACAATACATGCATCCACTACTCAAAAGCTAATAATAATCACACATTAATTTTCATATTCTTATCTTGCACATCTATACAAAACAATACAAGTAATGTATGGGGAAGAGAAAGATAATGTTCCTAGAATTAAGCTATATCATTCAATACACAGTGCAATCTGATGCATGTTTACTCAGAAGTAAGTCTCACAATGTTTGGTGGGCTTACTATGCTGGGTGTTTTTGGTATGACAGCCTAAACAGACTATCTATCCCACTGAACATCAATGGCCCATAAAACAAGAAAGAATAAATCCGAAGTACTGTCCAAAAAAGATTAGAAATGCACAGGGATTTATACACACTCAATTTAGATCACAAAGAAGCAACAACTAATTCCCCAAACTTGTTTTGAAACAAGAGAGTCAACAAGTATAAACATTTCACAACCGCGATTTTTTCAAGTTGCTGTAATGCAACTGAATCACTGACAACAGGGGTTTAACTTGGGTGAATCTTGTTCCCACACATCTCTAAATGCTTGGAAACTACTCTTTGCTTGATTCCAAACCAGAAGAGATATGGAGATTCCAAACCAGAATTAAAGAAATCTGTCAAAGCTTTTAACATTGTTCAGATTTTGCAGAAAATCACCTGCCAATTTTTACAGCAACACATTAGTAATCCATTGTTAAAGGACATGTGCAACATATACACAGCCTTTTTAAAAAAACAACAACACAATCTCTTAAAATATCTTTCAGGGCAATGATATACATCACAACACGACTTCAAAGATCAATCATTTTTAAAGTATTGCATTCCATTTTAAGAAACAAGAAAATCCTTAGCTTGAAGATGCAATTCCGCAGGCCTACGTCCTATTGATTTCAACAGGATTTAGCAGCACCTATTAGCTGGGTCCTAAAAACATGGTATGTACAGATGAGGGGAAAACCATAGGATGCGTTTCAGGTTTGCCTATTGTTTCTGCCAGGGCCAGCCCAACACATCTTGGCACCAGGGAAGAAGATCTACATCAGGAACAAGGGGGTTATAAATATCTACTTCGGGGAACGGCGGGTAATGAAGATCTACATTGGAAACAGGTGGGGAGTGAAGCTCTACATAGGGAACAAGGGAGGGGAATATTTAATCAACCTTACCCAATGGTTCAAGTGGTAATCAAAGGTGATGCCTTTGATCCAAGGGGGAAAGGGGCTTGGGGCTTGGTCTGAATGATGGTGGGCAGGAACAGAGCCCACGAAAACCCAGAAAGCAGCCCATGCCATTTCTTCCCTAGAGGTGGGAGCAGACCAGCAGCCCCCTCCTGTTTGCCATGAGGTCACTGTGCAGGCAGAAGCAAATCCGGCCTCCAAGGAGCAGCAGCTGTTGCTGCCACTGTGGAAGTAGCAGTAGCAGCAGGCGATGTATTACTTGGAGGCCAGATCTGCTGCCCCTGTAGATCCTGCCACCTGAGGCAGTTGCCTTACCTTGCCTCATGGGTGGGCTGCCCCTTCTACTGTAGTAGCTCCCACTGCTGAAGAAACAAGCTGCTACATTTTTAAAGTACTTCAGGATTGGTTACATGCAGGCCCAGCTTTCTGAACACAAAAAATCAGTACCAAATCTATCTATACATGGCAGATTCAGATATCCGAGAATTTTGTACTTCCTTGTTTCCCTTTTGCTGTTTGGTTGAGGATCTGTGGTCTGTATTTTAGTAACTATAAAGTTTCAGAAGGTTTTCCTAGGGTTTTTTATTTGCTTTAGGGGGTCAAAATTCAGTGGTCAGGAATGCATTAGAAATTTTCCCACAGGAAACAGTGGAAATTGCCAACTCATTATCTGAACGCTCACCTAATGAATGATTTCCAGTAACGCATTGCGAATTTTGTTATATTTTATTCTTCCTTAAAGGTAAAGAGACCCCTGACCATTAGGTCCAGTCGTGGCCGACTCTGGGGTTGCGCCGCTCATCTCGCTTTACTGGCCAGGGAGCTGGCATACAGCTTCTGGGTCATGTGGCCAGCATGACTAAGACGCTTCTGGCGAACCAGAGCAGCACACGGAAACGCCATTTACCTTCCCACCGGAGTGGTAACTATTTATCTACTTGCACTGCATGCTTTTGAACTGCAAGGTTGGCAGGAGCAGGGACCGATCAACGGGAGCTCACCCTGTTGCGGGGATTCGAACCGCCGACCTTCTGATCGGCAAGTCCTAGGCTCTGTGGTTTAACCCACAGCGCCACACACATCCCTTATTATTCCTTAGATTGAACAAAATGAACTAAGAAAGAATTAGCAATGATAACTGCCAACTGTAAGAACACAAGATGGATTCAAAAGGCATCACAGGCATCACATGATCAAAGCATGCAGTGGTCATGACCACCCCCTCCCCACAATCCGAACATTCAGATGGCACTTGAAAAGGTTCTACATGCATAGAGCCCATTCACACATTGGCCAAATGTGTGATCTTCCAGAGGACACGGCGGCTACATGCAGTGTTGACAGGGAAGCTCATGGAATCTTGCATCCCCTCACACATTCTTTCAAAGCATGGGTGTGGGAGGATATCTAAACTCCCCTTAAGAACATTAAAGTGTATAAAAGTTCCTGGGCATAAACAGAATAAAGGGGAAGGACCTCTGTTTAAAACTTACCTCTTGCTTGCTTCGCAGACATCCGCAATGTTGGAAAAAAGGTGATGGCTTTCTGTTTTGGTCATTGTAGTGCCCAGTTCTTTGGAGTTCTTAAACATCCGGATCAGGATTTCCAGACTGAGCAAGTATGAATGTTCTGAAGATATAACTTCGAATATAGCCTGCATGTGGGAAGGGGGAGGAGACACACACACACATACACAGGTCACTTCTTTTAGCTTTAGGATGCGAAAATCCAGGATCAAAACCCTCCCAAAGCAATGAAGTTCACGGGATGGTCATGAGCAGGATTTTATGGCCTGGTTGAGATATATAACTATCTCACTTGAATGAACCGTGATTTATGGGACTGAGAACTTAGCCTAGTGCCTGTGTGAACAGATCCTGCTTTCATAGTTTGTTGGCAGTGATTAAAACACATTTCCCCCAGTCTGGATATAATGGAAATTGGGTGAACAAACTTCAAGAATCTTGCATTGAGGCATATGCAAGAAGGGAGGATTGTGTGTGGCCACAATGCTTGTACTTGGTCCAATAAACCATGGTCAGATATCAGATCAAGATCTTTGCGCCTGAATTGGACCAACCTCTCAGGCTAACCCTCACAAAGAACAAAACTGGCAATAATGTTAAAGTAACTGTTATACGCAAAGTGCTTGAGAAATCAGTATTAGCAAATAGCACCAACTACAAATGTTTGCAAAAATTAAAAAGCTGTCATTTATAAAATATATGTTTGCTCTTTGTAGCCCAAGCAAAAGTCCCCCCGTTATTATTTTTAACTACAAAAATAAAGGGGGAGAATTGTGATTTTTATTAGGAAACCTTGTATAAGCAAAAGCCCCAATTAATGAAAAAAGAATCTCTGCATAGTTGAAGATTCAGCTCCTTGAAAGCAGTGGAAACTGAGAAGCAGCTTTGCCAGATACTTCTGCAAAAGGTCAGCTGGCTGAAAAGGAGATGGGCTGGTCTCCAGAATGCACACGCAGGCCTCCCACACAAGCCTTCCCAACCCACATTTCTTCTCTTTACTCTGGCAAATCCTACACAGCACTGCCTATCGGCCTTTTCCCCCAGCTTCTTTCCTTCAGTTAGCTGAATGCCTAAAACAGAGTACCTGAGAAGGAGACTTGATTCAAGTATTATTTGACTACTTATCTGTATACCACCACCAGTGTGTGTGGTGGTACACTGGCGGTGCACTAGTGTACAGGACAGGCCCCTGGCCCCAAAGAGCTCTGAAATCTGACATGGGGAAACAACACAGGATGGGTAGGGAGCTGCAGGGGCAGGAGACCATGAAATTGTTTCTGTTACACGTACTTAAAAGCTGATTGCACGTTTATTAATTAGCATGTCCCCATTAATGTAAAATATTATCTGGTGCTTCTATATCCACCAGTTAGAAATTCTAATGATTGAGCAGTATATAAATACCTTAAATAAATAAAATGCACATGTTGTTGTTGTTTGCAATGGGACGTATCTGTTGGGATCATGATGTGGCTTCTATTTTGTTTTTACGAATCCCTCAACTTATGACTTGGAAAACGCAATGATACATATTCTACTTTGTATAACTTAACTGGAGGGAAAGGAAGAAGCCACAGTGCTATCATTCAGGCTTCCCATTAATCATCTTGTCCCCAAATTTATGCTGCACTCACAGGCAATTTGTTGCTTTGGCTGCAATCGTGAAGAAAGGGCTTGCCTAAAGAGAGCAGCAGAGTTCTGTAAGTAATTTGCTCTGGTGTGTGTGTGTGTGTGTGTGTGTGTGTGTGTGTGTTTCAGAGAAAGGACACCAGAGCCCTCGTCTTCAATGCTATTTAAGAATTCTTTGTTCTCAGTTCCATCACAGCCCTCATTGATTCCTTTCAAGCTAAGAAATTCAAGGCGAGGCACAGCAGTTTTTTGAAAGTGAAAATGAGATATGGGTTGGACACTTATACATTCTAGCAAAGCATACAATGAAAAGAAGTTTTCGATTACCCCGATTTCAGAATACTTCAAAACTATAATCTCAAAACACCAAAACAAGGAACGTTTAAGCTCATGCATAATCTAGTGACACTAATCTGTGATGAAGAATGATAATGCATTTGCCAATTACTATTTCTTACTCAAGACAAGTGACAGTCCCCATGAGTGACAGTGTGAAATGAAGTTATCGTTCATTTGCACGGCATCAATACAAACAGATGTGTGAAGCTTGATAGCTTATGCATGCTTTGTGGAGCTCTTTAGAGACCAAATGTAAACAAATGCTTTGTATGTGGCCCTGCTGGAGAAGCAGATGCATTCAAGGATAGAATGTGATAATGGTTTAATGGGGAAGATAGATATGTATTCCATCTCCATCCTCTTTAGTTCAGCCTATTTATTTCTCCTTGGCTTTGTACATTATTTAGCATGTTGCATTAATAAACTGCAACAACACACACTGTCCAACACAACCCATTATGTGTATTATTATTTTTTAAAAAACACCTTACTTAATAATTTCACCCTCTGCCCCGTTTAATAGCTGCCTTTAAAAAGACATTTCTTTAACTATGCCTGCAGCTTAAACAAACCACTCACCTAAGTGAAATGGCACCAAAGTCCTGACTATCACCAATGTATCCTTTTTTTTCCTCTTTGGGAAATTCAACCTTGAAGGTACTTTCTGATTTACAGAGACAGAATGGGTTAATTTCTCACTGGCACTTATTCTGTCCTCAAGGGGGGGCTCAAGGGGGGGGACAGCATTCATTCCAGCATCTCTTCTTGCCATTGGGAAGAATAGTCCTCTTGCCCTCAGAAGAATGTAGGCTAAGTGGCTAAGGGAACAGCACAAGATACAAACCAGGATGGCAAGGGTTAAAACCAGTGGACAGCAGGTGATGGCAGATGTAGCACAACAGGCTAACATTTGAGGCAGTGTGCAGCTGGCAGTGGAGGACTGGCACTTCCCAGATGAGCATGAAAGGGCAGCTAATGTTGGCATGAGATGCTACCTTAACAATGGAAATCCAAGCATGCACTGGACAGAAACCGTGATTTTCTTTGCTGCTCTGAGTCCCGAAGGCACAAGAGAGGTAACTACCAGTGCAGTTGCTTGTTACCACATTGTATTTGGAACTGACAACAGCAAGTCCCATGACCACAAAGAGGAAAGGTTTCCAGGCCCACATCTGTCCCAGTTTCCTTCAACTGCCAAATTGCTCATAACCACCATTCATCAGAAGGTCTTCCAAGCCCTCTGAATCTCAAGTTGATTTTCCTGCTTGGTTTTTAAAAATCCTAACATTCTACAGGCCTTACATCTCTCGCCCCCTGGAATCCTATAAGTATCTCTGTGAGCTTCTTTTGACCTGATCTGTAGCTTATTATTATTATTTCATTTATACCCTGCCCATCCGGCTGGGTTTCCCCAGCCACTCTCAGAACACAGCTCCCAACAGAATACTAAAAACAGAATAAAACTTCAAACTTTAAAAACTTCCCTGAACAGGGCTGCCTTCAGATGTCTTCTAAAAGTCAGGTTGCTGTTTATTTCCTTGATATCTGATAAGAGGGTGTTCCACAGGGTGGGCACCACTACCAAGAAGGTCCTCTGCCTGGTTCCCTGTAACTTCACTTCTCGCAGTGAGGGAACCGCCAGAAGGCCCTTGGCGCTGGACCTCAGTGTCCAGGCTGGATGATGGGGGCATAGCTGTCAACGTTTCCCTTTTCTTGCAAGGAATCCTATTCGGAAAAGCTGACAGCTATGGATGGGGGTGGAGACACTCCTTCAGGTATAGCTGAAGAGAACTGCCCTGTCCTCTGGCTGTTGCCTAGCAAGTGCTAACGGTGCAACCAAAAGCAGATTTATTTATTTACTTCCCAAGTTCACACGTAGACTGGACTTATTCTAAGAAGGATCTTCAGATCCTTCCTTGTGGTCTTTCACTGAACAGGCAGTGCTGATCTGAGGGTCAGCCCTCTTCAGGTGACAGATCAAACCCATAACAGTTAGTGGAGATTATCCACATTTATCAAGGGGTACAGCAGTAGCACCTAATGGGCTGAGGAGGAGAAAACAGGAAGCTTTTAAGGGTCATTCATCCTGTTCTGCTTTGAAGACATCGGGTAGGACGAAGAGGTCCTATGTGTGGAATTCTGCACGCAGAACATTCCTGCTCATGGGAATAGGGGTGATGATTTCCCCCTAATCCCCTACAGCCCACAGAATTTTGCACAGGAGGGTTGAAGGGTCATCTGGGACTGTGTGAAAATCACCTCCCCAATTTTTTCTACAGGCAGCAACCTATGCTGAGGTGCCACTCCTTCTGCAAATGGAAGGAGCTCTTCCTTTCACAAGTGTAGCTCAGAAAGCAAACAGAGAACTGAACAGACAGGTGGTTATGAGTACGGCTGAAGAGACTGCTTATTTCAGATATTGGGCATGTTCACAACATTTGCATATTATTATTATTATTATTATTATTATTTATTGCATTTATAGATATTTTACCCACTTGCATTCTATGCAAGCCGCAAAACCCCAGGTAGTCTGTATCAAAAGTTAGATTTCTACTATAATTTAGTTCACAGAAATGGAACAGAAAAGTGTACAACAACATTTTTTTAAAGTTTTCCTCCAGAAAGCAAGCATAAAAGGATGACAAGCTTATGAAGTAATGAATAAACTGTGGCTATAATAATGAAGGTACCTCTTGCCTTTTCCTTTCTTCTTGGCTGATGGTCTGGTATAGCCCATTCTTCTTCACCTGAAACAATGATTAACCCTTTACATATATTTTTGCAATACACATGTTTCTCCTCTATTGTTTTCCATCAGTAATTGACTGAAATTTTCATTTGGATGGGCCCCATTCAAAACAAGGCATGAACCCATTTCCCAGACATAGGAACCACCAAGCCATAGAACATCCACCTTGTCAGGTTTTAGTCACAGCTTATTGGCACCCACCTAGACCAACTCCAGGCCCTGGTTCAGCACCTGAACAGCACCACCCAATTCAATGGAGACATACAACTAAGTGCCATCAGCATACTGCTGACAAATCACCCTAATCCCATGATAATGGCACTCAATGGTTTCATATATATGTTAAGCTGCATGCAAAATAGAATTTCTTCTTGCGCTATCCCACAGCAGTCACTATGAGGCTGAGGAAAAGTCATCCAATGCTATTCTCTGACCCCCCGTCCTGCAAAAGTAGGAGCATAACCACTGTAGAAGACAACACCCCTATACTATCGGTCAGCATCATTCAAAGATAAAGTTAAAAAGGTTCATTTCAGTAACTTCTCATTCTGCAGTACAGAGCTTTATGACCGACTGTCTTATGAAGGCTCTTTCAATGAAGGAAAGATGTAAAAGAAAATGAAATCAAACAAAACAAACAGGAAATGATCTGTTTCAATATTAAGAATAAAGAATTTATGAAGGTAGCTGCAGCACTCAGGAGTGGAAATATTCCTGCAATGATTTTACACATGAAGAGAAAGAAGTTAGTGCTTGCCTCCAAAATACGGTCAAGAATGTCCCTCCTTTTCCCCCTATTACATCCTGCGATAAAATGGCAGAATATCTGCTTCACTTTAGAACATTTTGGCATTAACACTGTGCTTAACTCTGTGCCAACAGAGGTAATCAGCCAGCGAACCTTTTGCTTTTCTATCCAGGATGAAAAACTGAGTATGTACCTGTAGTTCCAAAACAATCTCAAAATACAAGTTTGGCCTGAAAGTACAAGCTAGCACATGTTCAAAATGTCAGGTTAATTAATCAACAATTTGAGACATTAAACTGTGCTTACAAAAATGAAAGTTTTAGATTTAACAAATCATTGTTTGTGTAGTCCTACACTTTTATACATATATAGAAGCAGAACTTCACAGTAGGTTTACCCAGATTATTGGTGAAAGCATGCCCGTTCTACAGCCATTGAAGGAAATACCTGTATAGTTGTGATTTCTTTTAACAGTTATATCTGAGCAGTGATGTGTGATACTGATTTGCACACGCCCCACTCCCCAGATGGTTTCCTTCCAGTTGGGACTTGTTCCCTGTGTGCGAGCCTGACCAGAGACACTCACAAGCGTGAACAATACGTATCCATGTGTACATCAAAACATACAAATAGAACTAAAAAAAAAGCATTTTCAGATCTACGCATAAAAAGCAACATCTGAGAGATGGGGAACATGTCCAACTTCCATCAGCCCAAGCCAGCATGGCCAATTGCCAGGGATCATGGGAGCTGTGGTCCCCTAACACCTGAATGACTCTTTGTTGAATCAGGAGGAAGCAGAGGTTTCAATAGATGTTAAGATTTGGGCCCATTCAAAAGATTCCAAGTCCAAAAGGACAACAGTGTTTTTCTTGACCTTTAAATCTTTAATACAGTGGTCCCTCGGTTTACGAACTTAATCCGTTCCGGATGTCCACTCTTAAACTGAGGCACGCTTTCCCTAATGAGGCCTCCCGCTGCCAGTGCCCTTCCACCGTTCGGCTTCTGTTCTTAGACAGAGGTAAAGTTCACAAACCAGGACACTACTTCCAGTTTTGCGGAGTTTGTAAACCGAATAGTTCGTAAACGGGGCTGTTCTTAAACTGAGGTACCACTGTAACTGGAGACCTGAACACCTCTAGCAACACCCCTGTCTACCTCAATGACCCCGCTGCTTGGCCATCCTCCAAATTAAAATGTACAAAAGGGGCAGCATAAGCTCACAGGCAGAACCAACCAGGAGTTTGTGGCTTTGCACCTGCACAGCCCTGACCTTGCTGCAGCCTCATCCCTTCTGGTAAGCAGCAGCACCATTGCTGCCAGGAAGCTACTGCTGTACTTCTGGCTCCACCAAGTGACCCATTCCTAGCCTTGGGGGCCTCTTGGGCCAAAAGGCAGCATAGAAAGAAACTCTTTAACACGACAGACATGTATCCAATAAATCTAAGTTTAAAAGTACCGGGTATTCAGCTAACGTCTACTCAGAGCCAACCTAATGGAATAAATGATCATGACTAACTTAGGTACATTAATTTCAACAACTCTACAGGCAGGCCCCGCCCCACCCCACTGACATGCGTTCAATACGTGTGTGACTGTGTATATGCTCATCACGCCAAATCCAGAAGTGACCTGGAAATGTCAGAAGGGTGTCACTGAAACATCACTAAAAGGAAGGGAGGTGGGGTGTTTGCCAGCTTTTTCAATGGGTTTCAATTACAGTGGTACCTCTGGATGCAAACGGGATCCGTTCCGGAGCCCCGTTCGCATCCTGAGCAGAACGCAACCCGTGTCTGCGCGGGTTGCGATTCGCTGCTTCTGTGCATGATGTCATTTTGAGCGTCTGCGCATGCGCGAGTGGCGAAACCCAGAAGTAACCCGTTCCGTTACTTCCAGGTCGCCGTGGAACACAACCTGAAAACGCTAAATCTGAAGCACATTTAACCCGAGGTATGACTGTAGACACAATTTCATCAACACACGCCGTGCCTTGGGACATAACCCACAGACTCTGAGTGTTAGCTGAATTCAATCCACTGAAAAGGAGTGGGTGCTTAAATGGTTATTTTTAGACTTATGAAAAGAACTGAGTTTGCCAGTGTATTACAACACACGTTTACTCAAAATTAAGTTCCACTGAGTCCACTGGTGCTCCTAGGAAATTTGGTATAGAATTGCAGTCCAGTCACAGGAATGCAGTACACATTTTAGTTCTGTTTATAATCTAGCCCAGTGGGTTCCTTTCAACTTAATACTGTGGAGTATTTTCACTTCCACATTTCCAGTGTAAGTATCACACACAGTTCTCTCTAGCTCAACTGGTCGAATGAAGCTATTAACGTTCAGCATCATTTAAAAACATTCTAATATATTTTCCCCTTCACTTCCCATATAGACGTACAGCTCATGTAATCTCTCATACACAAGTTATCCTCCATTTATTGCATACTGTGAATGGGACATAGTAGCATTTATTAGTTCTCCAGTTATAGCCACAGAACTGTAAACAATGAGGGCTTTAAAAAGTGGGGTGGGGAGGGAACGCTTTAACTGTATCATGTCTCAGAGGCCTCGGAATTGTTTTCAAAAGACTTTCTGTTCCCATCCAATGCTGCTTTTTCCATCAAGTCAATTAAGTAGAGAGAAGCAAACAGCTAGATTAAACATATTGCATAAAAACAGCAGCACAGTGGTAAAACATGTGAAGAGATTTGGGTTCAAGTGGTCAGCCTCCACCCATACAACCCTGTCCATACTTTGAGATTGGGGAAATGTCCTTTTCTGTAGCGGCACCACACCTCTAGAATGCTAGCCATGTGCAGTGTATTTACACAGGTTTTGATATATTATTGTTGTGGCTGTACTGCATTGTATTTTAACTGGAAACACACACACACACCTCACTTAAAGGCAACACTAAACTATTTTAAATAAAGACACATCTGTTCATAACTAGGGTGAGGTCCTAATTTCAGTAGATTCCCCTCCTCCATACACAGGCCTCATGCCGTACATCTTGTTCCTATTAAGCCCCTTGATGTTTTTTGGAGGAAGTGCGTTAATTATGCTACTGTAGTAGAGAACGGACTATAAAGATCTGTTCCAGAAGCAGAAGTCCACTTGCAGTTCTTAGGATCCCAAAAAATATTTACATTTGCACACATGCACACAAATGATTTGCATATCGTAAGTTGTTTTCCACTGACTTTTATTCAGAGTAGACCCACTGAAACGAATGGACCCAATGTTTTCATCGCAACATTTTCATAGAATTGTAGAATTTTGAGTTGGAAGGGACATTAAGGGTCATCTAGTCCAACCCCTTGCAATGTAGGAATCTCAACTAAAGCATCCATGGCAGATGGCCATCCAACATCTCCTTGAAACCCTCCAATGAAGCAGTGTCTGCCACCTCCCAAGGGAGTCTGTTCCACTGTCGAACAGCTCTTACCGTCAAAAAGTTCTTGCTGATGTTGCATCAGAATTTCCTTTCTAGGAACTTGAATCCATTGGTTCAGGTCCTAGCCTCCAGAGCAGGAGAAAACAAGCTTGCTCCATCTTCCATGTGACATCATGTGATATCATATCTCCTCTCCGTCTCCTATTCTCCAGGCTAAACATATCAAACTCTCTCAACCATTCCTCATAAGGCTTGGTTTCCAGACCCCTGCTCATCTCAGTCGCTGTCCACTGTCCAGCTTGTCAATATCCTTCTTAAATTGCAGTGCCCAGAACTGGACACAGTTCTCCAGGTGTGGTCTCACCAAGGCCAGATTTTATTATGAACAGATGAGTAACAGTTTGCTTTCTCCATTCATTCACAACATTAACATGTCATTTCACAAGATAAGTTGCCCTAACACATGGGGGTTTCCGCTCATCAGCTGATCACACAAAATCACGAGCTTTGTATTAATTGTCAATGCACAGTGCAATGCAGAGTTGAGGCTTTCCTTTCCATCTCAGTAACATAGGAGCCTTATGATCTTGCTCCAAGCAACTACACCTATTGCAGAATTTATGATCCACCAAACCAAAATGCACTCTACCAGCTGTATATAGTGCCAAACTAAGATCTCAGCAAATCTTCTGGCTTTAGTCCTTGCCTTAAAACTGTAAGAATGGCGTGCAGAGGATGGGAGAGACTTCCAGGCACCTTTTAGTCCACAAAACATGACTTGTGGGCTGTCATGTGGCTTCTTGTATCATGCACTGTGTAGGTCTGACTGTGAAACATGATATAAAATGAACCCCCCCAAGCATCACTGAATGGGTTCCCAAGTATTCATGTAATTTATCCCCGTCCGATTCCTTCCTTGAAATTCTACTATATCAAATAATTCAAATAAGACACACTAAATATAGCCATTTGCTACCATTTAAAAAACTTTGAATAGTAAACTGAGGACAATTCTTCACAGTGAGTGAAGTCGTGAACCTGTTCTTTCCTTGCATTCACTTATTTTAATAAGAAGAATAAATGCTTACTGCTAAAAGTTGTTGCAAAGTTTTAAAATCATATACAAGAAGCCACCCACAAACCTCTTGAGTGTTTAATTAAATTGCACTTGTAACCATAGCAGACTACAGTACACAAACAAAAAAGAGAACTTTGACCTCTTGCAGTTTTCTTCTGCTTAACTGTTTCCTTATCTGTGAAACTGCAGGGAAGCTAATATCTCTAGCCTATCATAGGTGCAATTCTAATGCCATTATCTCAACACTGGGTTCACATACGTGGCAACCGCACATGTGTCAACCAAGGTCTTCCTCGGCACCTGCAGGGTCCCCTCCACCCCTCTGAAATTAGGCTTGAAAGAAGCCTTAGACAGTGGAATAGATTGTGGTGTGTGCTTGGTTGGGATGCTGGGGACAGAATGATGCCCACAACGTTTTCTCTAGCATGCAAATTTTCACTCAAAGAAAGTCGGCGACTTCTGCCTTAAGTGGCATGGCTGTTGCTTCAGCACGGTCAGTTCCCACGCTGCTCTAGTAATGTGGAGCCTGCCAATACCTCAGGTGATATAACATGGTTGCTTCCCATTACAGAATTCCAATCCCCATGGAATGGTCTGATGAGCAGCCACGTGAAAGCTTCTCTCCTCCTCCTCCTCCTCCAGCAGACAGAGAAGATAAGAAAGTGACTCACCTGGTGGGGTGCAGCTGCAGAAATATTCTCCTAGCAGCACTGCAGCTTACCAGAGGGGCAAGGTGGCAAAAAGGTCAAGACCCATGTAGTCCCAACCACTCCATCCTTACACAGTGAAGCTGCTGCTGCTTTGAGGCTATTGCTATGGCTCCACTCTGATACATACATGTATTACAAACTATGATTTGCAGAGAGCCAGTGTTTGTCTGTGCTGGCGTGTTGTGAGACCTAAATTTCCCGCAGAACGACATTAAAATAAACAAGCCTCTTTGCTTATCCTCTCCATTTTCAAGATACTTATTTTCATTAATTCTCTCCATATGGCTATTTTACTGAACATGCTCTAAGGGTTGCCCCCTTCCCTGCAATTTAAATTCCAAAAGCAAAGGGATCCTGAAGTCCTAACACAGTTGGCGACTTGTGGTTTGCTTGCATAAAAAAGAAAAAAACCCATAAGGCAAACGAAATTAGGAATGCAAGTCTAGCAGCTGTACCTGTTTACCAATAACAACCATTGGGTATTAGCTGCATACCCATAAACACTTCACTTCAGGAAGTAGTTCTGAGGGCAAACGAAAAGCTATAAAATGTTGGGTTGAAAAGGACACTGGGAGATAAAAGAGACTCGCTTATAAGCACTGCTGCATTCCAGTTTGGCTTCGGGCTATTTAACATTATGACACTTACCGCAGACAACTGACTCCATGTTGATCTCAGAGGTTTGTACTGAATAACTATTTTTTCATCTGACTTCTGTTCTTTCAATTCTACCTCTTCATCAGAATCTATATCCAGAGCCTTTTCTTTGTAGTTCTGATACAACACAGCATTTTCTACAACAGCACGAAAAAGAAATTGATTTAAGGAGAGGTTCTAAGTAACATTATTATGAATATGCCTCTCAAACTCTGTGGACAAAGATAGAGGCTTGTTCAGGACAATGGGAGAGCATAGCACATATTAAAGTAACAATAGATCACTGTACCACCAAAAAGATGCCTTCCACCCGAATTCAATAATAGCCTGTGTTCTTTGTTAAGGAAAAACCAGAAACACTTTTATTATTTGAGAGCTTGCGCTTAATAGAATACGAAATGTTAGGGTGAAGGACACCTGATTTAACTAATTAATAAACTAGGCTCTGGGTGTTTCCAAGTAAGCACACAATTAAAAAGCAGGGATTTCGTTTTAAGTAAGGACTCTAGTCCTCAGGACAGTAAAGGTGGGCTTGAAACATGTGCATGCAGAGTGTGATAACATCTCAGGGAAATTCCTAGGAAACAAACTTTGATGCCACACATTTATTCTCCCCCTGCCCCACAGATGATAGTGGAAACACCCCCCCCCAAAAAAAATAATAATATGCATGATAAGCAACCTGATGTGCATTTGCTTGAGCTGAATAATTTACACAGGTTATTAACTACAGCTTTCCTTGATTTTATTTTAAATGCAGATAATATAGTAACCTAATAAAGAAAGTTAACGGTCCAATAATTTATTAATCTCATAGTAACTTGCTGCAAACCACTAGCTGCATAATCAAATGGAAAGTGTTACCGTAAATGAAAACTAGCAGTTTTAAGGCCTAAGCACCTAAAATTCTCTACCAGAAAGCTGAAACTGCAAAACCTGAATTCTGGCACCAGTATATATAACAGTGGTACCTCAAGTTACAAACGCCTCAGGTTACAAATGCTTCAGGTTACAAAATCTGCTAACCTGGAAGAGTTACCTCGAGTTGAGAACTTTGCCCCAGGATGAGAACGGAAATTGTGTGCTGGCGGCACAGCAGCAGCAAGAGGCCCCATTAGCGAAAGCACGCCTCTAGTTAAGAACAGTTTCAGGTTAAGAACGGACCTCTGGAACTAATTAAGTTCGTAACTAGAGGTACCACTGTACTGAATATATTAACTTAATCTAGTTTCGTCTATTATTTCATTTATTTATTCTGACTGCAAGTTCAAAGCAGCTTTTGAGTTCTGTTTTCAAAGTATTTAAAACTTGTTCCGTTATTTTGTTAGGAGTCAAGGAGATAAGGTTGACATACAACATATTTGGGAGGGGAGGTTGCAAGAACACTGTGCCTGGAATCTATGCCACCCTTCAGAAGGAAGGGCTGGATATAAATTCAATAAACATGCTGGAAGACCTCTCAGCCTTTTATCCAGCATCCCAAATGATTATGCAATAAATGCATAAGGAACCCCTTTCCCCAAAGAATTTCTCCATGCATTTAAACGGAGGTACAACATAGCTGTCAACGTTTCCCTTTTTTTAAGGGAAATTCCCTTATTCCGAATAGGATTCCTTGCAAGAAAAGGGAAAAGTTGACAGCTATGCAACTCTATAAGCTGCAAAGGAAGCCTATACGTATGATCAAGCCTCTTCCATTGAAGTGAAAGGGAAGTTTGAAAGCCACTAACCAGAGCTTCCCAATTTGAGCAAAACTGGTTAACTGCAATTTGCTGATTTGTATGCCCACACACATGCATGAAGGGAGGAGAAAAGTGATTGCTTGCAGGCAGTGGCGGAGGGAAGCTGCTCGTGTGCCTGGGGCAGCGTGCCCAGGGGCGCCATACGCTGCCCATAGGGGCAAGGGCGGGGCGAGCCGCCCAAAGGGTGGGACGCACCACGGGGCCCCCGGAGTCTGCCTGCCTCCTTCCACTCAGCTGCCCTACAGCTGGGGGGGGGAGGCAGCGGGCAGACCGTTTGGGCAGCGCGGAGTCTGAGCGTGCCCAAGCCACCGCGTCTCTCCCAGGAGAGATACGTGGCTCAGGCGCACTGCAGGCCCCACGGTGAGTGCCGCCTGGCATTTTGTCACCCCCCCAAGTGGTGACACCCGGAGTGGCCCGCACCCATCCGCACCCCCCTTCCTCCGCCCCTCCTTGCAGGTGCCTAAAGTTCACACATATCTTAGTTTTCAAAGCTAAAATTTGGCGGTCCAAATGAGGCCCTTACGTCTAAAATACCTTAATCTGTCAATTACGATAGAACAATAACTAAAGGTACTTAATTTTATTTCTCATCTGCTTTTCCATAAAATCACCAGCAAGGCAATTTTCTTGCCATAAACAGTCAATAACGGCTATAGCTCAATGGTAGAGTATCTGCTCTGCATGTGGAACGTCTCAGGTTCAATATCCCCACATCTCCAGGTAGCTCTGAAAAGAGGGCACTTGCCTGAAACCCTGGAGAGCCACTGCCAGTTAGCGCAGCGAGGTAAACCAATTGTCTTGACTCAGCTTCCTAATCGGAAATACTGATATCAAAAAGATGCAGTATCCAGTCAAAGTTAAAATTTTCTGCACATGGAAACTTTGAGAAAACAATTAATTTTTTACTCTCTGCCTATATTCAAGGAGATAATAACAAGTTCTTATATGGCAGAACTCAGCACTACTAGCAAGAAAATGTTATTGTAAACACCTCCTTGTGGTTTCAGACCCTTACCACTAATGAACCATTCTGGTCACAGAAGCAAGGCCTCCACCCTGTGCAACATAGAAGTTACTGCCATTTGCTAACAAGAGTCAGAAGGCTTTAAACTACTGCCAATTCTCCTTTTAAATTCAAAAAAAAAAAAATCCTCTAAGCCCATGGTTTGGTTCCAAACATCTGGTCTGCAATAGGACTGAATTTAGCACTAGGTTTTCACACTTTCGTTGCCATCATATATTAAAGCGGAGGTGGGAAACCTCTGTCAGGGCCACAGTTCCTCATATGCAAGCTTCTGAGGGCTGCATGCCAGTGGTGAAAGCAGCCAAGTAGGTGGAGCGAGAGTTCGATTCTTACTTTTCCATAGTAGGCTACATGCCAACCACACCAGAGGTTTCTACATTTACCTACAGCCCCTTCTCTGCATCCAGGCAAACAGGAAACATTACCCTAAATTCATTCCTGCTACTCAACAGTACTCAAGGAGAGCATGGAGCAGGACTGGTGAGAGGTGTAGCCTAGGAAGTGGGAAAGGCCTGAGGAGAGTCGCAAGGCCCAAGAGCAAGGCTTGGAAGCCCACATTCAGGCCCAAGGCCTGAGGTGCCCCTATATTAAGGTGACAAAACAGCTAAAGAATAAAATACAAGAGGGAATGATGATGCCTTCTGTTCTGAGGCATAATACGGACCCACAACGGTGGGAAATTCAGAAAAGGCCACATAAAACAGTTATAAAGTTGGAAGACAAGACATGGCCAAAGAATGGAATGATACAGATTATAAAGAGAACCAAGTTCTTATTCTTGTTGTTGTTTTTCACTTTACAATGGATATCCTGAGTAAGAACAAATAAGTTTACATTAAGGCTGCAACTTAAATCCCTAAGCCACTGCAGTGGTCCCTCACCCCACAAACAGATCCACCAGTCCCCAAAACAGGGTGCTTCAGTGGCAGGGAAGCTCTGAGCCAGTTTGAGTGCCATCATTTGATGGCACTGTGACCTGATGCTACATCAGTTCCAGGCTGGCATAGTTGAAGTAGTGTTTTGCCTGCATCCCACCCTCCGCCCTGGCTGGAGGCTGCAGGTGTGAAGGCAATCCTATGCACATTTACTTGGTAGTAAGCCTCTGTGGACTCTGTAGGAGCTATCTCTGAGTATTTTTGCATAAGATGAGAATATGTGTGTTTTCATCCATCACTGCTCTCCCTTTATTTGTTTTCTTTGTTGAGTGGAGGCAGCAACTAAACTTGACCCTCTCAGTGGCCACAAACTCACTTCTTTCAGTTTCCTATGTCACGTTTCCAGCTGTTGTGCCCTTTACAGTTTAGCTTGAAAGCCACCTTAGAAATTATAAAGTGTCAGAAAATACGTATCATACATAAATATATAATGATGGAAACAGCAAATGGCTTAAAGCAGGCATGTCCAGACTCCGTTTGGGGGCACTAGTCCGGCCCGCCGTTCGGTTTAATCCGGCCCCTGTGGCAGATTATTTCCTGGGATAAAATCCTAAAAAAAACCTCAACAACTTCAATCCTAAAAAAAACCTCAATGACTCCAACCTTAAAAAAAGCAACTTTGGGGTAAAATCTTAAAAAAAGGAGGTCAACAACTTTGGTTGGCCTTATGGTCGGGCCCCACAGCCCTTCACTTCATCAAATCTGGCCCTCTTTGAAAAAAGTTTGAACACCACTGGCTTAAAGGCTCTGCCAAACAACTGAACCATTGTCCAGTAGCCCAAAAGGCATTACCAGTTGATTAACATCATAGAATGGAACATGGCATTGTTTCAAAGTAATGAGAACTGAAGCACTGCAAGAAGGAACTAGATCAAAATTGATACTGAAAGTTGAATGAGGAAAAACAGGTTGGTTGAAGTTGTGACAGAGCCAGAGTGAAATAAGCACAGGTAAAAGTTCTGAAAAGTAAACCCTCACTATGCCTGAAATTTTTGAATAGATCCAGCCCACAAACAAAAGCAAAGGCTTCAACTAAGTTTTTCTCGGAGGGAAATCCATTGAAATTAATGGCCAAGACTAAGTTAGGTCCATTAATTTCAATGGGTGTGCACTGAGAAAAACTTAGCTGAATACCACCTGAAGTGACCAACGAATTTGCTTAAAACACACAACTCATTTGGCTCAGTTTCTTCATACATGCTTTTTTGAGGTTTCACACATTAAATTGTCCAAAAAAAGTGTTCTTACCGTCTCCATCAAAGGTCCCTTGTCCTTTTTGCATTTTCTTCTAAGATTATTTTAAAAGAGGGGAGAGAAAGGAAAAGCAAACCAGTGAAAACAAGAAGGTTCAGCAAGCAGCAAAAAAAACCCCTAAAACTGAGTTCATTATGCTTTGCATAAAAATAAGTTCAAATAAGATACATCAAATGATTTACTTTAAGAAATGCCCCCTTCCCTTCCTGTTAAAGGAAGGATCATCAAGTCATGTCAGAAGTCAGCCATCTCAACAGGTCTATAATGTTTGGGAAGTTGTGGCCCTCAATTAGACCCTTTCAAGGGAAAATGTGCACACGCTCTTGCTATCTTCACTAAAATTAATAGAAATCTGAAAATGGAGGAGGTTCACGTTTACACCAGATTACATCACATGATGCATTTTAGTAATGAATTTTCTATCTCTAAATGGAATAAACTCCATTTTTTTAAAAAAAAAACATAGAAATATTTTCATTTAGTAAACATGCAAGTGACTTCATTTGTTTGGAACAGTCTTTAAAGTCGATGGCATTTGTCTAAGGCAGGCAAGGTTGTCTCCCATTTGCTGTAGAACAGTTTCCTCTAGTGTAGCCTTTGCATCAATCTGCTGCCCTGCATATGCCACTGGACTGCAATTCCCATCAACCCCAGCCAGAATGGTCATGGATGATGGGAGCTGCCTTCCAAAGTGTTTGGGGGCACCAGGCTAAGAAAGGCTGCTCTTGAGCAATGGTTTATAGATGTTTTGCTGATGGCCACTTCACAAGATAATCCACTTAAATAGGTGTACACTAGTGTAAAAACAACCAACTATGTATATCACCATGAATGCAAAATAATTAAGTGTCCACTCTGCTACACGGAGGTGTGTTTAGATGCAGGACCCCTAATTATGGTTAGCCCTTGAGTGCTTCACTATGCAATTTTAAGGCATCCTGCAGAAATTTTAATCAAATGTTTGTTATTAAAGGTATCCAGGACCCATAAGGTAGGGTGCAAATTAAAAACATCAAAATTATGACACGTTCAGGCAATCAAAGTTTTCCGCATCATCTTAAACATTCCTTTAGCAGCATCTTAATGCATCATTATCTAGACACAATATAATTAAGCCTGAAATCTTATGACATTTACCTGGGACATAAATCCACTGTGTGATCAGGCTGCAAGGCTATTACTCAAACATATTTAAAATGGGGATTAAATTAAGCATTCTACTTCAGCAAAGACATTAGAGTAAAATGACTACTATAAATGCTGCTTATGCATAACTGCTGTTTACATATGTTTAACCTAACTTTCCTCATTAGACTTCTCAATGGTTTAGCTTAGGTGCAAAAGCAGTGTTATGCAAATGCTGCCTGCATATAGAATTATTTCCTTTGTTCACATACAGAGGGATGTGGTAAGTGGGGTACAGGTGACAAACCTGTATTCAGCGGTAAGTAATGGATGAGAAGCAGCTATTGGTTCCTGTTTCTGTATGCTTGTCTGCAGAATGGATTTAAAGGGTAAGATCATCTGGGCACATTTATGCCCTGCAATGTCCCCCAATCAACAGTTCCAAGTAGTCCTTGCCAATAAGATCAGTGCTGCCTGCTCAATCTGCACAGGCTAATGCACTGGAGAAAGAAGAGTACCTGCATCTCTCTCTTTTTGCAGCTTTTGGGTATGTCATTGTACTTGACCCATGTGATTCACAAACAAGTGTGACTGAAGTGCAGTTACGTAGATCATACTGCCACAGAGGAGTCCAACAAAGCAAGACCCAGTGCAGTACAATAGTCAGAGCGACAGCAAGCCTCTACCCACCCACCTTGCTTCCGCACTGAGCAAAAATGCCCCCCTCTCTCCCCTGCTCCAATGCCTGCTGCATTTCAGACACACAGCACAAGGCCAGGAGCAGAAGGGGTTCCGGGTGACAACCAGTTTTCAATTGAATAACTAAAGCCAGCCAAGATTCGTCAACCTGTGTATGAAAAGTAAGTCACAATGGGTTTCTTAGGCAGGAGCTTCCCACCAACTTCACAAATGAAGCAGCACATCTTAATGCGCCCCTTTAAGAAATAATTTCAAAGGGTCATATTACAGCCTTGGCCCTCCAGATGTTTTGAGACTACAATTCCCATCATCCCTGACCACTGGTCCTGCTAGCTAGGGATCATGGCAGTTGTAGGCCAAAAACATCTGGAGGGCCGAGGTTGAGGAAGCCTGGTCATTTTACGTCAAAGAACTTCCTTGGCTTGACAGAATAGGTACTGATGCTGCAATTACACTACAGCTCAAAAGAGGATAAAAATGTTACAAAAAATCTCCCGCACTCTAAGAAGATGGCATTCATGTTTAAGTTCTGTTTGCTTTCTGTTCCTATCATCGCTGCAAAGTTGAGAACCACAACATTCAAGTGCTGGATGGAGAAGACTATGCAGGAAGAAAAGGAAGTGCCCATTTGTTTCCCAGCTGGTGCCGATAAACTGAAGGCAGCTGGTAAGTTTTTGGACACACGCAGCAGCAAAACACACGAGTCACAATACAGAGCTGACCCTGGAGAACACACTACCCCTCCTTGCCACAAAGCCTCCAACTTTCCTTTAGAATTCAATAAACCCTTCTATGGAGCGGTTTAATCTCCCATTCTGCTTCCAGCATGGATCAGTCATTCGTTCATGTGTGGGAAGGAGAGGGCAATTATTCTGTCCAGAGAGAGCTGCACCTGCCAATATTCTCCACCGTACCAATGAGCCAATATAGCTCATAGAGGGATACAAACCTGATAACCTGCTCCAACTTAACACTAAGCTGCCTTATACAGTGAGATCACTGGGCCACTTTGCTTAGTATTTTTGGTAAGGACCGGAAGCTGCTTTCAAAGAATTTTTCCCAGCCCTACCTAGAAATACCATTGACAGAAAACAGGACCTTCACACATGCTCTACACCTGAAGTATGTCCGTTTCCTGTGGAAACGTCAGATTGCATCCAATATTACTTTTATTCAGAGTAGACCCACTGAAATCAATGACCAACCTAGGTCCATTAATTTCCAAACAGAACTTAGTTGGATACAACCCATAATTTCTGTCTGCAGACTTGCATCTTCCCTTCATGCTTGATGGTGTGTCCAACACACTAAACATCAATGCAGACTATAGGATGGATTACCACTGAATTTACCATGAGCAAGTCGCGATCTCTCACCTATATCACAGGGTTGGTATGACGTTAACACACTACTTTAAACTGCTTGAAGGGTAGCAAAGATGCAAATTTTGCGTACAAATAAAACACATTTTTTCCCATTTTTAAAACCTACATATCATTGCAACTCATTAACAAAGCAAGTTTCATCAATTTCCTTACCTTTATTCTTCCTAAGCTAGAGAATTTCTCCTTATCTTCCACAACCACCTTCAGAACTGGCTGGGACATTCTGTTTTTTGTCTTAAAACTGGCACTGCTGTCAAAGTCAATGCCACTCACAACAGCCCGCCGATAGGAAGTAGACCTCAAACTACGTTTCAGCATCCCTGGGCTGTCCACATCCGCTTCTGCTTCTTCGCCTCCACCAGCTACCAAAGGCAACCCAAGGGTCTCCACCATGCTACGGACCTTGAGAACCCTCCCGCTTGGTTCCACATTCTGGCTATTAGCTTTGTTGGTTACTTTTATTTCAGTAGCCAAACTCTTGGGGATGATCTGCTGCTTCCCCACTTTCAACGCAGCAGGACTGTGCGTACTCAGAACCACGGGCGGCGTTTCTGCAAGCTCATTCTGATTTGACGGCAGTCTTTGGAGAGGCAGATGCTGCTGTTCCAAGGGAGCAGACAGGCAAACAGATGCCTTCTCTGAGCTTTTAGGAAGCTGGCTGGGTTGCAATGCTGAGGCGGTGGATGTGTTGTTATTTGGCGAATGCACGATTTCCGTAGGCGACAATCCAAGGCTTGATGAGAAAACAATTTGTTCCTTCTCTGGACAAAGTGCTTCTCGATTGGAAATCCTCCCTTGGTGAGCTAGCTTGCTGCTTGCTGAATTTATAGGACCACTGGCTGTAAAATTTATAGAATTATTTGAAACCATTTTCAGGACTTGGGGTGACTGGTCAGAAAGCCTAAGGGAGAGAGCCTTATGCTCCGGAAACCGAACCTTTCCATTTGGCACAGAACCAAGGCCGCAGCTGAAAAGCAAAGGGCTCCTTTGAATGGATCTGCTGTCCAGAGAAGTAATTATAGTTTCATCAGGCTGAGTTAAAGTAAACGTATCCTTGTCTTCCACGGGGAAATCTGTGAAGAGAACGCCAGTTGAGCTCTGATAAGACTGAGGCCTGGGTTTGTTCTTTGTGTGCAAATGGGTCTGGTGGGCTGACCTCCTCCTCCACAATGGTGCAATGTTGTTGTTGGAAAAGTCCACTTCATTTGGGCCATCCATAACCAAGGGCGATGGTCAACCCAATACTGGGAGAGGAATGCAGACGGCCCTTTTTAACAAGAAAACAGAAGCTAGTAAAACTTCAATCCTTCAATAGCCTGATACGCACATAACACAAAACTATTACAATTAGGTATGAACCCTACCTAACATCTTAAATGTGATTTGTTTACTACCAACAAACCACAATCGGAAGCAATGGTTTGCTGTTGGCTTAGAAATATTGGTTTGTTTTAACTACGGCACAGCATTATGTCTGAACCCAGCACCCTTCCTTAACCATGGTTTGTTTGAGCAACCCAGGCACCATTTGGCTGGCAATGTGGTGAAAGTTAAAGAGATGGAAGCATTTAAAGCAAGTGCAAGGTCCAGCTTAATTTTAAAAACCTGCAGAGTAGTGAGTTTCTTATCCTACATGTACATTAGCTGTTGAACAACAAAGCAGAGGAACTATTCAATTACAGAACTAGAACGCTTGCCAAGAATAATTTAGTATAGGTGGTTGCTGCCACGGTGGTTCTAGAAAGAGAAATAAAACAGGTAAAGTTATTGTTTTTGTTGGACCAACTTCTGTTGATGTCACACACAAGTTTTCATCAATTATACAGATAAAGAATTCTCCATCTTTCCTACATGCAAAGCCCTCCAAAGAATATTTCCTGCAATTACAGCACTCTGAATGGTATTTTATGAAGTTCTGAAGGCAGAGTGAGATTACAGCAGGCATGCAATCCGTTTCACTTTTTTCAACATGCACCTATGGCCCATAGGTGCATCTTGGGGTAAGGTGCAAGGAGGGAGTCTGCACAAGGAAAAAAACAAACAAACCAGGGCCTGGGCACATGGTGAAACAAGCAAAACTATTCCATCACTCAGCATTCCTAACCATCAACCCATTTAACACATGTGAAAATAACCCAGCAGCTGGAGGCAAATCCAGGTCATGAATTGATGACTGGGGGGAAAGGAGGGTGGAGCTACTTAAAAACTAGGGCTGGGGTCCAAAGACACACTTAAAATGTTTTTTTTAAAAAATAAATAAAAGAGCAGCAGACCACCATGAACATCAGAAACTACCTCCAAAACTCCTCCGGGTCTTTAAAAGGCTTTCCAGACACTGCAAATGAGGCTCCTATAGCCAAACAGCAGAAGTCAAAATGAAAACGGAGTGGCAGAGTTCCTTAGTTCCTGCCTCAAGTTCAGGTCAAAAGCCTGATCTCAAGCCTGATAAGAAAACAAGGAAGTGTAGTGACACTTATCACACTGAATACAGGAGGAACTTCTGCAATCCAACTCCTACTGATGCATTTGGCGAAGCAAGTGCTCGCCTTTGAAAACTCACACCAAAACTAATGTGCTGGGGTTTTTTTAAAGGTTGCAGCAGCTAAGAAGCACAGTCCCCGTGCAGCCCGTTTACTAAGAAGCAAGTCCCCACACTGAGCCCCGGGCAGAAATCCTGAGTGCATGTTTGCTTGGAAATAAGCCTCACAGCATGTAATGGGCTTTCTTTCCTCCGAGTGCATATATGGAAGAGGAAAGAAAGCCCATTAAATGCCGCGAGGCTTGTTTCCATGCACGGAGTTGTCCTCCTCAAAAGTGAACCCTCAACTAAGTACCCGCCACCGGAGGCGAGGAGGGAGTTATGAGCCACTTAAGGTAAGTCCCCTCAACTGGATTGTCAGGGGCTATTGGCATGAGGATTTCCTCGCGCGCTGTGATCTTTTTGAAGACTTCCGAGATGAAAGAGATCACACCTTTTTTCTAAAAAAGAAAAGAAAGGCCGCCGCGCTCTTTCACCTCCCGGGCTCTGCTGGAATTCCCACGCCTTTCTCCTCAGCTTCCATGCAGAGCCCCTGGCCCCGTTCCCACCGCCCCCTTCTCTTAGCATTCTCGCGGGCTTTGTATGTTCTTTCCCGCCCGGCTCCTGCGACCTCCCCACCGAGGTGGCGACGGCGGCGCGGAGTTGCGAAGAGCGGCCAACTCAACTAAGGCAAAACTTTTCTCTTCTTTTCCACAGGTACGAGAGGAGAGCGCGGAACTCCCTGCCTGCGCCACGGAGGTCCCAAGCGAGCGCACGGTCCCCGCGGCGCTTTCCCGCCAAGCGCCCCACCCAAACGAAGCGCAGCCGCTCACCTCATTTCGGCGTGCGCGCGAGGCAAGGGCGCTCTCGGTCGGCGCGCCCGTCCGCCCCACCTGCAAAAACAGAAGCTCCCTCCGCGCCGTGTCTCCTTCTCCCAGGACTGAGGCGGCGAGGGAGTCCCGACGCGGAGCCAGAGCGCACCGCCCGGCGGGAACTTGACCTGCCTGCCTGCCTGCCCGCCCCAGCCACCGTCCCTCCTCGCGCGCCCAGCGCCGCCGCGGTACCTTCGGCCCCCCTCCGCTGCCCTTAGCGCCGCCTCCCCGCTGCCCTTAGCGCCGCCCTCGCCGTCCGGCCGAGCGGCGAAAGGCGAAGCTGCCTCCCCGCGGGCGCACGGCCAGATGGCGCCGCGGCCGTTGCCAAGGTCCCGGCAGCAGCAGCCGCTTGGATTTGCATGCGAAGGGCTGAGCCCTGGCGTCGGAGCCGAGGCGCGGGAAGGGCCGCCGAGGGCATGTGAACAGCCCCCTGCCCCGCCGGAGCGTCCGGGTAGAGCGCGCGGAAATGTGTGGATGGGGGCTTTCGGATCCACAAGGGACTTGAGCCTTTCCCAAAGGTCCCAAAGAGACCTTTTAGAATTAAGTCATGAGTAAGGGACGCGGGTGGCCCTGTGGGTTAAACCACAGAGTCTAGGACTTGCCCATCAGAAGGTCGGCGGTTTGAATCCCCGCGACAGGGTGAGCTACTGTTGCTCGATCCCTGCTCCTGCCAACCTGGCAGTTCAAAAGCAGAAAAGTGCAAGTAGATAAATAGGTACCACTCCAGTGGGAAGGTAAACGGTGTTTCCGTGCGCTGCTCTGGTTTGCCAGAAGTGGCTTAGTCATGCTGGCTACATGACCCGGAAGCTGTACGCTGGCTCCCTCAGCCAATAAAGTGAGATGAGCGCCGCAACCCCAGAATCGGCCACGACTGGACCTAATGGTCAGGGGTCCCTTTACCTTTACTTAAGGAACCTGTGGCTCTCGATCTTGCTGGGGGGACACTGACTGAACTGGGTTCATGCTTACACGGATACCTGGATGGCGTGATTCCTTTAAGGCAAAGGGGGGGGGGGGTTCGGTGAGTAGGTCAACGTTTGACCTTCTGGATATTTGCTGAACTTCATCCATCCCCGACTATTGCCTGGGGGGCTGATGGGAGTTGTAGTTCAGCCACATCTTTAGTGCCTCGGTTGACTATCCACCCCTGCTTTAAGTGGAACAATTTAGCACCTGGAATTGAAAGGGGGGGAAGGCAATAAGCTTTGTACACCCAACCAACTATTGGCCCCAATGTGTAGTGTTTGTAGGGAAGGGAAGGATTAGAAGGATTGTAGGGAAGGATTAGAAGGAATCCCCCCCCCCCATGGCCATTGGAATGCCTTGGCTGCTTCCAAGTTCCCTAGGACAAAATTCCCTTTTGAGGCTTCAATTTCCAAGTGGCTACATGTCAGTGATGGATGTGGCCTGTGGGCTACCAAGCACAACATTAGTACATACATACAGCACATACCATACATGCATACACACAGAGAGAGAGAGATCTAACTGATTATCTCCACTTTCAATTCTGTAATGCCAAGGTTGCAGGTTCGCTCCCCATTTGGGACAGCTGCATATTCCTTGCATTGCAGGGGGTTGGATTAGATGATCCTCAGGGTCCCTTCCAACTCTTTGTGTGGCTATTGCCTTTGTTTCTGCATCCAAAAATAAGCTTAAGACAAACACTGCAGAAGGGATAGAACTATTTGGTCATAATACCAGAGGAAATAAACAGGAGCGTTGCTGGCAATCTTTATAAATCACATAAGCATGGAAGTCTGTGGTTTGAGGGATGTCGCAATTTCACAAGGATTTGGTACACAGTGTGACTTCAAGGAGAAGAAAAACATCTTCTTAGGTAATAAACACAATGATCAAGCCTTCTGCTTCTCACATACTCCGCAAGAGACTCCCTACTCATGTCTCAGCATCTCCCTGTTGCCAGTTGCAGTCATTAGAGGACAGGCAGATTTGTCAACTTTCTCTTTCCCAGGACTCTTGCTAGCCAGAAATGCAGCAGGTGATGTTTCTCTCACTCGCTGAATTTCATATGACAAATTCCTAAGAGTCCTGCCTCTGTCTGTTAAAGGCACCAGATTCTTAGAGGATATTTAATCTATCTTAACAGTACGGAGGCAAGATCCTGTTCCTGAGGCAGTGCTTGTAGTTGCAACTCTGTAGAGCAGGGGTAGGGAACCTGTTTCAGACCAAAAACTGCATTTCCTCATGGGGAACCTTTAGGAAGCTACATGGCAGTGGTGGGTGAGGGCAACCGATAGCCAGTGTGCACATTAAAATGTTCAGGCACCTTCTCTCACAGTTTGTAAATAAGAAGTAATGTCAAAAACATAATTACAGGATTTAACTTAGTACAGGAAAAAGGAAATGCAGTTACTGTTCATTTAGCTTTAGAACCAATCCTTTCCCTAAGGGTGAATATGGCTGGCATTTCTTTTCTCACTTGGTGTCTCAACAGCTGTTGATTATTCCAGTTTTAGGGAAGTAGCAGAAAGCTAGACTACATAGATCTTTATGCTTGCCCAGGGATTTTTCAGCTGGAACTTGCCAGAACTGAGTTCTGGCACCTCTCAGGTGGGTGTCATTGCCGTTCTAAGAGAACAAGGGAGGCGTTCATGGTGAATTCCGGCACCTCTTTTTCTAGAAAAATAGCACTGGTCTTGCCTTACTTTTTTGTGGCTGCAGCAGATTGTGGGCATAGGTTTCTCCTCAACACTCAGCCTTCCCATTTAAACACCAATCAGTGTCATTCACAATACACCAAGGATAGGGAAACTGTCCCCTCAAACATTGCTGGACTGCTGCTAAAGGCCTTTAGGATGTTCTAAATGCTTTTGGTGGTGCTGTGGGTTAAACCACAGAGCCTAGCACTTGCCGATCAGAAGGTTGGCGGTTTGAATCCCCGCGACGGGGTGAGCTCCCGTTGCTCGGTCTCTGCTCCTGCCAGCCTAGCAGTTTGAAAGCACATCAAAGTGCAAGTAGATAAATAGGTACCGCTCCGGCGGGAAGGTAAACGGCGTTTCCGTGCGCTGCTCTGGTTTGCCAGAAGCAGCTTAGTCATGCTGGCCACATGATCCGGAAGCTGTACGCCGGCTCCCTCGGCCAATAAAGCGAGATGAGCGCCGCAACCCCAGAGTCGGTCACGACTGGACCTAATGGTCAGGGGTCCCTTTACCTTTACCTTAAATGCTTTTTAATGTTTTTAGATCATTTTTAATTGTATTTTAAAATGTTTTATTTTAATTAAATTGTATTGTTTTAACATTTGATCCTTTGGAGTGAAGGGTGGGATACAAATGTAATAAATTAATAAATACTCATTTCACCAACCCTGACAGTTGGTCACGTTGGCTGGGTTTGATGAGAGTTGGACTAACAACATATGCATCTGCTCCTTCTCTATGGCGCCCAAGAAAATTAGTCCAAAAAGGACTAATCCTGTGGTCCTACAGTTGTAATCCAGTGTTAAGTTATGTAGTTTTCCGACTCATTTTCCTGGAGTGCTGTAGAGAAGGAGCAGATTGTATAAACCAAAGGTTCAAGGAAGCCACAATGATCATTATGCTTCGGTCCAAGGTTGGAGGAGCAGAAAAAAAAGGCTGGCTAAGCATCCTTGAATCCAGGGATCATTCTTCCTACCATAAAAAAGTGAGATAAACGCAGCAATGGGCCCTATATATTCCTTTGAAGATGGCTGTCTGGATGGCTGACAGTTCTCTGATAATAGCCAGCACCAATTGAACCCCTAGATGAGTGAATTCTGGTTGCTCCCTATTCTAATTGAACACAAGAAAAGGAGAGGGTTCATCTCTGTGACCCACTCAAAACTGAGCTGGAACAACACAGAATTTTTGGTTAAATTGAGAGTGAAATATATTATTACTTTCAACCACTTCTACTGTGTCCTTGCTTCTAGCAAATCAAGATAACCTGGTGACAGCAAAAACTGCAAAAAAATTTAGCAGGGGCAATTATAATAAGATCTATTATTTGATTATTGATGTAAACCTCCAGAATGTATTTTGTATAGTTAAGTTTTTACCTCTATCTTCAGTACATTATGTTTTATTTTATTGCTATGGCTAGTGGCTGATGCAAACAAAGATTCTTCTTCCCTCTCTATCTTATTATTTTCATACATAGGGTACCTTTTAATTTTACATGTTTCCTGTTCAGAGTCAAGAGTTACATATATCTCTGCTTGATTAAACCTGGAACCAGCTGTTCAAGGAAGAACATCCCAATTTATAAACTGTAGAAAATTGGGTGAAAGAAAGGGAGTATAATATATGGACTAGGCATGCCACCCCTTCATGGATCACTGCCTTGTCGTGGCGAAGGGGCTTGAATAACTCAGAGAAGCTATGAACTATGCCGTGCAGGACACCCAAGATGAACAGGTCATAGTGGAGAGTTTTGACCAGACGTGATCCACCTGGAGGAGGAACTGGCAAGCCACTCCAGTATCCCTGCCAAGAAAACTCCATGGACAAAGACAACAGGCGATTTTACTTTCTTGGGCTCCATGATCACTGCAGATGGTGACAGCAGCCACGAAATTAAAAGACGCCTGCTTCTTGGGAGAAAAGCTAGACAGCATCTTAAAAAGCAGAGACATCACCTTGCTGTCAAAGGTCCGTATAGTAAAAGCTATGGTTTTCCCAGTAGTGATGTATGGAAGTGAGAGCTGGACCATAAAGAAGGCTATCTCCGAAGAATTGATGTTTTTGAATTATGGTGCTGGAGGAGACTCTTGAGAGTCCTATGGACTGCAAGAAGATCAAACCTATCCATTCTGAAGGAAATCAGCCCTGAGTGCTCACTGGAAGGACAGATCGTGAAGCTGAGGCTCCAAGACTTTGGCCACCTCATGAGAAGAGAAGACTCCTGAAAAGACCCTGATGTTGGGAAAGATGGAGGGCACAAGGAGAAGGGGACGACAGAGGACGAGATGATTGGATAGTGTTCTCGAAGCTACCAGCATGAGTTTGACCAAACTGCGGGAGGCAGTGGAAGACAGGAGTGCCTGGCGTGCTGTGGTCCATGGGGTCACAAAGAGTTGGACACGACTAAATGACTAAATAACAGCAACAACAAGGCATGCCAAGGTCTTCCCTATTACCGGGTAATTATTCAGCTGTGTGCCTTTATGTGAAACTCAAGAATGAAGATTTCTTAGAATGCCCTGGTTGGTCATGGAATAAGGCAAATCACCTTTAATTAGTACATAGTTAAAAGTTGATATAGGTCCTGATAAAATGTTGAGGTGTTTTAAGCTGAAGTATAGTGCCAAACTCAGGACCCGGTGGAATTCACCTATAGTGGCAGTGCTCCCTCTAGCAGCTGGGATGGAGTATTGGGCACAAGAGACTGGTGAATTAGCTCTGGGACCTAGGCTGACTTTTACACAGTAAGAAACCTGGGTTTGTCACTGGGAATACACCTGGCAGGGAACTGTAATCAATCCTAGCTCTCTCATGACTGTATATATTCATTTGCCAACATGTGTTTGGACGATTCACATGCTACATTGTTTGGTGCACCTAAAACTATAATGTGAAGAAGAGGCCAAAAATTCCAGTAGGAGTAGAAAACTCCGTACCATTAAGTTAGGCTATCTATCAGGTCCTTTTTAAACTCTGGAAGTGTTAGATTCAAAGCCTTCCAGAGTATATATTCTTCTTTGCATCTGGGAGTTAGTTCCATTCCTGAGTTTCATGCAAAGACATTATTTTGGAACATGCTGCACATGCCTTCTGTTTATTGCTGTTAATCTTGGCTTGCACCTTCGAGTTTTCTGCCACCAGAATTCATTCTGAAATATTTAGGTCATTGTTTCTGAAACTGAGCTTAAAAGGAAACTGCTAAAGCGAGTGCACACTGGCCAATCCTTCGGTATAGGTATTGCCAATTTCCTTGTGCGTGGGCAAAGGGCCCTCTGTGAGGAGGAGTTTGCTTTTTGCTGTGAATTTCAACTTCAAAACATACACGCACCAAAAGCTTTGAAACAAAGACTTGGGACCACAGCCAATCTGCCCTTCGGTATGCAATAGTAATTCAATATCAAACGTTATCTGAGAAGTGAAAAATGTGAAGCTTAAAAATGAATTGGAAGTAGTTTCTTCGGAAACTTAGAATCAAAGAGTTGTAGAACTGGAATGGGTCCCCAGGGCCATCTAGTCCAACCCCCTGCAATGCAGGAATCACAACTAAAGCATCCTCGACAGATGGCAGGCCAACCTGAGCGTAAAAGACTCCAGTGAAGGAAAGTCCACCTTCACTGTTACTGTTTTGAATTTTATCGTGTTATCATCTTTCTTAGTGGGTAGCATGAACTGCTCTTCTAAAGAATGCTTTTTTATAGGGCAGCAGATTGGGTTTATAGAATCAAGGGGGCAGGGGTCCAAAAAAAATTGGGAACCACTGCTTTAGACAATCACATGTTTCCCATAAATGGGACCTTTTCACCTCTCAAGCTTCCTCCTATGTGGAAAACACCATCTACTGCCACACAACAGTGACAAGTTTGCTCTGGGCAACTTTGACACAGACAGTTGAGGATTTGGCAGAAAGGATATTATCTTGGATGAAACAATGAACATTAAATCAGTGTTTCCCAAACTTGGGTCTCCAGGACCAGTGGCCAACTGGTATATAATGAGAATTATAGTTCAAAAACAGCTGCAAAACCAAGTTGGGGAAACACTGGTTTAAACTGTAAGCTCCTCAGTGCAGGGACCTCAGTCTCCCTACCATGCCGTTCTCAGTCAAGAGACATTTCCTTAAAAGGAAATTTCTGATTTGGTAGTGGCAATACCAAGAAGGCCTTTTGTAGGCAGTCTATTTGAATGAAAGAAGTTAATAATACAATCAGCCTGAAAGCAATTCAAAGCTAATGAACATGAGGACTGTGTTTGGAATATTCTTATAATAGGAAGTACTTAGCTGTGTCCTTGGAGTCAGTCCAAGCTTTTTAAAACCTCTTTGAAACGGGAGATTTTTGTTTTTCCTTACGTATTCGGCTATCTAAGATGATAAATCAGTACTTTAAGGCTCTCTCTCTCTCTTTCTCTGATCCTCTTTTACCTTCCAAAACAAATTGCAAATAAATAGCCAATTAGCTCTGAGGTTAAATTTGTAGGTACTTATTTTCATCTCTGTAACTATGTCCTTTAATTTACATGGGAGAGGGGGAGGAGCTGTTACATTGCAAACAAGAGCCAGCCTTTTGGCGAGTCCCTAGACTTACTAGGCACAATTCCACCTTAGGCAGAAACTCAAATATAGATCAGGCTCTGTATTGTGATTGCTTTCAGCAGTATCTTTTCTTATCGGCATTATTACTCAATAAGACACAGTGGGGCGGCATCCCTTCCTTGCACAGCAGATTTCACTTTTGCAAATGCCAGCTGAGATCTGTCTCTACCCACCACTCACTTCCTGTTCATCCTCTTTTCTTGCACTTATGTTATTAATGAGATCATGCTAAGAGTCCTGCTGAATTAGGCCAAAGGCACATCCTGTTGTCTCAGTGGCCAACCTATAGGAATCCCGTAAGCAGGACCTGAATGCTACAACACCTTCCCCACTTGTGATTTCCAGCAACTGGTACAGACCTTCCAAGTGTCCCAGATTTCCAGGGACAGTCGGATTTACAGAAGCTGTCCTAGTTTCTGATTTGATGCTAGAATGCTCCGCTTTTCCTTAGGATGTCCCTGTTTCCATCAGAGAAATGTTGGAGGGTAATAGGATCTCCTCAGGGGGTTTTTCCCTGATGGAACTTGCCAGAACTCAGTTCTGGTGCCTCTCTTGTGGGCACCATTGCCATTATAAGAGAAGAAGGGGGGTGTTCATGGTGAGTTCTAGCACCACTTTTTCTGGAAAAATAGCACTGGACGTCCATATTTTGATCTGGGAAATGTTGGAGGGTATGGAATAGGATGCCCCTATTTTCATCTGGGAAATGTTGGAGGGTATGCCAGGGGTATTCTGAAGGCAGAACATAACCTTCATGGCTGATAGCCACTGATAGCCCTCAGCACCTATTATATTAAAGAAAGTGAAAAATGCGTTTCTGCTGGGGTTGTGTCTTTTTTCAAAAAAAATATAGCTTTCAAAGCTTGTGGCATTTCTTTCTGCACTTGTCCATTTCTAGTCGCATATCTCCAACCATAACAAAAGCCACAGGAATTTAGAAAAAATATTTTAGATCCAGATTGCATGCTTTTTGTTACTGACATCTTAGTGAAAACGATTAAACTCAAGTTCTGTTGATTTCAGTGGGAATGCATTGCAACGAACTTGATCTGAATCCAGGGTCAGCATCCTTGTCACTTGCAGAAGCCCCAGACAATTACAGGTATCCCACTTTCGGTACCTGAAACCTTTTGACCCAGCTGTTGTTATTTATTTATGACATTTATATACCACTATGTCCACACACAGAAGATGTCAAAGCGGTTTACAGCAATGGAACATAAAACCATAAAATAAGAACCACAGAAAAAGTTTAAATCTTGCGAGAGGTCTGACCTCATTGTTTGCAGAGGTCTTTTGAGATTAAGCCAAGGATCGTGTAAAATCCAGTCAACGGCTGCAGGTTGCCCACTGCTCTGGAACATATATGCGTAAATGACTTAAGCACCTAGTCTCCAGAGTCTATGGAAGGCTGAAGGCTGAAGCAAAACAGGCTTGTGTCAGATCAATTACCTGGATGGGATACTTTCTGGAAGTCACTTGTTTGCCGCTTTGAACTCCATGATGGAAGATGCATGAGATATACAAGAAAGCAAGACAATGAATAAATGAATGAACACGCATTCAATCCTGCTTGCAATACGGTATACAGAACAAGGAATGCATGCTGTCAGGTTACCAGAGGCAGCAATGGAGTTCACGCCATACAGAAGCTTAATTTAAACTTGTTCTTGTTGCAAAAATATGATGTTAGTGAGAGGCCAGAGATAGGACACCAGGAACAAGGAGCAATGTCTGAAGAGCATTTGCTACTCGTGTACATGCATACATGACAGATTGCTGTGTCTGCTGTAAATACAAATTAGGGAACCAGAAGTGCAAGGGGACCTAAACAAAGGGGCCTAAAGAAATGAAGGGGTGCCAATCCTCCCATTTTTCAAAACAGACAAAGTCTTTCATGGTGTAGAAAGAAGGTGTAGAAAAGAGGCCCAGACAAAGGCCTCAGACACTTGGGGTACCCCTACTGAGTAAATATGCATAGGACCGAGCCGCAACTGTGTCCCTATTTTCATCTGTTAAAAACATGTCACATGGGGAATGTTGAGACTAGCATCTGACTCAAGAACGTTTGGAGATAAAATGCCACATATGCTTTGAATGATCCCCAATGTAGCTGAGCCCCAAGACACGATAAGCATTTTAAAAGCGGGTCGCAGAACGAAACAACAAACCAGAGCGCATGTGAGACATTGTCTGCCATAGTCTGGGAGAGTTTGTGGTTGCTACTGGAAACGGGGGTGAGGGGGGGAAAGCTTTGGAAGTGGGCAGAACAATATCTGGACGGGGTCAGGGCTGCCTTGCCATTGAGAGGTCTCGTTTTCTGGGCCTGGTCTCCCCCCCCCCCCAGCCCTCCCCCTCTCTTTGTATGCAGAGAGCACATGAGATGACTGTGCAAGGGACAAAAGATGGTGGGAAAAGAAGGGGAAACCCATTTGTATTAGTAGCTGTGCCCATAAGACACTTGCAATCCCATTTTTTAAAAAAATAAAGATGCATCACCTTTTGCTTTCATAAAGCACCTCATTTTGGGGACATCCAATGTATGGAAGCTAACTGTTGGAAGAGTCAGGGCAGATAACAGAACGTACTTCTTAATGTAAAAGGTAAAGGGACCCCTGACCATTAGGTCCAGTCGCGGACAACTCTGGGGTTGCGGCGCTCATCTCGCTTTATTGGCCGAGGGAGCCGGCGTACAGCTTCCGGGTCATGTGGCCAGCATGACTAAGCCGCTTTCTGGCAAACCAGAGCAGCACACGGAAATGCCATTTACCTTACCGCTGGAGTGGTACCTATTTATCTACTTGCACTTTGACGTGCTTTTGAACTGCTAGGTTGGCAGGAGCAGGGACTGAGCAACAGGAGCTCACCCAGACGCAGGGATTCGAACCGCCGACCTTTTGATCAGCAACCTTAGGCTCTATGGTTTAACCCACAGCGCCACCCGCATCCTTTACTTCTTCGTGTAATGCTTAGTTAAACTATGGAATTCGCTCCCACATGAGGCAGTGATGGCCACCAACTTGGATGGCTTTAAAGAGGATTGGGCAAATTCACAGAGGAGGAGAGGGCTATAGTCTCCCTGCTTATTTAACTTATGTGCAGAATTCATCATGCGAAAGGCTGGGCTGGATGAATCACAAACCGGAATTAAGATTGCCGGAAAAATTATCAACAACGTCAAATATGCAGATGACACAACCTTGATGGCAGAAAGTGAGGAGGAATTAAAGAACCTTTTAATGAGGGTGAAAGAGGAGAGTGCAAAATATGGTCTGAAGCTCAACATCAAAAAAACTAGGATCATGGCCACTGATCCCATCACCTCCTGGCAAATAGAACGGGAAGAAATGGAGGCAGTCAGAGATTTTACTTTCTTGGGCTCCATGATCACTGCAAATGGTGACAGCAGTCATGAAATTAAGAGACGCCGGCTTCTTGGGAGAAAAGCAATGGCAAACCTAGACAGCATCTTAAAAAGCAGAGACATCACCTTGCTGACAAAAATCCGTATAGTTAAAGCTATGGTTTTCCCAGTAGTGATGTATGGAAGTGAGAGCTAGACCATAAAGAAGGCTGATCGCCGAAGAATTGATGCTTTTGAATTATGGTATTGGAGGAGACTCTTGAGAGTCCCATGGACTGCAAGAAGATCAACCTATCCATTCGTAAGGAAATCAGCCCTGAGTGCTCACTGGAAGGACAGATCCTGAAGCTGAGGCTCCAAGACTTTGGCCACCTCATGAGAAGAGAAGAGTCCCTGGAAAAGACCCTGATGTTGGGAAAGATGGAGGGCACAAGGAGAAGGGGACGACAGAGGACGAGATGGTTGGACAGTGTTCTTGAACTACGAACATGAGTTTGACTAAGCTGTGGGAGGCAGTGGAAGACAGGAGTGCCTGGCGTGCTCTGGTCCATGGGGTCACGAAGAGTCGGACATGACTAAACGACTAAACAACAACAACAAAAAAGCCTTGATGGCTGTGCTCTGCCTCCATGGTTGGGAGGCAGTAATGCTTCTGAAGAACAGTTCTGGAAATCACAGGAGGGAAGATTGCTGTTGTGATTGAGTCCTGCTTGCAGGTTTCCCACAGGCATCTGGATGGCCATTGTGTGCGGACGAGGAGGCTCTAGATGGGCCATTGACCTGATCCAGCAAATGCTTCTTACGTTCTGTTTTTAGATCACTTTCTAATAGTAACATAAGATGAGCCCTACTCTAGATCAGAACAAAGGCCTACCTACTTTAGGGCTGCCATACATCCAGATTTTCCCAGGCATTGCTGGGATTTCAAACGCGGAATTGATGTCCGGGGGGAATTTCCGAAAGGTGGTGCTTTGTCCTGGATCCTAATAATAATAATAATAATAATAATAATAATAATTTATCCTTTATACCCTGCCCATCTGGCTGGGTTTCCCCAGCCACTCTGGGCGGCTCCCAACAGAATACATAAAAAAGCGACAAAACATCAAACATTAAAAACTTCCCTATACAAGGCTGCCTTCAGATGTCTTCTAAAAGTCAGATACAGTGGTACCTCGGGTTACGTATGCTTCAGGTTATATACGTTTCAGGTTACAGACTCCGCTAACCCAGAAATAGTACCTCGGGTTAAGAACTTTGCTTCAGGATGAGAACAGAAATAGTGCTCCGGCGACATGGCAGCAGCGGGAGGCCAAATTAGCTAAAGTGGTGCTTCAGGTTAAGAACAGTTTCAGGTTAAGAACAGACCTACAGAACGAATTAAGTTCTTAACCCGAGGTACCACTGTAGTTCTTTATTTCCTTGACATCTGATGGGAGGGCATTCCACAGGGCAGGCGCCACGACCAAGAAGGCCCTCTGCCTGGTTCCCTGTAGCTTCACTTCTTGCCTTGAGGGAACTGCCAGAGCTTGACCTTAGAGCTGGACTTTGAGGTTTGTCTAAAAACAGCACAACTGGTTCTGGTTTTTACTTTTTGAAATATGGCAACCCTAGCCTAGTTGAACATTCTGTTATCACATTGGCTGTCCAGATGCTTATGGAAAACCCACAAACTCTCTCTATCCTCTCCCCACTTCTGTTCCCCAGCAACTGGTATGAAACTGTAAGAAATGTACGGCCATCATGACATGGAAATATCTTGGGTCTTGTGGTGCAGTGGTTGCGCTAATACATTTCACTAGCATGCCTGTCAACTGCCTGCTAAGTGGGACATCCCAGCTTCTGGTTGTATCCTGGTATTGTCCCAAATTAGATGAAAGAACATGACTAAGAGGTCTATTAATTTCAGTGGGTCTAAGTGAAACTTAACTGAATGTCACTCACTGAAATTAATGAACCTTAGTCATGCCTCTTAACCTCAGTAGGTCTACTCTGAGTAGGGTTGGCACTGGATGCAACCTTGTATCTTCCAACTGTGTCAAAAATAAAAGAAATGCACTTGGAGAATAACTTTGTAAAAACAATAACAAGCAGCAGCATTTGATTGTTTAAAAAGGAGGAAGATTAAACAGAGTTGAAGATTGCTTTAAGAGAGATTTGCTGTCTCTTGTGTGATATGGGGGGGGGGCATTTTCCTGTGCCTTTACTCTCTGCCTGGCAGTGGCCCAACTTGAACATAGTTGATTTAATTAAAGAATGGCAACCAATATTCCTATGCCCCTTGGCTGTATAGTCTGACTTTGCTTCTGAATTAACATCTCCACTTGATTAAAAATGGGATGTCAAGAAAGCCAAGTTGGATCTTTAAACACACACAGAGGCACACACCTTTCAACCAGTATTTCATAAAGAGCTGTAAAATTTGGCTGCATGTTGTGTTGTGTGTTTTATCTGTGTTTCTTATTTAATCAGTAAGGAAAACTCACACTACATTCCATGCTAGGGGCAATGCCAGTTGAGTTTTTCTGCTGTTTATCTATTTTCCAATAGTGGGCAAAACATTCGTAGTGCGATCTCTTAAACCATTGCTGCAAGCAGTCAATTATCTGCTGCTCAGGTCAATGGGACTGCTGGAATCCCATCACCCCTTTAAACATAAAGAGTTCTGCTGGAAGACATCTTCATTTGAAATTCTGTGTGGTCCAAGTCTGGTTTCAAGAACCATAAGTAAAAATGGTAAAAGGTAAAGGACCCCTGGATGGTTAAGTCCAGTCAAAGGCAACTATGGCGTTGCGGCGCTCATCTCACTTTCGGGCCAAGGGAGCCGGCGTTTGTCCACAGACAGCTTTCTGGGTTATGTGGCCAGCAGGACTAAACCGCTTCTGGCGCAACGGAACACCATGACGGAAACCAGAGTGCATGGGAACACTATTTACCTTCCCACCACAGCAGTACCTATTTATCTACTTGCACTGGCGTGCTTTCGAACTGCTAGGTTGGCAGGAGCTGGGACAGAGCAACAGGAGCTCACCCTGTTGCGGGGATTCGAACCACCGACCTTCTGATCGGCAAGCCCAAGAGGCTCAGTGGTTTAGACCACAGCGCCACCCTCTTCCCACCCAGAACCATAAGTAGAGAGAGAGCATCAGGGCCCTTGAAGTTGCCTATCAACAGTTGCCACCTAGACAGCAACCTGTGCAGGCACCAAAGTCACAGTATTCCCTACTGTGGTGAAATATGTGTTGTATTCCTATTTAAATTATAGACTTCATTTCTAGATTTGCACCTAAACATATAAATTCACGTGTGCTGATTTTAAGCAAAAAAAATATTGGGGGGGGGGGGGTTGAGGCATTTCTTCTTTTTCACCGATGAGCAAGTGGTTTCCCTAGCTCGGTGGTTCTGCAGTGAGAAGATCACTGCTGGCCGTTTTGCTTATTGGAAAGGCAACTTGACCATGGTTATGTCTGCCAGGGAGTACTGCGGTTCAAAGTTAACTGCTTATTTAACTCCCTGGGGTTTCGCTTCTATGGTGGCATGGCCAGCCAATTGTGCACCAAATTTACCCCAATTGTGGAGTAATGCACAGTGGTTGCTTTCAGATTTTAGCGCAAGGCCCACTAACCCTTTGGGCCACTTGGGCGCATTGCAAGTCAGAGAAATGGATGTGTTTACTGCTTGTACATGCCACAACCATGCACTCACACTCATTATCCCTCCCTTGAAGCAAACTGACTTTGAAACCCCACAGAAAAAGTCCTGAAACTGTTTTGTCCCTCCCAAATTGACCTCAAATATTTCTCTGCAAGGTTGAAGGAAAATGGAAAAGCCTCCCCATTGTGTTTTCCTTCATAAATCCTGTCTTAAAGGTATGTCTGTGTAAGAATAGGGTGAGCCTGTGACCTGGCTCAGAAACTAAGTATTTGTCATTACGAAAGACTGGCCAGGCTCCCCAGGCCAGGCTCCCCAGGGTATCCAATCAAGTAACCATTAACAGGTAACCTGCCAGACAGGAGATAAGCAACGCACTCAGATTTCTGTTGTAGACCGCCCTTTCTGTGATGTAGGTATGATGTATCTGGGGGGTGGTCTTGAGCTCCACCCCTTTCTGTGATGTATGTATGATGTATGGAGGGGTGGTCTTGAGCTCCAGGGCAGGGAATTTAAAATATCTATACGTATAAGGGCAGGCACACCTTTGTTCAGGGTCCTCCTCCTTGTTGCAACAGTTTCAATACAGATCAGGCTTACTAGCTGCTTTGCTTCCCAATAGTCTCTAGTTGGCCTCTGTTATTTTCTGTGACTGATGGAGAACCTACAAAGGACTCTATAAGGGCTCTTGTGTCCCCCATAAGGGAATAAGGGCAAATTTTTGTTTATTACATTTCCCTTCACCCCAACCCTAATGGAGGGTGACTCTGGGTTCTGAAATCTTCAGAAAAATCACCCACATGCAAGACTTAGGCTTTTTGGGGAGGTGGGGGGATTTTTTTCTTGTGGTCAAAGTGAAGAGGTTTTCTTTCAAGCCTAATTCCATCTCTGGATGTGGATTGAAGATGCTCCTGGGGTGCAGTTTCTTGTAGGAGAGAAGCAACACAGGTTAGCTAAATGCAGTTCCTTATCTTCTTGAGTGCTCGGTAGTCATTCTATTATTTTCTCCAACCTTACTAGGTTCTTCTTCCTGTAAAACCCCCTGCTTCTTCCTGATTCAAGTGGACCTGAATACAATTCCAATGAGCTGCACACCCACAATATATTTACATGCAACAACAACAGCAACAACAGAACCTGGAGGAAACAACTAATTATAATTATAGTTCAACTGTGAAACTTCAAGGTCTTCAAATTCTTGATTCTGAGAAACTAAGTGTGATGCCAGCAAAGATTTCTATTCTTTCTTTGTTTTCTTTTTCTTAAAAAGAGACTGTAAAAGGGGATTTTTTTGAAGTCTAAACAGTAAACTAGCAAGTGCATGGGAGCTGCAGAACATGCATAATAGCCTCAATTCAAGCAGAAGAAAAACTCAGCATGGTTTTCTTTTGGGGTTGATTTTATTTCATTTTAAATTAAAATATGCGATGAAAAGCTCTTTTCCAAGCTAAGTGAAGCTGGAGTTTGCATTTCCAACCAAACAAGCAAGCCCCTTTTGGATCAACAAAAAAAGACCTTAAAAATCTCTCTCTTAAAAAAAAATAATCTGCTTCCCACAAAGTCCTACAGTGTGAGCCATCATTTCACTTACATAAGCTTTCAGTTTTGCCTATTTGATTTCCCTTCAGCGAACAGCCTGCTTCTTATAGAAAGAATTGGAAGTGAATCACTGAAAAAAGTGCTATTTAGAATAGATATTATAAAGTAAACCAAATACATTGAAAATGAGATCCATGCTGAGTAATGGAAAAAATAAATGGAAAGGGGGGGGGGAGAGAGAGAGATCAAGAAAACCATTTATATGATGGAGAAATATTTTATCAAAAGGTAGTAGCACATCTTTCTTTAGCTGAAATGAGAGACAGTGATGATAATGCAGTGACAGTAATAGTAGTAGTAATCACCATCATCACCATCATCATAATAATAGATGCAGAAATCTACCAGCAGAAGTTGTGGGCAAAAGCATTTCCTGAATCCTCTTCTTTCCACCATGCTCCAGAGCTCCCCCCCCCCCAAACATGTGGTGTAGTGGTTAGAGTGTTAGACTAGGACCTAGAAGTCCCAACTCAGTTATGAAGCTCTCTGGGTGATCTTGGGCTGTCACTCACTCTAAGCCTAACTCTGCCACAGGATTGTTGTGAAGATTAAATTGTTAGGAGTTCAGCCTACACTCGAGTAGGACCCTGGCTGAGACACATGCCCGACTGGCATGTTCTCTCCCTCCTGGTCGATCGTTCGGGAGCTTCAAAAGCTTTATTCTGCCCGAACACCATAGCGACCAATGCCAACCGACACCGGCACACTTAGGGATCCGCAGAGTTTGCGCAGTTGCGTAACAGACCTCAGCAACTCAGCATTTTGGCTAATCTACTTTATTTACATATCAACACACACGGAGCACTGCAACATGGCTTCCTCTCTCTCTAGCGTCAGACAGCAAAGAGAAAAAGAACAAAGGACAATAATCCCACTTCACGGAACACAGTAACACAAACATCCTGTCTCCGTCACTTCCCACTCTGTGGAGTCAAAACATACACTGTCATGTGAAAGACAACAATCCCATGACTGCAATCATGGAGCAGGAATTCTAACAAAAATGGGGAGGAGCTGGCTCCTGGGGCAAAGCAACTTTAACCCCCCCATTTAAAAAAAATAATAATTAGGAAATTGGGCCCCCTCAGTGGGTGTTCAGCTCCACACATGCACACACCCGGCTCTTTGTGATGTTGCATGCTTGCACAACTTCAGGACATCGTGGGATGTTGTGTCTCGTCAGGGGGTAGCGTTGGGTCCCCTCAATCATCTTGAGAAGATGGCACCTCTGCTTCTAAACCATTTGGGCTTTTTAGGTAATAACAAGCACTGTGACTTTGGCTCGGAACATATTGCAAATGGAAAATAAAGATGTAATATACTGTGTTCTGATAAGTGGACTCACAGCTGTCCATGGAGGTGCAGGTCAGTTCTGTGTCTACCAGCTCTCCCTGCTACACAGACTGAGACTCTACCTGCCCGCAGACTGTCTCGTCAGAGTGGTGCATGCTATAGTTATCTCCTGCTTGGGCTACTGCAATGCAGTCTATGTGGGGCTACCTTTGAAGGTGACCCGGAAACTACAACTAATCCAGAATGCGGCAGCTAGACTGGTGACTGGGAGTGGCCGCCAAGACCACAATAACACCGTCTTGAAAGACCGACATTGGCTCCCAGTACGTTTCTGAGCACAATTCAAAGTGTTGGTGCTGACCTTTAAAGCACTAAACGGCCTCGGCCCAGTATACCTGAAGGAGTATCTCCACCCCCATCGTTCAGCCCAGATACTGAGGTCCAGCTCCGAGGGCCTTCTGGTGGTTCCCTCACTACGAGAATTGAGGTTACAGGAAACCAGGCAGAGGGCCTTCTTGATAATGGCGCCCGCCCTGTGGAATGCCCTCCCATCAGATGCCAAGGAAATAAAGAACTATCTGACTTTTAGAAGACATCTGAAGGCAGCCCTGCTTAGGGAAGTTTTTAATGTTTGATGTTTTATCATGTTTTTAATATGCTGCTGGGAGCCACCCAGAGTGGATGGGGAAACCCAGCCAGATGGGCGGGGTATAAATTTATTATTATTATTATTATTATTATTATTATTATTATTATTATTATTATTTGAACACCCACACTGCAGACCTGATCCTTGAAAGAGAATGCAAACCTACCCAGCACAGACCACAACTCAGGGACTGTATGGACTGGTTTTCCCACTGACCAAAAAAGCATTTCTGTTGCCTGGCTTAAGCCTCGTCTTATTAGCTGACATCCAATCCATCACTGGACCCAGACAAACATTCAGGACCTCAGCACATTCCTCAGCATTAGAAGAAAAGTAGAATATGTCATGAATGTAATGTCTCAGGTTATATAGAGTTGAAATGCAGCTGATTTCAGCCACAGATTCGAACATTGTTCTTTTACGTGGTGATGAGAACTTTTCCTGATTGTTACCACAGACATTCATAGATGCCTGAAAGAAAGAAAGAAATATCACCATAGCAATTTGACTTTCAGGTTTGAAGCCACTGAATATTCAGTTCTCCTAGATTTCCCCCTTGACACCATGTGTTTCTGTACATTCATTACTAGGATCAACAATATGCATAAAAACCTCAGCACATAATCAATCTGCATTTTCCTCTTTCTATGAAGAGCAAGAACAGATGTTTAATGAAAACTCTCTTGGCTAATTACGGCTCTCAGTTACATCTAGGCAATATTAATGAAAGTAACAGAGAGCCAAACAATAAGAATCTTTCAATGAGCCCAGTGCCATAGCCTTTGTAAAGAAAATTTACCATTGACCTGAAGCAAAGTTTGGAAATGTTCCCAGATAGGGAGCATGAAATTGACATGTAATGGGGGGATGCTGATTGTTACATTATGATTTAGTACTTGAAGTTATGTCAATTTTAAAAAACCCACAAGAGACTCTAAATAAGTATGGGGGCACCTCTTCCATCCATTCTTTTTCAGCAGGGAGAACAGAAACATTTGAGAATTATTTTGCATTTCAGGATTTAACCACTATGCCTTTCCTACAAGAAGAACAGCATTGCAGCAGAAGCTGATGGTGCTCAACTGAAATCAGCAACAACCCCGTTTTAAAGAACTGGGATTTTCCAGAACAGTGCTGAAATTTGAACTCGTTCTTTTCTCTTTTTTTAAGTTTATAATTTTGTATTTGGTGTTTGAACTGGGAATATGCTATATTCCAGTCCCCATGCGATATAAAAATGATTAAAGTTGGAGCTTTCCTTCTGATGATAAGCTGGTTCAAACACTTGCAAGAGTGTGCATGTAACACGCCTTTTCTCATGTTCCAGCAGTTGTCACATGGAAGGAACAGTTAAGAATAAAAGGAAGAGGAAAGGAAAGGAAGAAATATTTTTTATTTCTGCTTGTTAAGCTTTTTTACAGTCAACTTTTCACCAGGCACAGTGGATGAAACTGATAGAATCTATTCTTTTTCACTGATAGCAGTGGAAACTTCAAAGCAGACAGAATTTCCTCCCCATTTCACCTACTATGCATCCTCAACCAGAGCTTGTTACTCTGGCACCAGTGACGTGTCTTTGAAGCTGTCACTAAGGTTATCAAGGGCAAAAATGGAAGATAAAATGCGGGGGAAATATCTGCTCTCACAAAAGCCTTTGGGAACACACATGGGTTTCCTCACAACTTATTCTAAAGGCAGTTAGATTTTTTATTTTATTTTTGGGGAAAGTGTTCAATAGCATTGCTGGTGGGAGGTGGCATATAGCTTGCTTAGGGTGAACAACGTAGCACCAGTTCAAATCATGTGTGATTATTCTCCAGTGGCACACATTTTCCTGGATAACTAACTGATCCCGCATTATGAATAACTGCTGTTTCTATGTTAAATTTAACCTTAAAACCGTACAATGCGGCTTTCGACAAAATGCACACAATGCAGAACCATATGTAAATGATCGGACATCAATTGAATAATAGACTACCTAGTGGCTTGCATTGGATTCAGATTAATTTGAAATCTTGAGGTGACCTGGGCTGCCTCAGCTGGATTTTTGGCTTGATGGGGATGGAAGCAGGATTTGTGCTAGGTTTCACAACTCAAAGCAGGGTTTGCTTGAAGCACTCTGTGGCACGTCACCAATCCAGACTTATCTGCCTATAATTTGGTAGCCTTTCTTCTGCTCCGGAAGGGCTGCTGAGCCTGCAAATTTAACTCTTTTCTGTCACAAGGGAAAAAAATCATGGACTTTCGATTCCAAATTGTGATTCCAAATTTCCAAATTCGATCCCAAATTTCGATTCCAAATTGTGGGGTGAAGCAGACTCGATACATACCCGTGGTTTATTTATTTTGGTTTTATTTTTAGGTTTGTATTTGTTCAACAGTGATCTATGATTGTATATGGACAGTGCACATTGTCACCAAATCTTGCTTGGTAACATTGTAGTTCTAGAGCAGGTGACGCTGTGGTCTAAACCACTGAGCCTCTTGGGCTTGCTGATCAGAAAGTTGGTGGTTTGAATCCTTGCGATGTGAGCTCCTGTTGCTCTGTCTCAGCTCCTGCCAACCTAGCAGTTTGAAAGCACACCAGTGCAAGTAGATAAATAGGTACCACTGTAGAGGGACGGTAAATGGCATTTCCATGCACTCTGATTTCCGTCACGGTGTTCCGTTGCACCAGTAGCGGTTTAGTCCTGCTGGCCACATGACCCAGAAAGCTGTCTGTGGACAAACGCTGGCTCCCTTGGCCTGAAAGCAAGTTGAGTGCCGCAATCTTATAATTGCCTTTGACTGGACTTAACTGTCCAGGGGTCCTTTACCTCTACCTTTTACCTTCTAGACCGTTTTGATTCCGAATAGTGAATTCAAGTGGGATGGGATGAGGTAGA